GATATTTCAAATTTAGCACATAGAAATTCGCCCAAACTTACACAGATTATCCGTCCTATTACCATTATACTTTATGGAAAGTTTCAAGAAAATCGCACGGTAGGATCTTACAGAAACTATTGTCCGAAAAACCTAATTTCGGAGTCGGACAAGAGTCGCCCAATCGTCTTTTGCTCATTCTCCAACCTTTAGGAACATTCACATTAATACCAGGAAGTAGTTTTAGCAGTTATAAAACACCGATGTTGCTTCGGCATTAAACGTTTAGTTTGTTGACCCGTTGGTACCTGGAACGGACCAATAATTGAATAATTACCCCCCCCCCCCCCCAAAAGTTTCGAGACGGGTCCTAGTTTTAAGACGATTGCTCTGGCGTGGAATGTTTAACTTGTTAACCCTTTGTTTTACTTTCTACAACGTATTATATCATGGTTTGTCGGCAATCTATTTCGGCAAAACCCATTATATTATATATTATGTAGTCTGTAGTGGCAGATTCCCAAGAAACGTAAGTTCTGGTAACTATTATTAGGGAAAAAAATATAAATATGCATCATAGAGAAATATTCACGCCAGTGAAATGAAATTCTTGTACTTGTACTTTCTTCAACAAAGTTTACTTTCTTTTATTTTTGTTTCTCTACTTATACGAGAACGTTCTACCACATCAGCTAACGTGCACGTATCCTCATACTCGTACGTGGATAACGAATCAGTTTTGAGCTAGTAACCTAAGTGAAATTCAAGAGTTCAAGGTGTTACCGATATGGTATTCAAAGGGGGGGTTCAAGTTTCAACCTGATTTTTTGTGAAACCTGTTTCAAAAAATTTCATGCAAAATATTGAAAACTGATCTATTAATTTCGATTTTGGGGAGATAAGTTTCGATAATAATGCAAACCTAGGTATGGCCATATGAGTTCAGGGAAACACTAGCTACAAATAGAGCACCCATAAGCTGGGTTTAGAGCATTTCGACGTGATTTGGAATAATTGAGTAATTGGATTGCACTGCGGACGGCGCCAGAAGTCCTTAACCCCTTCCCCGCCCCCCCCCCCCCCCCCCCAACAAAAAGTTTGGTGACAGGTCCTACTTTGCTGGGAAACTGCTATCTCGAAAACAAGTTTCACAAAAATCAGGGTGAACCCCCCCTTAAATGTTGTACGTGTGCATATTTAATCTATTTATAGTATGATGGACAGCTTAGATCGGTGACCTCTCACCTAGAAGTCCTTTAATATTAGTACATTAACGGACTGGTGTTAGATTCAGCGGGCAGTTTCGGGACCTTGTCTGAAATTGTTTTAACTTTCTTGCGCTTTTACATTCTTGTGCTTTTACTTTCTTTTACTTAACCTTTCTTTTACTCTTGTTTTCCTACTTTTCCTGAAATTGTTTTAACTTTAAGTTTGTCTTTTAAATTCTTATACTCTTGCTTTCTTAAACTTTTACTTTTCTTTCCCTACTTTTCGAGATCGTTCAACGTTCTACCTCATCAAGCAACGTACGTGTCTTTAATCTTTATACTCGTACGTGGAACTTGATCTGTATACTCGTACGTGTCATGTCTCGACAAAAATTGTATAGAAACAGAGTGTTGTAAATCAATTATGTCTTATAACATCATGACGTATAACATCATATGAATATGTAGGTTCATGGTCTTAATGATTACACAATCTCATACCCAGAAATTATTATTAACCTTAATCTTGGATTCCTTACACTTACAGAAACTTACGATTTGCTGGGTTGCTGTCCTACCTGAATGCTTGTATAATGTATAATGTATAGTTGTACTGATGTTGTGACTTCTAGCAAGCTGAACATTCTCGAAGAAGGTCCACTTCAGAGAGGAGGGTGTTACCAGAGTTACCAGAATAACCATAGTTACCAGAGTTACTTCCAAGAAAGTTATTATCTTCCGATAATTATCTTTCTGAGAAACATTAGCTCCATCGATAAAGCTGTTTATACAAGCTATGCTCGATCAACATTGCGATCAGAACATAAAGACCAACACATTCCCATGAGGACTTTGGCTGTACATTCTCATAGCTTCATAGTCAAACTTTAATATTTCAAAAACTTGTGTAGGTACTATTGAGTGATAACTCGTTTGATCGTTTGTTATTTATCTAGAAGGTGAACCATGGAGAGAAAACACCAGAACGCATTTATCGACTACGCTACACGTCTAGGATATTCCAAGTCTTTAGCAGTCAAGGCTATCGTCCGACGAGGTGGAGGCGGTAAGTTTTAAAAGTTTACACTCTTAAAACATGCTTTATAATATGCAGTCATCAATATTTATTTAAGGCCACCAGGGTGGGGGGACAAAGTATAAAAAGATGAGAAAGATGAGACGTAAATATCAGATTTTTAACGGCACTATTAAAGAGTTAAAGTATTAAAACGGGACCGTAACATAGAAACCATGTTTAGGGAACATTTTGGTAGATTAAGACTTTGCCAAACATTTTGTTTCATCCCAGGAACAACGATGAATGATCTGCTACACACGTTAATACAGTTGGTAGATGAAGAGAAGAGGAAACAGACTTTAGTTCGGTGCAGAAGCAACTGAAACAGACTTTAGTTGGTGCAGAAGCAACTGAAACAGACTTTAGTTCGGTGCAGAAGCAACTGAAACAGACTTTATTTCGGTGCAGAAGCAACTGAAACAGACTTTAGTTCGGTGCAGAAGCAACTGAAACAGACTTTAGTTCGGTGCAGAAGCAACTGAAACAAACTTTAGTTCGGTGCAGAATCAACTGAAACAGACTTTAGTTCGGTGCAGAATCAACTGAAACAGACTTTAGTTCGGTGCAGAAGCAACTGAAACAGACTTTAGTTCGGTGCAGAAGCAACTGAAACAGACTTTAGTTCGGTGCAGAAGCAACTGAAACAAACTTTAGTTCGGTGCAGAATCAACTGAAACAGACTTTAGTTCGGTGCAGAATCAACTGAAACAGACTTTAGTTCGGTGCAGAAGCAACTGAAACAAACTTTAGTTCGGTGCAGAAGCAACTGAAACAGACTTTAGTTCGGTGCAGAAGCAACTGAAACAGACTTTAGTTCGGTGCAGAAGCAACTGAAACAGACTTTATTTCGGTGCAGAATCAACTGAAACAGACTTTAGTTCGGTGCAGAAGCAACTGAAACAAACTTTAGTTCGGTGCAGAATCAACTGAAACAGACTTTAGTTCGGTGCAGAATCAACTGAAACAGACTTTAGTTCGGTGCAGAAGCAACTGAAACAAACTTTAGTTCGGTGCAGAATCAACTGAAACAGACTTTAGTTCGGTGCAGAATCAACTGAAACAGACTTTAGTTCGGTGCAGAAGCAACTGAAACAAACTTTAGTTCGGTGCAGAAGCAACTGAAACAGACTTTAGTTCGGTGCAGAAGCAACTGAAACAGACTTTAGTTCGGTGCAGAAGCAACTGAAACAGACTTTATTTCGGTGCAGAAGCAACTGAAACAGACTTTAGTTCGGTGCAGAATCAACTGAAACAGACTTTAGTTCGGTGCAGAATCAACTGAAACAAACTTTAGTTCGGTGCAGAAGCAACTGAAACAGACTTTAGTTCGGTGCAGAAGCAACTGAAACAGACTTTATTTCGGTGCAGAAGCAACTGAAACAGACTTTAGTTCGGTGCAGAAGCAACTGAAACAGACTTTAGTTCGGTGCAGAAGCAACTGAAACAAACTTTAGTTCGGTGCAGAATCAACTGAAACAGACTTTAGTTCGGTGCAGAATCAACTGAAACAGACTTTAGTTCGGTGCAGAAGCAACTGAAACAAACTTTAGTTCGGTGCAGAAGCAACTGAAACAGACTTTAGTTCGGTGCAGAAGCAACTGAAACAGACTTTAGTTCGGTGCAGAAGCAACTGAAACAGACTTTATTTCGGTGCAGAATCAACTGAAACAAACTTTAGTTCGGTGCAGAAGCAACTGAAACAGACTTTATTTCGGTGCAGAATCAACTGAAACAGGCTTGTATTCGTTGGAGCGGCTACTGAAACAGACTTTAGCTCGGCGCAGAAGCAACTGAAACAGACTTATATTCGATGGAGCGGTTACTGAAACAGACTTTAGTTCGATACAGAAGTGCAACTGAAACATACTTTTTTTAAATTGATACAGCAGCAATTGAAACAGTCGTTTGTTCGATGGAGCAGCAATTGAAATATACTTTTATTTTGTGAGAATGGTGAATTGTACTGGAAGTATACTTTTATTTTGTGAGAATGGTAAATTGTACTGGAAATATACTTTTATTTTGTGGGGATGGTAAATTGTACTGGAAATATACTTTTATTTTGTGAGGATGTTAAATTGTACTGGAAATATACTTTTATTTTCTGAGGATAGTAAATTGTACTGGAAATCAGAGTTGTATTGTTTCAAATTAATTTAAACATCAACATGTCACCAACAGATTCAACATGAGATCTAGTAAATTTAGGTCAGGCAAATTGTACCCCGGTATAAAGGTTAAGTTTGAGAACTAGATGAGTGTTACTTCGACCTAGCTAGACGGTACGTAACGCGTAGCATAATCAATAACGTAACGCGTTATAACATGCTAATACCTTCGCACTTTGAGTGCAATGCCCGATAATTGAGTGCAATGCCCGATAATCCCCTACGCGCAGCAGGGAAAAAGAAAATCGCGATTATTTTGCCCAAAAATCGCGATACCGCGATTTTTGACAGACTATACATAAGACATTAGTATACATAAAATTTGTCGCAAAGAATGGGAAAAATCGCGATCCCGTACATGCCGCGATTTCCTTTTGTCCCTGACGCGCAGTGGAGGGCGAGCGCAGCACGAAAACAGTGGGGAGGTATTATCTGTTATAACGTCAATTATATTGTGGTATAAGCGAAGTATAATGAGTGTTACTTCGACCCAGCTACACGGTACGTAACGCGTCACATAATCGATAACGTAACGCGTTATATTATGGTATAAAGAAGGTTACTTACTTGTAACCAGGTTCACAGGGGAACAGACTTCCTTCTGATTGGCCAGCCGGACAGAAATGTCCCTCCGGACACGGATACTTCTCTCCGTCCGTCTGAAATTATGATAATATAATTAGGTGATTAACTAATTATTAGATAATTATTAGATTATTATTAGATAATTGTTTTATGAACTCGACTTTATTTTTGGTGTGGATCCGACGAAATGATGAAAAACAATTATGAACCGTGAAATCACTTTACACCAATTGCAGCAGTAATCGTTCAAATTTAAGAATTGCTTTAACAATAACAGCTTTACCACAAACTTCATAGAACAAATAAATAGAACAAATAACGACCGATGGTGCGAAAAAGTGCGGTATTACTATTAGGCTAAGATGAGAAGTACAGGACTAGTCGTACTTTTCAATTTGACGGTGTCATACGTACTTTTACATTTTTAAGTACGTGGTCCTAGTCGTAATTTTAAATTGACGTATTTAATACGTATTTTATCCACCGTACGGGTCCAATCTTCTCATCTAAGGTAATAGGTCAATAGTGCGACTCCGCACCCACCGCACTTATATACTGCCTCTGATACCGGATACGGCACATACGGCACATACCACGTGAGATGGTTACCATGGTTACCTGTGCTGAGTCGGGACAGTAGTAGCCCTCAGGGCAGGATTTACAGGAGTTCTCGTCCACCCCTCCCACATCGTCCAGGTATGTTCCTGATTAAGAGAATTGTTCATCGTCAACATTCTACTGAATAAAAATAAAAACAGCGAATAGTACAGCACCAAGGCTGAATTCTGGACTACAAAGACAATTATTACTGACAACAAACACACATAACATTGACTACAAACACTACAGCCGTGTTGCTGTGTTGGTACCTGACACGCACGGTACAGCTTCAGTAGCACCTCTGGTACAGTAGTGTCCTGCTTTACATCTCATATCTTGAGGGTCCGGCTCTGTGGCTCCAGACCTAGGATTTGTTGAGGGTTTTAATTAGCATGATTTATAGTGATTTAAAGTAGAGGGGTACGGAAGGTACGCAGTAAAGTGAGAGAAAAAGCTCTGTAAAGTTGAGTTTAACTTAATTTTTGTTCATTGTATTGATCAGACCTCATTCATTGAAAAATTTTAAATATACACAATTTTTTCTTTTTAAGAACAAAACATGTTCTTGTTGCTTTTTTCTATCTCTAAATCTAATATAAACTTATAAAAATCAAAACATACAAGCAAAGATATCCAGGATCGCACTGTTTCTGACAGGACTCCTGACCCCACACATCGTTATAAAACCCGGTCTCACACTCTGTTGGGTACGCGCTCCCTATGCTGCAGTACGTTCCCGGCCAGCATTGTCCACCTGTATTGTTTATTGTTAACACATTGTTAACACATTGTTACTAACAAATTGTTAATTGTTTACATATTGTATCAAATCTACTCGCGGGTAAAAATTCGCCTGATTGTATTTTCAACTAAAAGACAAAATCGAAGATTATACCCGTAATAAAACCTACATTTTTCGTAACATAGCTCATAGTAACAGTAGTAATTTCAAGAGCACCAAGATTTAAATAACACAAGCAATACAAGTTAACACAAGTTAACACAAGTTAACACAAGTTAACACAAGTTAACACAAGCTAACACAAGCACTGACCAGTGTGGTTCTCATCATCATTACAGTGCTCGTTGTCCAGATCACACCACTCTGTGATATTACAGAGTGAGGTGGGTTTAGAGACTTTGGCAGCTCCCCGACAGTAGTATCCTATAGCACACTCGAATCCTGGAGGGGATTATCTAGTGATTATTCACTTTAGTTAAACATATGGGAGGTGGATTAGATTCGCGAAATTGGTTTGCCTAAGATATGGATGTCCCCACCCGAGGTTGAATTTTCGTGGTTACGCTCTTTTACTTTTAGTTTTAAATCAGATCATTTTGGAAGGAGAAGAGGAGATGGCTCTGAAGACAAGCTAATTCAGACGGTTTGGAAACCAAACAATTAAAATGAATTACATCCTTTTCAACTTTCAAAAATAAAAATTATGTGTTTTATTTAGTGATTCTTACCTTCAGTGCTTCCCTTGGTAGCACAGTAGAACCCTGGTTCACACGGTTTACAAGACGCCAGGTCTTGTCCTCCTGCGTTAGTAGGTGTATATTAATGTTAAGAAATCAAACAAGTAACGACTAACTCTCGGTTTGAATTATATTCAGCTGCACCATGTGCCACAATTCCAGCAAAATTCAGTAACAATTCCAGTAGCATCGTAAATAGTACCTGTACATATTGATTAAAATTCAGCCTAAGAATATCCTGCTGAAAGTTTAGTCCTGGAAGAAAACACTGTACCCTAGATATAGACGTACCTTCCTGGCTGTTGTAAGTACCAACAGGGCACTGTACCCTAGATATAGACGTACCTTCCTGGCTGTTGTAAGTACCAACAGGGCACTGTATCCTAGATATAGACGTACCTTCCTGGCTGTTGTAAGTACCAACAGGGCACTGTACCCTAGATATAGACGTACCTTCCTGGCTGTTGTAAGTACCAACAGGGCACTGTACCCTAGATATAGACGTACCTTCCTGGCTGTTGTAAGTACCAACAGGGCACTGTACCCTAGATATAGACGTACCTTCCTGGCTGTTGTAAGTACCAACAGGGCACTGTACCCTAGATATAGACGTACCTTCCTGGCTGTTGTAAGTACCAACAGGGCACTGTACTCTAGATATAGACGTACCTTCCTGGCTGTTGTAAGTACCAACAGGGCACTGTACTCTAGATATAGACGTACCTTCCTGGCTGTTGTAAGTACCAACAGGGCACTGTACTCTAGATATAGACGTACCTTCCTGGCTGTTGTAAGTACCAATAGGGCACTGTACTCTAGATATAGACGTACCTTCCTGGCTGTTGTAAGTACCAACAGGGCACAATACCCTAGATATATACGTACCTTCCTGGCTGTTGTAAGTACCAACAGGGCACTGTACCCTAGATATAGACGTACCTTCCTGGCTGTTGTAAGTACCAACAGGGCACTGTACCCTAGATATAGACGTACCTTCCTGGCTGTTGTAAGTACCAACAGGGCACTGTACCCTAGATATAGACGTACCTTCCTGGCTGTTGTAAGTACCAACAGGGCACTGTACCCTAGATATAGACGTACCTTCCTGGCTGTTGTAAGTACCAACAGGGCACTGTACCCTAGATATAGACGTACCTTCCTGGCTGTTATAAGTACCAACAGGGCACTGTACCCTAGATATAGACGTACCTTCCTGGCTGTTGTAAGTACCAACAGGGCACTGAATGGGAGACGAGGAACCCAGCGGACAGTAGTTTCCTTTACCACACTTGTACTCCGATAGGTCGGATATACCTACCGCGTTACATACGTAACCAGCGTCACATTTCTAGGATGGTTGGAATGAGGGTAGAGAGTAACAGGGTTATTTGTGGCAATATCTTATATCTATCTCAATAATTAGGCGATCATTTTTAGTTTTAAACATTGGTCTTGTATTTCAAGCCAGGTTGAGCGTGAATGGAAATTATTAACATTGTTTTAAAATCAGATGATAAAACAATCGCTAATATAAGTAATAAGTAATGGAAAACAAGTAATGAAAAAAAAAGAGAGTAACGACTAACCTGACATTCGCTCTGTTTGGTATTAGGATTGTAATGTCCGACATTACAGCTAGCCTCTTCAACACTACCCTCCGTACAGAATGTTCCAGGTTGACAGATACCTCCCTCGCCTGAGTTACTGGAACCTAGAAAGGGAGGGGGTTAAAAGGGACACCAAAATGGGGGTTATGTAACATAAGTTGAACAATTTAAACATTTGTAAGATAATATATGACATTATTATTTTCAATGCGTTGAATGGAAGGGAGCAAGTTTTACACATGAAGGGGAGCCACGTGATAGGAAAATTACGAAGTACATAAGTTAGTTAGTTAGGGTAAAGCAGCCCTTTCAAAACAGTGCATAAATTATGTTGATGCACTAAAACCAGTTCAATACAACTTAACAGTAACTCACCATCAGGTTCACTAGAATTAACACCAGTCTTGCACCAGTAACCAGGTTTACAAGGATCCCCATCAGTAGTCCTGCCCACTGTCTCACAGTATTTACCTCCCCCACAAGCTTGACACGAGTCTATTGACTCTCCTTTGTCCTGTTGAGTAGAGAGGATTGTACATAGTTGTTAAATCAGCTAAAGATATCAACAAGTTAATAATAATATCAAGGGCATGCAAGCTGGATGTTCCAAAATACAAATTAGCAACCAGAGCGTGTTATCCGATTTTATGAAATGCAGTACTACTATACATTTAACGTATCACTTTAATTGTTGCTGTTGATGTTATTATAGTTAAACCCCGATTTACCGCGGAGTTTGGGAGAAGGGGAATGCCACGCGGTAAATCGGGGTTTGCGGTAAAATCAGGGTTTTGATTGTTTACATTATGTATTTTAAGCCCTATTTGATGGAAGGAAATGCAGCCGCGGTAAATCGGGGTTTGCGGTAAATAGGCTTTTTACTGTATCAATATCATGATGTTAATATTGTTAATGTTTTAAAGGCTCACGTTATCAAGGAATGTCCCAGTAGGACAGGGTGTCTTCACCCCACCACTACAATAATGTCCAGTCTCACAGCTAGTGATATTAGTTCCACCGTGACACTGTTTACCGTCTGGGCACGTTTCACATGACATCATTCCCTCTCTGGGGGCGTGGAATCCTGCTCCACACTCCTCGGGAGACCCCCGACCAGCGGGACACTGGGCGGTGAAAATTGTTATGGCGGATTCTTTAACATTTGCTTAAAATTGCGATACATGTTCTTGCCCAGTTTATGGACTGAATTTACCGTCTCACACATGACGTCACACGTCCTCACGTGACGTCACGTGACGTCACACTTCCTCGCTCCATTACCAACCTGAGAGCCAACAGGGCAGATGTTCTGCTCACAGACACTAGACCCATCAGGACAATAGTAACCAACACAGCACTCATCCGTCCAGGTCCCTTGTCCGGCTGTCTCGCAGTATTTACCTCCTGGACAATCTTTACAGGCATCCTCATCCTCTGACCCTGTGGGGAGGCGGTTCAGATATCATAATTAATGAAGATTATTTAGTCGACCACAGTTATTGGAATTTTTGTCCTCAAAACGATCAGATTGACGATAAAATGAACTGAGCTTTTTCAAAGTACGAGTTGGAATGTTAAACTTTTGAGGAGCAATAATAACTGATAACACACACATTCCAGTAGTCATTAAATCAGAGACAGATAAAATAAGTACTAACCAGTGGCAGGGTTGTAAGTCCCAGCCGGACAGTCAGCTTCAGTAACAGCTCCAGCAGTGCAGTAGTGTCCTACAGTACACAGTCCCTCCGGGGGGTCTGACCGGGTTGAGCCTGGACTGCACACAAATCCTGTGGAGGTAGGAGTGTTGAAGAAACTGCTGGCTCCGAGTTCAGATTTAGCTTAATATTTGGTAATTCAAGTGGGATTATGCTTTTGGTTCGGAGCTAAATTTTGGTTAATACTGTTGTTAGTTAACGGATAAAACGAAAGACTTTAGAACAATACAAAACTGGATTTCTCAACGAAATAAAATACCCGATTGATAAACATAAACATAGCTCTATTCACAGAGAAGACATCCACCAAAACACCTACCTGCGTTACAGGTTCCAGTTACTTGATCCTGTCCTTCTTTATCACAGAAGGAGCCAGCGGTACAGTTGGCACATGATGCTTCTGAGGTTCCACCTGAACACAGAGAGTGCTATCTTGTTATTTGTGGATGAAATTTGTATCTAGTTAGAGAACGTATCTGTAACGGTTAAAATAATTTGTTCTTACGCTCATATAAACGGGTTCTTAGTGGAGAAGTTTTAATTCAGCCGTTCGTTAAATTATTTAAATCAACTCTTGATCTAAGTAAAAATTCAGGCAGATTTTGAAAGGATAAACTAACCCTGGAGGGCCCTAAAAGTGCCAACAGGACAGAGAGTGGGTTGAGTAGCTCCAGCGATACAGTAACCTCCAGCTGGACACTTGTTAGTGGAGGGGTTTGATACGGTCTGTTTCTCCGGACACAAGTACCTAGGTACATGGGGTTAGAGTTAGAGTTAGAGGTTGGGTTAGAGGTCTGTTTCTCCAGACACAAGTACCTGGGTACATGGGGTTAGAGTTAGAGTTAGAGCTTTAGAGGTTGGGTTAGAGTTAGTTTAACAAGTACATGGGTATAGGGAGTTAGAATTAGAGTTGCAAATGAGCGCCTGGGTAGTGGGTACAGGGAGTTTGGATGTAAATAAGAGAAATAAAGAATACAATTTAATAAATAAATCAACGTAAAATTTAATAAAAAATACACAAACCCAGGATCACAGTCTCCAGTAACCTCACTCTTTCCAGAAGAAGAGCAGAACTTGCCAGCAGGACACACTGCACACTGCTCCTCTCTGATCAGCTCTATCTCAGCTCCTATTGTACCAGCAGGACACGGGTTGTTCTGAAATATCACGTGACTAAGTGGACCAGGTGACGAACCGGGAACTTTGAGATGTTTTAGTTTTGGTTTTGGTTTTGATTTTGGTTTATAGAGCTGCACGCCACATATGTCCAGGTTCATAATAATATTAATATATAATGTAGGACTTCTAGGCAATGAACTTGGTTGTGGGACACACTCAACTAGGGAAGTTGAGAGGCCTCACTTTAAGATGTTACAGAGCTATTCATTCGTATTTACACAACATATAACGTGAACTCTTGAGAGCATAAACTATAATGCTACACTCCTAAGATATCACGCTTTCTTTAACGGTACTTCAGTCCCCATCGCGTGACATCACAGTCACACTACATAACGTGACGTCACAACCCCTCACGTGACGTCACGATACTCACAGTATGATCAGAAGTGTTAACTGGACAGAAGTAGCCTTTAACACAGGACAAAGCGGTTCCATCTCCAGGACAGTACATCCCACCCTTACACTCACCGCACTCTGTCTGCCCCTCTAGTTCCGTGTATGTTCCTGAAAGTAAGACAAATTGGGAGATTAATATAATCGCGAGTGATAAACTTTGATATTAAAGATTTTTGGCATCGTCAGTTCTACTCGCAGTAAATTTTAGGTATCCCTGTATTTATGATGTACGACTGAAACCCTCACCGCTCACGTGACGTCACAAAAAACACATAAATACCAGGACAATCTCGAAGTATTCTGCAACCAACCTTTCTCACAGGGCTCAGCATTAGGGGACCCCTCTTCGCAGTAATGTCCTTGAGGACAGATGCTGGCATCGTCTGGACTGGAACCCTGGTAATAATCATCTTAATGTGATGTTATTTAAAAAATATAAATCCGGCCAATAAATAACTGAAAACTCCATACTTTCCTAAAAAGCAAAATCTTAAAATTAACCAAAACGAGAGCCGATAAGCAATCAGTACAATCAGTACGATCAGTACGATCAGTACGATCAGTACGATCCCCCATGTTATTTACCTGGGGACAGTAGTACCCCACTTTACAAGGCACTCCTCCTGTCGATGCAGCTTCACACATCCTACCTGCCTCGCACTCCGAGCATTGTGACAGTTCTGAAGGAGAGCGGTTTGTTATCACACACATTGAGATTACTAGGCTGTATTCTGCGTATTATAGGAGGGAAAAACTGTAGAAAATAACCAGCTTAATCTAAGCATGGCATTAAGTAAAACTGACCGGTTGCAGTTTGGAGAGTGTTGTATTTGCCAGCAGGGCACGGAATCTTGCTACCGGATCCAGCGGTACAGTAGTGCCCTGGACTGCACTTCAGTGCTGTAGCGATAGCACTTCCGGCCGGACAGTAATATCCTGAGGGATGTGGTTAAGACATCAATTAATAGAAGATATGGAATTACTGTAAGTAGTATATGATGCATTTTTCAATAGCCATTTTGGGAAAAAGTGATGTACAGGTGCTTGGAGTAACCATATTACGTAATGTTACCGGCGGCGACCTTGTAATTAGTGTGATATCATGTTCCATGTGGAAACTATACTGGATGTAACTTGATTATTACGTCATGTTCATTGCTCACGGTACATTTGTGATTTTATCGTGTAACGATCTTACCAGATTAGAGTAAGTCAAAGTGAAGTTATAATGTGTCACAAGCACGCGATCCTTATCCTATAAATCACTCGAGTGACTCATATTAAAATTTGTAACCCTTATAATCGGTGTAATATTACGTTCCATGTGAAAGCTGTATTGGATGTAACATTATTGGATCAATGTGACCCAAAAATTTGTTAACATCACAATTTGTATAGATCACCCCGGTGTTATTAGATCATAATGTTTTCAAGTGATCACCTGAACAATTATCGTACCCCACATGATCAGGATACCTCTAAAATATCAGACATTATATGTTGCTACGTAGGTCCACGTGAAAATGTTGCCCCTCATTCCACTGGTCCCACCCACATCAATTAGAGCAGCCAGGTGTTAGATCATACTGTTTCTAAGAAACTCGACAGCGTTTCTGCCAGCCAACCGAGGTTATATACAAGTTACCGCTACAGCCGCATTCATTTCTCATTTGTTCGTTTTATCATTTGTTGACTATTGACACTGATTAGAATATATTCCTGCGTTCCTTTGCTTTTTTTTGTGTATAGAAATGTGGAACAAACTTATTTGCTGGTTATTCGGCAAATGGTTAATCATTTTTATGCTTTCTGTCCTGATACACCCTGAAGTTCTTGATGAAGTGGCTGGGCCGTCTAATATTGACACCGCTATCCCGAGAAAAAGGAGGAAATTGGTGGCATCTTGTAGGAACTGTGGATTTCTGGCTGACCACGAGGTACATTTTACAATTTTTTGAAAGAGTATAAGCACGAATCTTACAATAATAAAGAAAACTAAATTTTATTAGCGCCAGGCTTTAATAGATACAATCACATTCAAATACATCTGATTACGTTTTTAAAAACTATCAACTTATAACTTTATAAAACTCATAGTTAAATACTGACAAAATATCAGGATGAACTTGAAAGTCACCAGTGTACTGAAGAATTGAGAGAATCTCAAGATCCCTCAACTACAGAATCTCAAGAACCCTCCTCTGAAGGAAAAGATCAACAGAACGCTGAGGATGAAACGTTAAAACCTAAGGTATTTTTATTCAAAACGATTTTATAATACAAATTCTTAAATATTTTCTCTGATAAATGAAACGTGGTGTTCATGAAATATCCCGTTATGTTATGAGATTTTTGTTTCGTATTACCAGTCGTTCCTTTCAGAACTGACATAAAAAGATTAAATGTAAAGACTGTGGGTCAGTAATGTGGGCTGATAACTTGAAAAGGCATGCCAACAAATGTAAAATTCGGTGTCAAGATTGTGGAAAGCGAGTGCCTCAGGGTGAATTTAAGGACCATAAGGAGATTCATGAATGGAACCTTAGAAACAGTTTCCCGGAGTCATCCGCCTCCTCATCACAAAATGTAGATGACGAAGATTTAGACCAGGGTGAATTTAACGACATCTATGAAGAGTACGATCAATTCATTAAGACAGCAAGCAAATTTGGTCGAATAATGGATACATTCAATTTCAAAATGGATCAATTTTCACCAAATGAACTCATTTATCGGTTCAAGGCGATCTTCAAAGCACAGAGAAATTCGTTTAAAATCAAAATTTCAATTGGAGCTATCCTCTTTAACAAAACCACAGAGGAGTATGCCTTTTACAAAAGCTCCCAAAACAACCAGCTGCTTCTTGATCAACCAGTCCTTATTAGAAATTCCAGTGACAAGGCTAGCTTCATTCGGAAATTAGAAAGTTTGGATCTGATTGCAGCGATATCCAGACCCAACAGTCAATGGACCATTGCTAAAGTCACAAATGCTACATTTTTTGTCTACAAGCTCACAGGAACTCCTATTGGGTCACCAGTTGAACTTCCAGCACATCTTGCTAACAACAAAGGTTTGATAAGTTTAACTAAAAGGAAGGGAAAGGCTTACAACGACAAGTTGTGTTTCTTCCGAAGTCTTAGTCTTCACATGGGGCTACCGCTTGATGGACTGGAAGGGAAAGCAAAAGAGCTGAAAAACTTGTTTTGTGAAAAAGCTTCCATAAAGGAGTTTGAAGGTGTCACCTTGGATCAACTAGAGGAAATATCACGCATCTTCAAAGTAGCAATAAACGTTTATGAACAGGATGAAAAGAGGAGCACAGATTTGATATTTAGAACCATAACGGAGTCTGACAATCCTCTGAACCTTAACCTGTACGGCGAGCACTTTTCTTTTATCAAGAACTTAGCCATTTACTCACAGTCCTATAGGTGTTCAAAGTGTGACAAGATATGGTCTAGCTCGGGGAACTTCCATAGACATGTTCGAAATTGTGAAGCAGGTGTTAAACACAAATACGGCACCGGTACATTTGAGCTCCGACCCACTGTTTTTGAGGCTCTTGAGGAGGAGGGAGTGTTCGTGCCACTGGAACTTCGGCCTTTTCCATTCATGGCCACTTATGACATTGAATGTATGTTGAAGAAGGAAGTAGATATCAAAGACACAGCCAAAATAAACTATACGTCTAAACATGAGCTTGCGTCTGTTTCAGTGTGTAGTAATGTACCTGGATTTACTTCTCCGAAGTGTTTCATCTTGCCTTGTGAGGGAGGTCAAAAGCAGCTTGTGAAGAAGTTTGTTGATTACCTCATGAACATCAGTGAGACTTCATCCGCAATTCTACGTGAAAGGTACTCGAAGTATCTTGATCAGATAAGTTCAGAGAGGACACTTCAAAGATTTGAGGAGCATATTACACAGTTGCCTGTGCTATCGTTTAACGGTGCCAGTTATGATTTGAGAATATTAAAAGAGTTTATTATCCCTGTTATCATTGATCTAGACTCACTTAAGTTTGTCATAAAGAAAAGTACAAGTTACATGGCAATAGTAACTGAAGAGCTGCGTTTTCTTGATGTAATGTATTACATTGCACCTTCGTTTAACTATTCTCAGTTCCTTCACGCCTACGGTGCTAACGCTCAGAAGGGTTTCTTTCCATATGATTGGTTTAATGACTTGAAGAAGCTTGAGTCAGATCACTTCCCATCTTACCAGGACTTTTACTCTTCATTAAAAGGATCCAACACACTTCAACCCACTGCGACGGAAATGTTGGGTGCAGATGAAGTTAACCTTATAGGAAGAAAACCGTCGAAAGGTACCCCACTTACATCCGACGAAATGTTCAAATTCTCTCAGCAGAGATATGAGACAGTAAGCAACATGTTCTACGAAAACAAATGGACTATGAAGGATTATTTAATCCATTATAACAATGCAGATGTCAAACCATTTTTAAGTGCTCTAAAGAGTATGTCTAAGTACTACATCGAACGAGGTGTTGACGCTTTCAAAGACGGATTTTCAGGTAACTAATAAAATCAAAAGATAGGTATTTAAACTGTAAAATAGGTACTGTAAATTATAAAAAAATTATGAATTAATAATATCATATTATAACGACACGGTGAAGTTCTTGGAGCAAATTATGAATTGAATTATTTTACTGTTGCGAACGTAAAATATACATTTTATAATGTTTTCGGTTTCAGTTCCTGGAATTGCAGAGAGGCTTGCGTTCAAAACTTTGAAACCTGATGAAAATTTTCTCCTATTCAATAAAAGGAACGCAGATCTGGTAGAACTTTTCAGAGGAAATAATGTTGGTGGCCCTGCCATCATTTTCGATAGATATCAGGAAGCAGGTGAGTGAAAATGAAAATGATAACGTTTACGTTTAGACATACGGAAGTAATTGAAATAATATTAAATTTGATAACTTGATCTAGAAATAGTTAACTAATGATATATATTCTTGAACAGGTGTCACAAATATCAGACATAGCAACGAAGGAAAGCAGTGTAGGAGAATCTTGGGCTATGATGCAAACGCACTGTACCTCTGTAAGTGAACTTGTATTTCGTTTCCCCCCCCCCCCTTTTTCTTGCAGAGAATTGTGTCAAATTTTCTAAGTTAATCAAGTCTAAAAAAAGCTATTATTGATGTGGAATAAAAATTATTAGGGTGTATGCAGCAACAAATGCCATGTGGTATGTTTCTTCGAAGAAAACGGGAGGATCTTTTCGAGAAGAAATATCCAAAGCCTCATTCTGCTGCGTGCAGTGAATGGATGGGTTATCTTGAAACAACACGAGGGATTGATATACAACATGCACGCAATGGGACTGAATTTAGAGTAGGGAGCAGAAAAATACCGGTGGATGGTTATTCCAGGTTTTACATTAAATAATATAAGTCTTTGTTTCATTTCGATACCCAATTTGTCTAATCGTTGTCAATTATAAACTCTCAGCGTCATTCCTCACGAATTTTTAATTTTGTCTTTTCAGAGAATCAAAGACTGTATTTCAATTCCACGGATGTTTCTTCCATGGGTGTCTTTCCTGTTTTAAGTCTCCACAACACGACCGTGAAGAATCTCGTAACGGTTGGAGATCCTTTGACGATCGCTATAAGACCACTGGAGAGGTATCTGACTACATTACTGATGAGGGATATCGATTAGAGGTGATTTGGGAGTGTGAATGGAAAGATCAGAAGAAAACTGTTGAATTCAAAAACAAATACTTGTATCCGGGAGAGTCGAGTGTTTACATGAGAGAGTCCCAGATACTAGCTATGGTGATGGACGGTAGCATGTTTGGTGTAGTTGAAGTGGATATTGAGGTTCCGGAAGAATTGAAAGATCATTTCACAGAGATGACGCCAATATTCAAAAACACGACCATATCCTTATCAGACATTGGAATTTACATGACGGATCATCTGACTCAATCCAAACAGAATTTCCGAGATCGGAGATGTTTAATTGGATCTATGTTTGGGACCAAAATTCTCTTGATAACTCCACTCCTGATTTGGTATGTAAAGCATGGCCTCAAAGTGACAAAGATATATCAGGTCATCCAATTCGATCCGAAGGAGTGCTTCAAACGATTCGGAGATCAAGTGTCTGACGACCGAAGAGCTGGTGAGTGTAATTACACTTAGAATTTAATAAAGTGTTAAAATAATTATAAACTTTATAATGAACGGTGAACTCTTTAACTCCTTGAGAACTTTTGTTTTAGATAAAACAATTCAGGTGACGCTGACATCAGTAAAAAGATCATTGGTGATACATCAAAGCTTATAGGTTTGAATATTACCTTTTATTTTAACATTTATTGGCGAATTTTAGCGAATTAATAGAAAATAAATCCGTGACAACTATCCTACCACTTTCGTAGGTAACAGTGTGTATGGACATTCGATCATGGACAAATCGAAGCACACTGCGGTCAAGTTTTGTGGAATCGAAAAAGCGTCAAAAGCTATCAACGATCCCTTCTTCAGTTCATTTGAGGAGTGTGGTGAAGAAACATTCGAGGTATTTTTTTTAATAGTAAGAAATAGTAAGAAATAGCAAGAAATAGTAAGAAATAGTAAGAAATAGTAAGAAATAATAAGAAATTAACGTATTAATTTCATATCAGAAATTTAAGATATGAGATTGTTAGCTCTCAAAGTTTGAAACATGTAATATCTTATTACAGATAACGCTGAAAAAGAAGTCTATCAAACACGACCTACCGATCCAGTTAGGCTTCTTCGTATATCAGTATGCTAAGATGCGAATGCTTAGCTTTTACTACGATGTTGTTGATCGATTCGTTGACAGACAAGACTACTGTGTTTTAGAGATGGATACAGGTTTAATTTTAACAGACATAGCCTGACTCATTGTGAGATTATTGGAAATTGAATCTAAAATAGGTCTAATATATCTACATAGGATATTAAAATGTCAAATCTCAAACTATCCTCAGACAGTTTGTATCTTGCCGTCAGTGGAATGGATTTAGACAGTGTCGTAAAACCTGAAATGACACAAGAATGGGAGGAAGCTAAAAAGGAGTGGTTTCCACGGATTGACAGCAAATCCAATGCAGCATACGATCTAAGGACCCCAGGTAACAGAGTGACACAATTATTTAAAGTTATATTTATATTACTCAAGGACATGGACAATTATTGTGATAAGAGACGTCGTCTTCAGTTTGTTGTACCAAATTCTATTTCAGGATTGTTCAAGATGGAATGGGAAGGTGACGGGTTTGTCGGCTTGGCTGCCAAAACTTATTACTGCTTCCATAAGGTTAATAATCTGTAATATGGTTACTTCAAGCACCTGTACATCACTTTTTCCCAAAATGGCTATTGAAAAATGCATCATATACTACTACTGTATTATATGGCCGATATCTCATCAGGAGCAAAATTAGAACGAAGAAAAAAAAACAAGAATTTATGAAACCCCTTAAATCCACTGTTGTATACTGAGTATTATAAAAGAAACTTGAACGTTAAGAGAAGACAAGAACCTGCAGTACAGGAGCCATCGACAGTACCATCATTGCCCACCTCACAATAACTACCAGCAGTGCAGTCCTTTGGTTCGGAGGTACCTGCCGGACACATCTTACCGGCCGGACACACTCCTGTAGGGAGACAGAGGGTGAATGGAGGGATAAAGAGGTGTAAAAAACAGTTGCTGTTTTTGGGAATGTAATGTAATTCAAATTAGTGTCTACAAACTCATGTAGAGTCTGTATAAAAGAATGGATAATATTCTGAAACTTTAACTGATCGAACAGTCCTCCTTGAGCCTCAAGCCGACTTAACCTGATGAATTCAGAATTCATGTAAAATGTAATAAACACATACCCCCAATAGCGTTGTCATCACCCTCACAGTTACAAGCTCCCCCACTATCAGGACAGGGCCGCGGAGTGTGAGACCCGGTAAGACAGTAGAACCCTGCCTCACAGTCTCCCTTGGGTTGTACTGAACCCTCTGTAATAAGGTGGTACGGTTAAGAGAAATGTGGTAAAATGTGGAGATATTTAGTAAAATGTGTTAAAATGTGTTAAAATGTGTTAAAATGTGGTAAAATGTGGTGAATTGTGGAGAATTAAGGAGTAAACTAAGACACATTGTGGTGAAATGAGGCTGGTTTAATGTTATCCTTGTTTCTTACAGTTGATTTGCACAGCTCAGTGAATCTTATCAAGAAAAATACAAGCAGTAAACTTTTTATCTAAGTTAAGTAAAAATATCGTGAAAATGAATTGTAAGTTAATTTAGAAGGTTTTGAAAAGTCACGTACCTAATAAAGTTACAAGATTTAAAAGTCACGTACCTAGACAGTACTGACCCGCTTCACATGGGCTACAGCTTTCTATTGAGGAGGCTTCCAATTTTTGGTTGAACTTCCCTTTTGGACACGGAGTTGGGTTGATTGAGCCTTCCGGGCAGTATTTACCGGCCTGTAGTTGGAGTTTTAGTGAGTGTTTACTTCCGGGCAGTATTTACCGGCCTGTAGCTGGAGTTTTAGTAAGTGTTTACTTCCGGGCAGTATTAACCTGCCTGTAGTTGGAGTTTTAGTGAGTGTTTACTTCCGGGCAGTATTTACCGGCCTGTAGTTGGAGTTTTAGTGAGTGTTTACTTCCGGGCAGTATTTGCCTGCCTGTAGTTGGAGTTTTAGTTAAGTGTTTACTTCCGGGCAGTATTTACCTGCCTGTAGTTGGAGTTTTGGGTGAGTGTTTACTTCCGGGCAGTATTTACCTGCCTGTAGTTGGAGTTTTGGGTAAGTGTTTACTTCCGGGCAGTATTTACCTGCCTGTAGTTGGAGTTTTAGTGAGTGTTTACTTCCGGGCAGTATTTACCTGCCTGTAGTTGGAGTTTTAGTGAGTGTTTACTTCCGGGCAGTATTTACCTGCCTGTAGTTGGAGTTTTGGGTAAGTGTTTACTTCCGGGCAGTATTTACCTGCCTGTAGTTGGAGATTTGGGTGAGTGTTTACTTCCGGGCAGTATTTACCTGCCTGTAGTTGGAGTTTTGGGTGAGTGTTTACTTCCGGGCAGTATTTACCTGCCTGTAGTTGGAGGTTGAGTGAGTGTTTACTTCCGGGCAGTATTTACCTGCCTGTAGTTGGAGTTTTGGGTAAGTGTTTACTTCCGGGCAGTATTTACCTGCCTGTATTTGGAGTTTTGGGTGAGTGTTTACTTCCGGGCAGTATTTACCTGCCTGTAGTTGGAGTTTAAGTAAGTGTTTACTTCCGGGCAGTATTTACCTGCCTGTAGTTGGAGTTTTGGGTGAGTGTTTACTTCCAGGCAGTATTTACCTGCCTGTAGTTGGAGTTTTAGTGAGTGTTTACTTCCGGGCAGTATTTACCTGCCTGTAGTTGGAGTTTTAGTGAGTGTTTACTTCCGGGCAGTATTTACCTGCCTGTAGTTGGAGTTTTGGGTAAGTGTTTACTTCCGGGCAGTATTTACCTGCCTGTAGTTGGAGTTTTGGGTGAGTGTTTACTTCCGGGCAGTATTTACCTGCCTGTAGTTGGAGTTTTGGGTAAGTGTTTACTTCCGGGCAGTATTTACCTGCCTGTAGTTGGAGTTTTGGGTGAGTGTTTACTTCCGGGCAGTATTTACCGGCCTGTAGTTGGAGTTTTAGTGAGTGTTTACTTCCGGGCAGTATTTGCCTGCCTGTAGTTGGAGTTTTAGTTAAGTGTTTACTTCCGGGCAGTATTTACCTGCCTGTAGTTGGAGTTTTGGGTGAGTGTTTACTTCCGGGCAGTATTTACCTGCCTGTAGTTGGAGTTTTGGGTAAGTGTTTACTTCCGGGCAGTATTTACCTGCCTGTAGTTGGAGTTTTAGTGAGTGTTTACTTCCGGGCAGTATTTACCTGCCTGTAGTTGGAGTTTTAGTGAGTGTTTACTTCCGGGCAGTATTTACCTGCCTGTAGTTGGAGTTTTGGGTAAGTGTTTACTTCCGGGCAGTATTTACCTGCCTGTAGTTGGAGATTTGGGTGAGTGTTTACTTCCGGGCAGTATTTACCTGCCTGTAGTTGGAGTTTTGGGTGAGTGTTTACTTCCGGGCAGTATTTACCTGCCTGTAGTTGGAGGTTGAGTGAGTGTTTACTTCCGGGCAGTATTTACCTGCCTGTAGTTGGAGTTTTGGGTAAGTGTTTACTTCCGGGCAGTATTTACCTGCCTGTATTTGGAGTTTTGGGTGAGTGTTTACTTCCGGGCAGTATTTACCTGCCTGTAGTTGGAGTTTAAGTAAGTGTTTACTTCCGGGCAGTATTTACCTGCCTGTAGTTGGAGTTTTGGGTGAGTGTTTACTTCCGGGCAGTATTTACCGGCCTGTAGTTGGAGTTTTAGTGAGTGTTTACTTCCGGGCAGTATTTGCCTGCCTGTAGTTGGAGTTTTAGTTAAGTGTTTACTTCCGGGCAGTATTTACCTGCCTGTAGTTGGAGTTTTGGGTGAGTGTTTACTTCCGGGCAGTATTTACCTGCCTGTAGTTGGAGTTTTGGGTAAGTGTTTACTTCCGGGCAGTATTTACCTGCCTGTAGTTGGAGTTTTAGTGAGTGTTTACTTCCGGGCAGTATTTACCTGCCTGTAGTTGGAGTTTTAGTGAGTGTTTACTTCCGGGCAGTATTTACCTGCCTGTAGTTGGAGTTTTGGGTAAGTGTTTACTTCCGGGCAGTATTTACCTGCCTGTAGTTGGAGATTTGGGTGAGTGTTTACTTCCGGGCAGTATTTACCTGCCTGTAGTTGGAGTTTTGGGTGAGTGTTTACTTCCGGGCAGTATTTACCTGCCTGTAGTTGGAGGTTGAGTGAGTGTTTACTTCCGGGCAGTATTTACCTGCCTGTAGTTGGAGTTTTGGGTAAGTGTTTACTTCCGGGCAGTATTTACCTGCCTGTATTTGGAGTTTTGGGTGAGTGTTTACTTCCGGGCAGTATTTACCTGCCTGTAGTTGGAGTTTAAGTAAGTGTTTACTTCCGGGCAGTATTTACCTGCCTGTAGTTGGAGTTTTGGGTGAGTGTTTACTTCCAGGCAGTATTTACCTGCCTGTAGTTGGAGTTTTAGTGAGTGTTTACTTCCGGGCAGTATTTACCTGCCTGTAGTTGGAGTTTTAGTGAGTGTTTACTTCCGGGCAGTATTTACCTGCCTGTAGTTGGAGTTTTGGGTAAGTGTTTACTTCCGGGCAGTATTTACCTGCCTGTAGTTGGAGTTTTGGGTGAGTGTTTACTTCCGGGCAGTATTTACCTGCCTGTAGTTGGAGTTTTGGGTAAGTGTTTACTTCCGGGCAGTATTTACCTGCCTGTAGTTGGAGTTTTGGGTGAGTGTTTACTTCCGGGCAGTATTTACCGGCCTGTAGTTGGAGTTTTAGTGAGTGTTTACTTCCGGGCAGTATTTGCCTGCCTGTAGTTGGAGTTTTAGTTAAGTGTTTACTTCCGGGCAGTATTTACCTGCCTGTAGTTGGAGTTTTGGGTGAGTGTTTACTTCCGGGCAGTATTTACCTGCCTGTAGTTGGAGTTTTGGGTAAGTGTTTACTTCCGGGCAGTATTTACCTGCCTGTAGTTGGAGTTTTAGTGAGTGTTTACTTCCGGGCAGTATTTACCGGCCTGTAATTGGAGTTTTAGTGAGTGTTTACTTCCGGGCAGTATTTACCTGCCTGTAGTTGGAGTTTTAGTGAGTGTTTACTTCCGGGCAGTATTTACCGGCCTGTAGTTGGAGTTTTAGTGAGTGTTTACTTCCGGGCAGTATTTACCTGCCTGTAGTTGGAGTTTTGGGGGAGTGTTTAATTTTCAATGCTAAGAGTGCAAGTGGCTAGGACTTTTAAGTTTTAGCAAAACCATATGAAATGTTTTTATGTATTTTCATCCTGATAAATGTTACCTTGCATTTTGTTAATATTGAATGGAAATTTGTATCCTAAAACGAATTGCGCCTTACCATTTGTAGATTATACAACATTTGTAGATTATCCTGTGCTCACCGTGACTAGTAAATCACCACTACTGCACAGTCAGTCTTGGTGTTATGTATATAATCACAGGTTATATGTCGTTATTACTGGTATTTCATACTGATAGTTGATACGTCAGACCACGTCACCTTATCCCTAAAATACCTACTCTATCGAGGTCGCGGCTCTGCAGCAGTAAGCATAAAGTATAAACTATAAACTACTCAAAAACCGAAATTCATAATTCCAGGAATACGATCATGTGATAGTATACACATGAAAGTATCGGTACTAAAATCAAACTTTGTAACTAATATTTTACTGGTATGTTAATTGTTAGGTATTTGGCCAGGTACCTACTCAAAAACCGAAATTCATAATTCCAGGAATGAGGAATAAAATCATGTGACAGTACATAATTTGTAAAGTCAAAATGTTAACTCAAATAGTCGGATTACAGATAATGTGCTCATGGGTGCTCATTGCTCAATGACATGTTTAGACAACACTACAACACTTTTCAATTAACTCGCTCTCAACTCACAATTTGTTGGATCGTTGTTTTTGTTAAACATTATGTTCCTGAAAGTGGTTATGCTAGCTACACTCTTCAATATTGGAGGTATTTATTTGAAACCAGTTTACGTTTATAATTCTAATTTTCAATAAGAGTTTAATGCAACAAAACGATGCAGTAATTAGAGTGTCTCCTGCTGTACAATTAGAGTGTATCCTGCTGAAGTGTCGTGCATTAGAATTTAGAAAACGTGCAAGAATGAATGTCACAGGTTTGATCATTTCAGAGTCCAGGTTTCAATTGGTAAACAGCGTTGGACGCCCTATAACGTATTCATCACAAGCACTACTACTGTATAACGGTGGTACCGTTTGCGATGATTCGTTTAGTGATAACTCCGCGAGTGCCATATGCAAACTGATGGGGTTTAGCTATGCTAGTAGTTGGACACACGGGAGCATTTGGACATCTCTTCAGAACAGTTATCATATTACGCTTGATGATGTAATCTGCTCCTCATCAAACTGGCTTTCTTGCATTTACCGGGATACAGCTGAGGATTGTGGCCATCACGAAGACGTGTTTCTAAGATGCGCAGGTACAGGTTCTTCTGTATGGTGTCCACCAGGACAATATCTCCGCTCAAGAACACAGTGCACACTGTGCCCCTCCAATACGTACAAAGCTCACGGAGGATCGGAGAGTTCCTGCTTATCTTGTCCTGGATCCTCCACCTTAACTGCTGGTTCAACTTCCTGCTCTTGCTCAGGTGGGCAATACTGGAGCGACACCCAATGTGTGAGCTGTCCTCAAGGCATGGCCAGTCTAGAAGGATCGCTGCAATGCCAAGCCTGTCCATCAGATTCCGCTGCATTAAATAGTGGGACCTCGTGCAGCTGCTCACCTGGGATGATATGGAGCTGGGATGGAGAAACATTGAGTTTGTGCAAAGACTGTCCCTCTGAGACTTACAAGGATGAAGGAATGCTGACCTGCACCGCTTGCCCGTTGAGAACTACATCTTCAGCAGGATCTACTCATTGCTCTTGCCAAGCAGGGATGTACTGGAGTGGAGAAGGATGTCTGCATTGCACCCAGGGCTCGGTAAGTCAAGAGGCCGCCCTTCAATGTCAGGAGTGTCCAGCGGGATTTACGTCTTTACAAGGAGAGATCTCTTGTGGCTGCCCACCAGGATCAATATGGAGTTGGGATGTAAAGACCTGGGGTTCCTGTAAAGACTGTCCCCCTGGGACTTACAAAGATGAAGAAATGCTGACCTGCACCGCTTGCCCACTGAACACAACATCCCTTAAAGGTTCTGGATACTGTTCTTGCCATGAAGGGATGCACTGGAACAAAACCCGTTGTGAGAACTGCGCCCAAGGTACGGTCAGCCAAAACGGGGCATTTCGGTGTCTAGAATGTCCAATAGGATCCCTTCCATTAGAAAACGAGACCACCTGCAGCTGTGAAGTTGGAATGGTATGGAGCTGGGACGGAGAAACATTGGGCTCCTGTAAAGACTGTCCCCCTAGGACTTACAAAGATGAAGAGATGCTGACCTGCACCGCTTGCCCACTGAACACAACATCCCTAAAAGGTTCTGGATACTGTTCTTGCCATGAAGGGATGCACTGGAACAAAACCCGTTGTGAGAATTGCACCCAAGGTACGGTCAGCCAAAACGGGGCACTTCAGTGTCTAGAATGTCCAGTAGGATCCCTTTCATTAGAAAATGAGACCACCTGCAGCTGTGAAGTTGGAATGGTATGGAGCTGGGACGGAGAAACATTGGGCTCCTGTAAAGACTGTCCCCCTAGGACTTACAAAGATGAAGAAATGCTGACCTGCACCGCTTGCCCACTGAACACAACATCCCTTAAAGGTTCTGGATACTGTTCTTGCCATGAAGGGATGCACTGGAACAAACCCCGTTGTGAGAAGTGCACCCAAGGTACAGTCAGCCAAAACGGGGCGCTTCGGTGTCTAGAATGTCCAATAGGATCCCTTTCATTAGAAAATGAGACCACCTGCAGCTGTGAAGTTGGAATGGTATGGAGCTGGGACGGAGAAACATTGGGTTCCTGTAAAGACTGTCCCCCTGGGACTTACAAAGATGAAGAAATGCTGACCTGCACCGCTTGCCCACTGAACACAACATCCCTAAAAGGTTCTGGATACTGTTCTTGCCATGAAGGGATGCACTGGAACAAAACCCGTTGTGAGAATTGCACCCAAGGTACGGTCAGCCAAAACGGGGCACTTCAGTGTCTAGAATGTCCAGTAGGATCCCTTTCATTAGAAAATGAGACCACCTGCAGCTGTGAAGTTGGAATGGTATGGAGCTGGGACGGAGAAACATTGGGCTCCTGTAAAGACTGTCCCCCTAGGACTTACAAAGATGAAGAAATGCTGACCTGCACCGCTTGCCCACTGAACACAACATCCCTTAAAGGTTCTGGATACTGTTCTTGCCATGAAGGGATGCACTGGAACAAACCCCGTTGTCACGTTGTGAGAAGTGCACCCAAGGTACAGTCAGCCAAAACGGGGCGCTTCGGTGTCTAGAATGTCCAATAGGATCCCTTTCATTAGAAAATGAGACCACCTGCAGCTGTGAAGTTGGAATGGTATGGAGCTGGGACGGAGAAACATTGGGTTCCTGTAAAGACTGTCCCCCTGGGACTTACAAAGATGAAGAAATGCTTACCTGCACCGCTTGCCCACTGAACACAACATCCCTAAAAGGTTCTGGATACTGTTCTTGCCATGAAGGGATGCACTGGAACAAAACCCGTTGTGAGAATTGCACCCAAGGCTCAGTAAGTCTCGAAGGTGCCCTTCAGTGTCAGGAGTGTCCATCCGGATCCACAGCATTAAACAACGCATCATCCTGCAGCTGCCCGATAGGACAGATATGGAAGTGGGATGGGGATACGAACAGCTCCTGCACGCCATGCCAAAGAGATACTTATAAAGGAGAGTCTATGGCAACATGTGCTGCGTGCCCTGCATTCTCATCCTCAGATCCTGGCTCTGAAAAATGTAAGTGCATTGCTGGCATGTTCTGGAACAGTACCCGATGTCAAGAATGCACCAACAGCTCCGTCAGCCAGGAACGTTCCCTAAGTTGTGCAACATGCCCTGCTGGCTACCCACCCATAGAAAGAGGAAGGGAATGTAATTGTCCAGAAGGTGTGATTTGGAAATGGAACGGGACTCACCACGGTTTTTGCCAGCCATGTCCTCCTGGCACCTACAAGAATGAAAATATGTCGTCCTGCACAGTTTGTCCAGAAGGTACGACATCTCTCGCAAAGTCTCATTACTGCCAATGTAATGCCGGGATGTACTGGAATCAGTCAAGCTGTTACAGTTGCAGCCTAGGTTCTGTCAGTCCACCAGGGTCACAAGAATGCCAGCTTTGTCGTCAAGGAACATCTGCTGATCCCGGGAGATCATCCTGCAGCTGCCCTAAATGGAGATCATGGAACTGGAGTGAAGGGGGTGTTGGGTCTTGTCTGTCTATTCCAAAAGATCTTCTCTTAGTGCCGGTACTAGCTTGTACCACAGGGCTCCTGATGGTAGTCTCTACTGCTCTGGGCTTGCTGTTCTGCTGTGAGAGGAAGAAGGGAAAGAAAGAAGATAAGGGACTTGGGAAGGTTGCATATAATGCTTCAAGTGGAGTGCACCTGGGTGAAGAGGAGGGGAGTTCTCCTACTACAGATGACAAATCTGACAACATTTACGAGAACTATGAAACTTAACGGTAAATATTCTTTGAAAATTTGGCAATACTTCAAGCACATTTCATTTGCCACGCAGCCACGCTATCTGTATCACTATATTTTTGAAATTTATCTTTGACACTCCTTTACCTATTAGTATTACACGGTACACCAATAACCATTAACCATCTTCATTCTACAACCTCAGGTGAACCTTACAAGACGAGAAGTACAGCAGTGACGTTTCTCCCGCTTGATAGCAGCACTGCAAAAACTTAAAAAGTTATTTCGTTTTGAAGTTTGGACTAACTGATCTTTATATGTATTAAGCTGCAGACAAGTTTGTCTGAAAGAATAATTTAAGTTCAAGTACTAATTTTAAAGTGTATTTTTGATAAATGATTGAATTTTTTAGAGACCACAATATGTTGTGAAATTTTGATACTTATTACTTTAAATATTTGTATTCTTCTTGCAGGAATATTCACCTTGGAACTGTTAAGGACCGCAAAATCTTTAGAAATTTGTTAAAAGTTATTTGGTTTTGAAGTTTGAACTAACTGATCTTTATATGTATTAAGCTGCAGACAAGTTTGTCTGAAAGAATAATTTAAGTTCAAGTACTAATTTTAAAGTGTATTTTTGATAAATGATTGAATTTTTTAGAGACCACAATATGTTGTGAAATTTTGATACTTATTACTTTAAATATTTGTATTCTTCTTGCAGGAATATTCACCTTGGAACTGTTAAGGACCGCAAAATCTTTAGAAATTTGTTAAAAGTTATTTGGTTTTGAAGTTTGGACTAACTAATCTCTAAGCCGCAGACAGAATTATCAAATTTAAAGTTTATTAATTGTAGTGTATTTTTGACAAATTATTGAACCTTTTTAAAGACCACATGTTGCGAACTTTTCATACATGGTGTTAATTTACTTTTTTACTTTTGTTTTATTTCGAAGTTTAACTGCTTAAAATTTAAGAAATAAGTCGTCCTGGTCTTTTTTATTCAATATTTTGAAAGTAGGATTATTTCATCATCAGTGCATTTATACGACAATCACAGTAAACATCGAGAATACCAACAGACTGTAGCAATAAAGCAATAAGTACACCTTACCTCACACTGTTTGATGGTAACACTGCTGGTACCAGAAGTTTGACAGAACATACCAGCAGTACAGGGTTTACAAACTGCAGCTCCGGGGGCGTCTGTGAACATTCCCGCCGCGCACTCCTTCATGGCTTCCGATCCTGGGGGATGGGGCTAGTTACCATAGTTACTGTGAGTTAGTTAGATCAAAAATCAATAGTTCCCACAGTCAGACAACGAAAGTCAAACTCTCAAAAAGGGGATGGGCTAGTTACTGCGGCTGGTGAAGGAGTTGATTGTTAGAGCTCTGGCTTTAGATCATCGTAAAATATGTAAAATCAATCTAACCTTCTTTACATCAAGTTCTGTAAAGCTAATTTTGCCTCGCATAGTTCATCTTTAACATAGTTAATCTATATTACTACGTAAAAATTCCATACGTCATCTACTTTATCATCTACATCTCTACATATGATAAGAACTACAAACCCTGAGGACAGTAAAAGCCTTGCTCGCACTCCCCTACATCTACATAATATCTACAACTCTACATATGATAAGAACTACAAACCCTGAGGACAGTAAAAGCCCTGCTCGCACTCCCCTCCCATACTCTCCTCATCAGGGGTAGATGAGGTTGAGCCCTCTTTGCAGTAGTAACCCTCACTACACGGCCCACTTACTTCTGTTAGACCCTGTGATGAGACAAGTGTAATAGTGAGAAGTAGCTATATAGGGAGTGTTTAGTATAATAGACAATACGGACAATACAGTTCCCACGGACAATATATTTCACACGGACAATACAGTTCACACGGACAATACAGTTCACACGGACAATACAGTTCACACAGACAATACAGTTCACACGGACAATACAGTTCACACGGACAATATATTTCACAAGGTTAATCTTGGTCGACAATGTTATAAAATTTTATCAATGATGAATATTTTCAAAATGTTTGAGTTCAAAGTCTTTCAAAAATCATTCGATTCAAATTTTACAACGTAATGAATAATACATAAGAAAAAAATATATATATATAAGAAAATGATAAGGTATCGACACTCTGTTCACGTGACTTACAGGATCCTTGCAATAGCTTCCAGCAGTACATATTGTACAATTATTAACATCGCTCAATCCTGTGGTTCCTCCGAAGTAACCTATGGAGTTTAAAGGTTAGAGCCAAAGGATAAATTAAGTTTTAAAGATAAATAAATATTCGAGTGTTGGCGAAACGTTAAAAGCATGCTGAACAAATAATTATCACTGATTATATGGGCGATTTGAAAGTTTGCTAATCACAACCACGTGACCTAACCACGTGACACAGTCACAATTACCCCTAAATCTCTATAAAAACAACGCACCAGCAGGACACTGAAGAGTGGCCTGGTAAGTGCCCGCAGGACAGTAATACCCTTGTCTGCAATCCTCTGGGACACCGGTCTCACATTGTTTACCAGCCGGACATTCTTCACATTCCTCTGACGCTTCCACGCTGGGGAAGGAGGGGCGGTTAGCAGGTTAGTGGTGGAATCTTAGGAACCATGTCATGTGGGAGGGAGGGGTGGTTAGCAGGTTAGTGGTGGAATCTTAGGAACCATGCCATGTGGGAGGGAGGGGTGGTTAGCAGGTTAGTGGTGGAATCTTAGGAACCATGTCATGTGGGAGGGAGGGGTGGTTAGCAGGTTAGTGGTGGAATCTTAGGAACCATGTCATGTGGGAGGGAGGGGTGGTTAGCAGGTTAGTGGTGGAATCTTAGGAACCATGCCATGTGGGAGGGAGGGGTGGTTAGCAGGTTAGTGGTGGAATCTTAGGAACCATGTCATGTGGGAGGGAGGGGTGGTTAGCAGGTTAGTGGTGGAATCTTAGGAACCATGTCATGTGGGAGGGAGGGGTGGTTAGCAGGTTAGTGGTGGAATCTTAGGAACCATGCCATGTGGGAGGGAGGGGTGGTTAGCAGGTTTGTGGTGGAATCTTAGGAACCATGTCATGTTATTGTGTGTAGTTATTGTAGCCTTTTCATTGAAATAAAATGTGAATATTCATGGTCGCGATGACTGGTACGATTCCTTCAGATTGGCTGTTAAAATCACCCTTAGCTAGATCATTAGCTTTAGTTCTATCAACCACTTAAACATTTTCAAAAATTAGGAAATACCAAACCAATCGACTTAGAATCCAGCTTCAACAACTGAAAATTAAACTTCTCACAAACTGAACTATCAGGCAGTCAGACAGAGTTTATCTCTCACCTAAAGGAGCCCTGTTGACATGGTGTCTCCTCGATACTCCCCTCCTCGCAGTAGTACCCTGCTCTACAAGGGTGCGCGTTCCCAGTCTGTGGGGAGGTGTTATTAGGTGTGGGAAGAGGTGTTGTGGTGTTGTTTTAATTGTTTAGTTTTTTACTTGCTGTGGGAATATTGAGCGATTTTTTAATTTTGGGATCATGTATTGTTTAGTGAGAAATTGATTAATTTAGTCAAAATCTATGTTTTGAAGATGTCAATTCTCTAATTAGGAAGATATGATTAATCATCCTTTAAATAAATAATAACCGCTCCAAATCCTCACAAAAACTACTGAAAAATACATACAGCAGATCCAGCCGGACAGTAGTAGCCCTTAGGACAGGTCACACTCTGACCCTCAGCCTGGGGATCCACAGTACCAGGATTAGGACAGTACATTCCTCCTGGACACTGGAGACAGTCTGACACATCATCCTAGACAGGTGGAGATATTGTTAGGGGTAGTGATATTAATTCAGTAGTAGTTGTGTCCTAGACAGGTGGAGATATTGTTAGGGGTAGTGATATTAATTCAATAGTAGTTGTGTCCTAGACAGGTGGAGATATTGTTAGGGGTAGTGATATTAATTCAGTAGTAGTTGAGTTCTGTTGGATTAAGCATTTCACAAGATTATTAACAGTTATCAAAAAAGGTTACATCAAAGTTTAGAATATTGAAAAGAAATGTAATAAAGCACTAAAGATCGCACACAAATCTCACCTGGAGAGTCTTCTTGTTGTATCTACCAGCGGGACACTTATCAGGGTGGTGAGTTCCCTCCCCACAGTAGGAACCTGCCGGACACTCATTTCCGGCGGGTTTACTCTCCGGAGATGCTTCCGGACAGAAGTAACCAGGTGAGCAAGGACCCGTGAAGGTGATTCCACCTCCTGATCGGGAGGGGGAGGTTAGAGGCAAATGGGTTATTTTGAGAATTCTTTAAAACAAGGATTTGTTTTGTTCACTATACGTGCAGATTCTTAGGATAAAGTTGCGATTCTATCAACAAAAAGACTCACATCACTCACATCACTCACATCACTCACATCACTCACATCACTCACATCACTCACATCACTCACATACCTGCACAGAACTTGCCACTAGGGCACTTCTGACACTGTTCTTTAGCAGCTAGACCTGTACTGCTACTGTAGTAGCCCGGTTCGCAGGGCAACTCAGTTGTTGTACCTGATGATTTACACAGGATTACACAGGATTAAAATTAAATTATAGGTCCACTATCGTGAACCGTCATAATTGTTTACAGAATAAAATATTGAAAACATTCATCTGATGATGATCATGGACTATGATTATTTGGAGACAAACTTGAAAGTTTTTCCGTATGAAAGTCGACATTTTTTGCGGTAAAGCCTACGATGAAGATTGAAAACGCAAGTATCGAATAATCAACCAATTATTGGTATAAGTTTTATAAGACAAACCTTCAGGACAGTAGTGTCCAGCTTTACATTCAGCTGGTGCAGCCTCGTGAGACCCAGCATCACAGTAGTATCCTGAGAGAAAGGGCGTTTGAATATCTACTGATTGATGGGTCGTTTGATAATAAGACAATGGCAAACCGATGGTTAAGTATCGTCTTTTAAAGTTAATACTGATTTTGATAAACCATAAAAAGTTGAATTGAACTGGAACGTGTATCTTATTTCAAGAATGTAGGGAATGTTCTGACCAGCAGTGCAATCGAGGAATGTTTCACCGTCATGGCCCGGTTCCGGACAGTACTTTCCAGCCGGGCATTTGAAACAGGAATCTGCGTCAGATCCTCCTTCTACATCTCTGTACGTCCCACGTGGACATTCCTCCGCAGCCTACGGAGGAAACATTCAAAAAATGCTTCTTGTGATTTTAGAACGATAAAAATGCAGCTTTGTAATTTTTCATTATTCTGTAACAATAACATGAACATTTCCTTGTGTTTTACCAACCGAGGCAGCGAGACAGAAGTGGCCGACAGGGCACGGTGCAGTAGCCGCAATACCGGTACCGTCCCCACTGACACAAGTCTTTCCGGCTGGACAATCTTTACACGATGCCGATCCTGGGACAAGGTTTAAATCCTCCTTAAAGTTGCAGATATCTTTGTTTGTTCCGTATATTTTTAATTTTCCCGGAAAATGATAATTAAACTTGCAAGTAGTATTTTTGATATCTCGTCAGAAAAACAAAATCGGATCCAGCCAACCGGACTTGCAATAGTCGATTTGACCGCGGCAGTGGTTAAAACACCAACCTGGTTGGTCCTGATAAGTGTTATCTAGACAGGGAACCTGCTCGGAACTTCCTGCCTCACACTTGTACCCCGCACTACACTTGTTCTTGTACCCGTCATCACTACCTGGATAACAAGGGGTTCAAACTGGATGACAGGGTGCTTCTTATCTTAGGATCTAAGAAACAAGGCAATGATACAAACACTGTTTTATCAAAATAACCGAATGACTACAAACCCTTTAATTAATTAATTAACCGTACCTTGTGGGCAAAAGTAATTTCCAGGACACTGCAGACCCGTCTCCATGCCGGGTTCGTTACAGTAGAACCCTTCAGGACATGTGGTACAATCTGCAGGAGCGGTGTTCTCCTTCGCTCCGCTGTACTTTCCTATAGGACATCTGTGGAGTTTGGGAGAGTTAGAGGAGGATATTGACTTGTTAGGTAGGATCGGTCTTTATCAATTGTTTGAAAATGCGGGTTTTTTTACAGTCAAGTCCGAGCAAATTTTATCTACATACGAAGTCAACAGTTGTTCTCGGTGCATTCCTCGGTGCATTCCTTACCAGTTTTGGACTGATTAGAAACCGACTCATAAACAGATCTCAGAAATGTGAGTGTTTTCCAGATAAACTTACTGGTCAGGAGGATCCCCGGTTCCCTCCGGACAGTAGTGTCCAGCCGGACAGATAACCGGTTTAGCGGTCTTAGATCCCGGACCACAGTAGAATCCGGCAGAGCACTTGTGTTCCGTTCCTGTCCCCATTTTCTCTGCAGTAAACGGAGCTTTAGCAAGATTTCACATAAAACATCTTTTTAAATGCTAAGTTCAATGAACTTGTATATTAATGGGAACTACTCATTTAACTTGAGCGTAAACTCTCGTTCACATAATTCGAACTAAATCAATAATGAAGAGTTCGCACCGGCAGGACAGTAGAACCCGTTGGGACACTCCTTAGCTTCTGTAGACCCCTCCTCGCAGTAGAAGCCAGGCTGGCAAGGTCCAGAACAGATCTCAGTTCCTGTTTCCTCTTCCTTCACACAATTATACGCAGGTTCACTTGTCTGCTGACCTGAATAAATTAATTATTATTATAAATTATTATTACTATTATTACATATTAATTAAGGTATTTTGATAAAGAGGTTTTTAGAAAATTTAACACATTACTTATGCTCATTATTCCTCATTTATTTCTTGTTTGATTCTAAACAAATTTGTAGACGTTCAAGAGATCGGTAGCAACAGTTGTATGGCTAAAATTATATAAAAATTAGTAAAACTAATAAAAAACAAATGTTAATAAAACACAACTTACTCTTGCCACAGTAGTATCCGGCAGCACATTTGGTATCCTTATAGGTTGAGAGACCTGGAGTCTTGCAATAGTAACCACCAGGACACGGCATACAAGAAGCGTCTGTTTCAGCTCCTGCAAATATCGCAAGTGTTAGTCTTCTGTTTTAACACCTGACAATGTTGCACGTGTGATTGCGCGCAACAAATTAGATGTCGATCATTTTGAAGAACCCGTCTTCAAGAATGAAGGCAACTTATCAACAGAAATGCAGCTAGAAATATAAAGTATGTTTCCCGCACGTTTTTCTTCATTGTAAGTTCCAACAGGACAAGGTGACTGCTCGGCACTCTTGGTGCCCTCCTCACAGTAGTAGCCGGTAGGACACTCGTTGATGGTACTGAGCGAGGGTGTTTCTTTCTCGCAATAATACCCAGCCTGAGGGGATGTTGTTATTCATATAAATTAGAAAAGGCTTGTGCTGCAAGTGTCGTGATGTTACAGCCGTGGACGGTGGAATCCTGACCAAGATTAATAAATGATTTCTATTTATTTGTTCAGTTGTTGAAAATGATGACAACACCGTCTAAAAGTGATGACGTCACCACCCGAAGGTTATGATGTCATAACAAAAACCTCACCTGGCAAACGAGGCACTCTGACATTCCCTCGTTATCCTGGAATGTTCCCGGCTCACAGGGAGTTTGCGATGCTGCTCCCGTGTCACACATGTGACCTTTACTGCATAGCTTCTCGTCACTTGCTGTCCCTGTCTGGAAACATCACAATCATTATCATACCGCAAATTGACGAGGGGCCCCATTTATTTTTAATTGATTGAATGAGGTCCAGCGGTATTCATTTCATTTCAGTATGAGCACTTTCCAGACAGACTTAACAAAAATAAGTTTAGACGACTAAACTTTCGAACTTTACCACACACCCCCTCCAACTCATAAAGAAGCTTGTGTTCAAGTTTTTTGGTATCTCACCTCACAGTAGTAACCAGAAGGACAGGCCTCAGTAGCATCCTGAAGACCAGGTTCAGGGCACCTGAATCCAGCTCTACAGGCAGTGCAGGAGTCAGCGTCAGGGATGTTCTCTGTAGGCCCGAAACTTCCTGCATTGGATGTTTTTTAGTGATATGATAAAAGATAGTTGTGTGGAATTTCTTCTTGATTTGGACTGTTCATACAAGGCGAATGATCCAATTAAATTGAGATTCTGGTGCTAAACAAAGCTTGACTTGAACGTCGAACTATGTTTACGGGGGTTACACAAGGTGAATTGTCCAAGTCAATTGCTTCCCAAGTAATAAGTAATCCGGGACACATTCTTGTACTCTCTGCCTCAATCATAGAGTCTGGCAAACTCTAATCACAGGTTAGTCAGGCAGTGGCTCACACTCTGTTGATATCTCTTAAGGGAATCAACAACAAAAATTCTTGTAATTCCACGTACCCTCAGGACACTGCTCCTTCCTCTCAGTCCCCTCCAGACAGTAAAACCCTTTACCACAGTTAGCTTGTGTAGCTGATGTAGAACCGTAGTCACAGAAGTAGCCCGCTCTACATAGCTTAGTTTCTATTGTGTCGGAGTTAATGGCGGGTTCGTCACAGTATCTGGAGGGGAGGTGAAGATAATTTAACTAGATCGTGATTGTAAATGCCTTCGATTGATGAAATTTATTGCAAAAAAATAACAATTCGGATACTATACTTATAGACTGCAAAAACAAGAGCAACCCGTTTCACATACCTTCCTTGCAAGCACACTTCACAGGCATCTGATGATTCTAGTCCTTCGGATGCACCGTAAGTGCCAACTTGGCAAGGTTTTGGGGTCTGAAAAATAAAATAAATTGTTTTAGCTTACGTAGACGTCCTTTGGTATGACATGGTGAATTAAGATAATAAAAGGTTACAGCTTGAGGTCAAATACATAGATTCATTCCAATTCTAGATTCAAAAGCCAAGATTCATAGAGCATTAGTTTGATTTTTCTGAGCCAACCAAACGATGACCAACACAATCCAAGTTAAGCTATGTAAGATATAATTACCTCTCCGGAAAGACAGTAGTAGCCCTGAGGACACTTCTCACTGGTCGTGGTGGAGCAGTTCTTACCTGCCTCGCAATCCTGGCACTTTGCCATCTGGCAGGAGTAACAGAGGTTAACTTTTATATTTGGAAAGTATTTGAAACATTTGCAGAGAGTTATTTTAATTAAGAAAACAAATAACAACAACGCCTTGTCGAATGCGAAAAAAGAAAGACACAACAAGCAGATTTGCTGACCCCGTCAGTGTTAGCAAGAGTTCCAGGAGCACACTCCTCCGGGAGAGTGGTTCCCTCCGGACACTGATGTCCGGGTGGACAAACTCCGGCTAGTGCCATATCATCCTCCTTTTCGTAGTCGTTAGCCGACGGAGACTCTTCTTTAGCTCCTGTTATGGATAATGTTAAAATTAGTAGAGCCAGTCCGAGTTAACACTAGTCTAGCATCACGGGCGTACAGGTAAAATTAATGTTATTATGATCCCAAAAAATCTATATTTCGTCAGAAAAAGATCGTGCATTGTTAAAAATCATACTATATTCAATTTACCATTTTTTTGCATATATCTAAAATTACGGATTTCAAATTAGAAAGGATTTACAAAGTATCCCTGAAGCAGATAACATACCCTTCCAGCAGTAGAAGCCCTCTTGACATTTAGCAGAGGGACTTGTCAGAGCTTGTATCTCACAGTAGTGACCCCCCAGACATGGCCTACAGAAGGAGACGTCCGTACCCTAAAGCAAGTGGAGAAGGGTTAGTTATCCTTTTTGTAGATATCTTTCAAATCAATCAATTTCAGATAAAAATAGATAGTCGCGTGACTTGGAGCGGTATACTTATCAGCAAATAAAAGGTTACATGATAAACTCTCAAAAGTGTTTTAAGATCGGTTTAAAAAACCCACCCGTTTATCAGGGTTGTAGGTACCCTTGAGACAGGGTACCATGGCAGTAGCTCCAGCACCACACCAGTGTCCTTTATCGCACTCTCTTCCGCCTTGTGATGACGTCACTGAAGGAGAGATGACGTCATAAGGTCATGTTAGTTTTAAAGATATGGTAATTTATGGTCGGGAACGTCATCCCCCAACCAAGACTAACCAAGACATGGAGATAACAATTTCCTAACATGGTAGCCGACTTGAACAAAATTCTCGGTCTAGTATCAAATATCGAATAAGCACTTTAAATTAACTAACTTGGGTTGCCGAGAGTTGCTCCTCCAGTGCAGTAGAAACCAGCATCACAGTCCTGGCCGTCAGTAGCTCGACCTGTACCAGTGCAGTATTTACCTGCCGAGCAGGGCAGACAGGCTGCCTCTGTGGACTGTTGTGTTCTGAGGTAGTTAGTTTAGTAGGGTTTGAAAATGAGAATAGGAGACAGCTTACTGCTTTACTGATTGAATCGTATTAGAACAAATATGTACATGAGAAAAACTCAACATCAATGATCAAAGTGAGCACTTGAAGACAAAATATTGAATATATTTCTTGATATGTATTTGAAACTCAACCCATGAACATTGAACGTGAGCACTAAGGTTTCTTACTTGGTATTAAACGTTCCCTCTTCACACGGGTAGATAATCCCACCAGAACAGTAGTGTCCCGCAGTACAAGGTTGAGGGTTGGAGATGGAGATGGTACAGTCGGAGTCAGTGGAGTCAGCTTTACACGCTGACTCAGTGAAGGTGAAGGAGCAGTCCTGAATCAGGGTAGACGCTGTGCAGTAGTGACCTGGGTGAGGTGAGAATAAGAGGACAGTAAGAGTAGTGTAATACATTGTCATGTGGTGTGGGTACCTATTTAGATCTAACAAACTGGATTATTTGGGAGCTGTTCCGTTTAGAGTAAGGTTAAAATCAGCAGTCAAACTGAAACAAAATAAGAAATATCCTGATGAATAAAGAGTAATACATAAAGAAGAAAGTGAGTTATGTCCAATTTAAGGATAAGACTGAATCTGGACGAGTCATTTTATGTCCCAAAAAATAATTTCCACCCGAGCTGAACATTTTGCACCCTTTGAACATCCTCGATCTGCTTGAATCTCAAAAATGGCGAGCTGGAGGCCAGTCTTACAAGTTCTAATCAGACGTATTAGAGCTACTTCAGCTAGTGATTAATCCGACATGTTATAAGAGTAAAGAGTAAAGAGTAAAGAGTAAAGAGTAAAGAGTAAAGAGTAAAGAGTAAAGAGTGAAAAGAGTCAAGAGTAAAGAGTAAAGAGTATAGAGTAAAAAGTAAAGACATACCTTCAGGACAGATATCACAAGTACCACTCTCCTCATCAGGCTGGTATGTGGTCTCTTCGCAGAGTTTAGGATGTGTGGAACCCTCAGGACACTTGAACCCTACCATGCACTTGTAGTCGGTTGGACTTCCTGTTTCCTGCCCTGAGAAATAACATGTTACTGATGACGTAATTTTACTGATGACGTAATTTTACTGATGACGTAATTTTACTGATGACGTAATTTTACTGATGACGTAATTTTACTGATGACGTAATGTTACTGATGACGTAATTTTATTGATGATCTGTCAAATTTAAATTTCGTGTCGAGGAGGACATGAATATTACAATATTTAATTTATGATCCGAACTGAGCCAGATCCCACAAACCTCCAGGACAGAAGAATCCCTGGTTACAAAGTTTCCCGTCGACACTACTCATACCATTAGTATCACAGTAGTGACCAGCTTTACAGGGTACACAGTCATCCACCTTCTCTTTCTGAACAAAAATAGTCGTCAATATCGCAATTAGTTCATTAGATAAAGTTCATCATATCATTCCGAAAAAAAAACCGGAATTCAAAACAGGTGCGCTAAACCGGCAAAAAATGTCCACAAAACCAGAAGTCAAAACAGAGGAACAAAATAAATACAGCGAATTATACAAGTAAGATAAGGGACGACAGATCACGGCACTCACCCCCTTGTCAGGATTGTATGTTCCAGGTAGGCACTGTATTGGGTCACCTTGTCCTGCTGGACAGTAACTACCTGCAGGACACTCCACCGCTGAAATTGCGAAAAACTTTAAAACTTAAAACAGTGTTGTAATCCTGATTTACATCTTAGGACTTTTTATATCAGCTTTAACTAGCTCATGAGTTCAACAATGTTACAAATCTCCAAATTTCAATTTAAACCTTTGCGTATATCTTCTAAAATTATTCTACATGATTAGTTAAAGTTAAAAGTAATGGGTACACGCAGCTGTTTTGAAATAATAAGTTTTGGAATAATTGGATACTTATTTATGAAATATTTGCCCGTTCACCCACTAAAAGCACTTATAACTCACCAGTAGGTGTAGTTGACTGTGCGGGGCAGTAATAACCAGCATCACACTTGTTTACCAACTCAAAGTTGCCGTCTCCACTACAGTAGTAGCTCTTAGGACACGCTTCAGGGGTTCTGGATCCTGCTGCACAGTAGAAACCTGGCCCACACACTCCGCCTGAAACATATTGACATGACGTCACTGGGTGATGACGTCAGAGAATGGTTGAGGACAGAAATATAGCTGAAATTCTTTCAAGATTTTATCATGCAGGAGTTCAAAAGTTTATGCTTAACAAAAAAGCTTGACTCCTGGGCACGGCACGGTCAAAAAGTCGATCAAATCTCAGAAATCTGACACGGTAAATCAGAGTTCAACTGTAACTGTTTAATACATGCTACTGAAATCTCTAAAACCCTGAAATCCCCCAGTCACGTACCGTGCTCACCGTCACTCTCACTAACACTACCCGCAGAACACCACCTCCCCTCGGCACAGTCGTGTGGTATAGCTGTAGCTTCCTCGCAGTACTTTCCTGCAGGACACTCTATACAGGAACCTGGATTGTCTCCTCCTGGTTCTCTGAAGGTATATGTTGTAATAAGCTGGATTTATAAACCTTACTATTATAGTTACAGAGATCTCATTCATCGAAAAAAGGAGTGACTGTGTGGTGCAGGCCACTCCAACGATTAGGGGGAGATCTTCTCAAGTACAAGTAAGTAGTTACTGTATTATCGTGAAAAATAATACCTTACATTACGTGGACAGACATGATAGAGGGTGCAAGCGGTGTGTCTCGAAAAGCAAGGTAAGATAAAATATAAAAACATTTCCTTGCGTTTGAGAATAACCATATATCTCGAACTATAGTTACAAGAGAACTAACCCACGGAAGGTTCCGGCAGGACAACGCTTCTTCTCCGAGGACTCGCAGTAGTAGCCTGCACTACACTTGTGGGAGTCCTGGAGGTCCGCTATCGCTGCTTCTGAACACTCGTAACCTGGTGGGAGAGGTTCGCTGGTCAGATTGTGGAGGATTTCTTTAGTGCAAGTTACCAAAATTCGTATGCAGTCTTGGATTCTTCTTTCCAGCTAATCTCAATTAGTCTTATAGCACAATTAATTAAATAATTGAATTAATGGATTAAATTACAATATCACTTTATTACTATTTAAATTCCGAATCTAACTTTTTCCAACTTACCGTCTTTACACGGGAGACATTCGCTCTGTTTCGTGGCGGGCTGATAGAAACCAACTCCACATGGAACCTGAGCTGAACTTCCCTCCGGACACATGTGGCCTGGTTCACAGGGGCCACCTGAGGAATGTGAAGTGCGTAAGAAGGAATGTGTGTGAGACTTAGTTATGTTAGATTAAAATGGCACCTGATATAACTGGAGACGAGCTGGAGAGCTCAGAGAAACTGCAGGATGAGTGAAAGGAGGGTGTAATTTTCAGCTTTTTAGGGAAGGGAGTGGCTAAAAGCCAAAAGAACATGCTCAAAAGTTGTTTATATCATCATTACAACAGCACTCATACTTCAACCACTACTTATATGTCGTAATCTGACGAAAGGGTTTCAACTTTACTTGAAATAGCCGATTAAACGTCGTCATTTAAACCCGACATGATGATAAATAACACTATCGTTCACTTGCTTCAAAACTTAGAGAACACCCTACCTTGTCCGGTACCAGCAGCCGGCTGATTACTCTCAGCTCCTCCAGAACAGAAGTACCCAGCAGCACAATATCTACTCTCCAGGTCCGTTTGGGTTAGTCCTGTTTGCTCGCAGTACTTCCCGGCCGTACAGGATGAACACTCATCCTCCGCTTCGAGACGGTCCCTGTCCCTGGATAGTGTGATACTTTAGTACAAATAGTTATCAAGACTTCTCAAGGAGTTATATGAATATTTAAAATTCCGGAAATTCTGTATAAGTTATGACAATATGTCACTGCAGCTATTCCATCGACCGAAATCGCAATAATTGTCTCAATCTAAAACAAGCAGAAGTAATGCTAGGGGAATCGAAACAAGCCGTGTTTAAATAATGTATTCTATGATAACCACGACGGAGTTCATTTTATTTTACCCATGAATTCATTTGATGCATTTGTATTCTGTAACAGTGTTGGTATTTAATGCACACAGCACTGGCAATAGTAGATAAATAAACGAACCCGAATTTGCCAACAGGACAAGCAACAGGGTTAGCGGTTCCCTCGACACAATAGTACCCCTCAGGACATCTACCATAGTTGTCATCATCGGGTGGTTCCGCTCGTTCAGCACCCTCCTCACAGAAATACCCCGCTGCACAGTTGCCGTCTGGTATCGAATTACCTCCCTGTAACACGGGGGGATATGAAATAGTTGAGAGCATGATTTACGAGAAGTTGTAAACTTGATACCATGAATATTGAAAAACTTCTGATGTGTTAATTATTTACAAACAATTTTTTACTGTTACTAGGTTACTAGGTTACTTCTCAACGTAACAGCTGTAACACCACCCTATATGTTGTACTCGAGCTTTTAATCTAGAATTAAAACAAGTCCTTTATACCATGGAGCCTGAACCCGGACTGGTTACACCTAGTTAAAGCACTTCCGTCCCATTACACGATATATTTTGTAAATTAAAACCAGGTAAGGAGTATAAATGCCCACCTGACAGAACTTCTGAGGAGGACAAGCAACACAAGCATCCTCACTCTCGCTCCTCACATTAGGATTATACGTTCCGCTCTCGCAAGGGGTGGCAGCAGCTGATTCTACCGGACAATAGTGCCCAGCCGGACAGTCTTTCTCTCCTTCCCCCGCTTCACAGTACGTTCCAGGGGTACACTCGATACAGTTAGCCACGTCTGTTCGCTTTCCCTCTTCTGTTTTCTTCCCAGCTGTGATTAATTCAGTCTGTTTAAATTGTGACTGTGGTAGTTTCGTATTTCACTATTCTTGAGGTTTGTACTGGTTGGCCCAAAGTTAACAATAGGTCGAAACCTCAGAGTTACTGTAAGAACAATGGCAATAGTGTAACAGCATGCTGAAAGCAATACCAACAGTTTCTTTTTTCCCTTTTTTACCTTCACACTTAGCGGGTTCCTCACTACGTTTAGTGCAGAAATGGTGCATGGGGCAGGGCTCCATGTTGGCTGTGGTGGTACCCTCGGGGCAGAAGTAACCCGGTGCACATTCACCTGACGCTTCCTCCTGACCCTCGTTGTCACACACGTAACCTGGTTTTAACAGGACGTTTTAAAAAGATATAAAAATAAAGTTAAAGCAATAAAGCAGTCTGTGGTGCGCGATTACAATTATTGAAAAAACCTCCACAATTACAAAATGATCAACGAACTGACCTTTTGGACAAGCGGTACATTTTTCCTCACTACCGAGACCTGTCTTTAATCCCAAGGTTCCGATGGGACACGGTAACTCCTGTTCCGTTCCCTTGGGACAGTACATCCCGATAGAGCACTTGGTGCCTCCGGTACTACTGCTCACAGGCTTGCTGCCGTCACAGAAGTAACCTGCTTTGCATCTGAACTTGTTTTCCATCTCAAACCTGCCCGTTCCTGAATGGACGTTTGTAGCATGTTTCGAAGGTAAGCGTGTTTCATATGGTCATTATAAAGTTATAAGATCAGACAAAGGGCCCACTACCTCAAAAACCTGTTCGGGAATCGAATTCCCGCTAAAGTCGGTGATCAAACTTAAACCACCGCCCAACCAGCAGCAATTACCTGGGCAATAGTAACCAGGTTTACAATTTTGGCAGTCCGCATCTGACGTTCTTCCCAGGATATCGTTGTATGTTCCCTCTTTGCATGGCACAGGATCTATCGCACCCTCTGGACAGTAATGCCCTTTCGTACACTGACCCTCTGTAGAGTCCATCTGGTTGTGTGACAGTTAGCTTTAATCATAACACCACCATGGTCGGGACCATGTGATATAAATAAGTATAGATTTATCTTGATGTGACTTGAAATGATCTTGACAAACGAGGGTCAAGGTACATAAGTCATAAGACCCCACGGTGATCATAGTTAAAGCAACAACTAACTACCGTACTTACCCCGGGATCAGGACAATATTGACCCGGAGGACAGGGCAGACACTCTCCCTGACCCTTGTCTGGCTGGTACTCTCCTGGCTTACACTCCAGCGCTTCACTTGACCCTGACAAGATGGTCGTGAATAGAGTTGGAGTAGACAACATTATTTTTGTGGATAATTGGGAGAATCTCAAAATAAATCCTTTGCAGCGAAACAAATTTGACAGCAACATTGTACAAGTTAAATAAAAATATGAAAACATCTGCCGCAGTAACTGCTGAAATTAAACAAGGTTGAAAATAAGATATAAAAACCTTTGCCGCAGTAGTGACCAGGAGGGCACTCCTCCTCTTGTCTAGATTCAGCTCCCCCCGAGCAGAAGTACCCCTCGTCACACTCCCCAGTAGGGGTGTTCAGTGCTTCCCCTGGACAACAAAACGTAAGATTCAGGGGATTCAGGGGGACATTTTATACAGTCTTTCAGTTCAACATGTATTTTTGTTATGAATTTTTAACGGGGTTTGCCGTTCATTGTCGATCCATCGGTCGAGAAATATACGACAATTTAAATACCTGCGGACTATATCAAGTACTCAAGTTTTTACAAAATTTCAGTTTTCCAGATTGTTCCGCGACTTAACACAAAGTACAAACTAAACCAACTCCGGGTAAAACAACTCACGGTCACAGTATCGTCCGCCCTCGCAGGGTAGACACGAGGTAACATCAGAGGACACAAATTTAGGGTTGTAGGAGCCCTTAGCACAGGCAGTTTTAGCACCGTCCTCGCACCAGTACCCTGCCCCACACTGCTCCTGGGTTTTTATGGTGCTTCGTTCCGGACAGTGGAACCCTGGTGGGGTGGTTGTGAGTTTTTTGTTCTTTATTTTTTTATTAAATGATTGTTTTAATAGTTACTGCAACTGGAGATGTGATATTATAACTAGAGACGTTATTTCTTTTACTGTTTCCAGTTCAGTAATAGCTTCAGTCTCATTGTTGATTTCTTAGCTGGACTGTTTCTTTAGTATTCTTTTTCGTGGAAGCAAAACATTTCTCATTCATTATCAATGCTAATGTCAATAACACATCATTAGTGCTAGACGGTATAATGTATAATGTATAGTGTACAATGTATAGTGTATAATGTATAGTGTGCTGTATATCGTATATGAATGATACCTGGGTCGCAATGAAGAGTATACATGCTCGTAGCTTTAGGGCAGTAGTAGGTCTCAGGACAGTTAATAGGATTTCCTGTACCTTCAGGACAGTAGTACCCCTCCGGGCACACTCCACCGATGTAACCTGAATCTTGATTTTCAAACTTTATATCAACCGGACTTGACAGACATACATGCAAAAACAGATCGTGCAAATGTTAAAGATTTTGGGAAATTACCATTGAAATTTGAGGATAGTTGTGAAATAATGTTACGTAGACACGATGAGCAAATCGTTGCATTATCAAAGAGGACAGTAAAATTAAAAGTTGAAACAAACCTCTCTCCAGCCCTTTCGTTTTATTATAAGAGGTGTAAACATTATATTTGACTAAAAAAATCAATGAAGATTGAAGGTGGTATCATCCGTTCAGTATTCGGTAACATAATGTCATTAAAATAATGTCGAAATTCCAAAATTAAAATCCTATACATATATCATGCTTATCAGATAAAGCTAAACGTGGCAGATATACATAGTTATCTTAGGTAGGTACCAGTGTTTGCGCAGGGAGAATTGATGTCCTGAGGATCATTATTAGGATTAACCGTATCGGAACCCTGTGAAAAAGTAGTGTAATTATAATTAAGCAGTCATTATCACAACATTCTGTCATTTACTGTTTGAACTGATAATTTCAACTGCTTTACATGTCAATTTAGGTAAGTAAACTAGGATTGATATAGGAAAAAAGCAAAAAAGCTTGAAAACCAGTTAACAAAATAAACGGCGACCATGATAACCCACTCACCACACAGCAGAAATAGCCAGCTTGACAGATAGCGTCAGGTTCCTCTAACTCCCGGGCAGTACAGGCATTACCCGCCTCACATTTCCTACAGTTTGCCGGTATACTTCCTGCAGTAAAGGTAACATGTCTGTGAGGACATAATAATATGGATAACGGCGATTCAGATTATACTTTGTTTGAGCCTAATAACACTTTTACTTGAGCAAGCAAATTTCTATCTGATAAAATAATATAATGAACAGTTTTTCGATAGGAAATGAAAAAATAAAGAAAGAAAGCAGAATATCAATAACCTCCAGTATTGTCGTTGTACGTGCCAAGTGGACAGCTCTCCCCTTCCACACTGCCCTCCTCACAGTACCTGATTAGGGGGAGTTGATTTTAATTTATTTAATCGTCATTTTCGGGGGGGGGGGGGGGGGGGGGGGGTCCAACCCGATCCAATCCGATCATTCCGATCCCGATTTTGGCCTCATCAACCCTCATATCGGAAAAATCGGGAAAATTTAAATCTTCCCTCTGAGGTTTCTAGGCGATATAGGTAGCTATTTCTGTACTTAAATATGACAATAAATCGATTGGTGGTGGTCCCAGAAACCCAAAATAGTTTCTTGTTCAAACAAGAATCGTTTCGTCCGGAAAAAAAACACACTGTCGTATCAACTCTTGTTTGACAGAAACATCCACCCCGGTCCACAATTGAAAGAGGTACGGTTGGTAATAACAATCGTAACAAATAGCGAACGCTTTAGTAACTTTTGATTTAAATTGTCTCCACAATTTGTAACAGGCTATCTGCAGAAATGGGTAGCACAGTTATCTCTTAGATACAAAGAATAGTTTACACAATTTTTAATAACATTAAAAGGGATGAAAATCACTTTATTCATCAAAATCTTTATTTATCATGTAACAACTTTTCCATAGTACTGGAGAGTAAAACTATGTCAAACAAAAAAATTCTACAGCACATTTTGAGTCAGTAACAGTAACATGTCAATATGTTACAGACTCACATGCGTTTAAAAACATTTTAGTAACAATAAATTGTGTAAACTGATGAGGAGGAGGATGAGGACTGAAGAAGAGGAGGACTGAGGAGGAGGAGGAGAAGGAGGAAAACTGAAGAGGAGGAGGACTGGGGAGGACTGACGAGGAGGAGAAGGACCGAGAAGGACTGAGGAGGAGGAGGAGGACTGACGAGGAGGAGAAGGACTGAGGAGGAGGAGGAGGATGAGGAGGACTGACGAGTAGGAAGAGGACTGGGGACTGAGGAGGACTAAGGAGGAGGAGGAGGAGGAGGAGGCTGAGGAGGACTGACGAGTAGGAAGAGGACTGGGGACTGAGGAGGACTAAGGAGGAGGATGAGGAGGATGAGGCTGAGGAGGAGGAGGACTGATGAGGAGAAGGAGGAGGAAGACTGAGGAGGAAGACTGAGGAGGATGAGGACGAGGACTAAGGATGAGGACTAGGAGGATGATAACGAGGGCTAAGGAAGAGGACTGATTAAGATGAGAAGGAAGAGGAGAAGGAGGAGGAGGACTGCGGAGGAGGATGATAAGGAGGAGAATGAGGAGGAGGAGGAGGAGGAGGAGGATGACTCAGGAGGAGGATTCAGGAGGAGGAGGAGGACTCAGGAGGAGAACTCAGGAGGAGAACTGAAGAAGAGGAGGAGGACTGATGATGAGGAGGAGAAAGAGGACTCCAAAGAAGGACTCAGGAGGAGGAAGAGGAGGAGGACTCAGGAGGAGGAAGAGGAGGAGGAGGAGGACTAATGACGAGGACGAGGACGACTAGTGGAGGACTGAGGATGAGGACTGATGAGGAGGAGAAGGAGGAGGACTTAGGATTAGGATGATGAGGAGGAGGACTGAGGAGGACTGAGGAGGAGGATGAGGAGGAGGAGACTGAGGAGGCGGAGGAGGAGGCGGAGGATGATGAGGAGGAGGACTGAGGAGGACTGAGGAGGAAGACTGACGAGGACGAGGACTAAGGACGAGGAGGAGGAGGACGACGACTGAGCAGGAGGACTGATTAGGAGGAGAAGAAAGAGGAGAAGGAGGAGGAGGAGGGGGAGTCAGGAGGAGGAGGACGACTAAGAGTAGGACTCAGAGGGGACTGAGGAGGAGGGTGAGAAAGAGGATGAGGACGAGGACGATTATGAGGAGGACAGAAGATGAGGACTGATGAGGAGGAGAAAGAGGAGGAGGACTAAGGAAGAAGAGGAGGATGACTGAGGAGGAGGAGTCAGGAGGAGGAGGACGACTATGAGGAGGACTGAGGAGGGCTGATGGGGAGGAGAACGAGGAGGATGAGGAGGAGAAAGGAGGAGGTGGAGGAGGAGGAGGAGGAGAAGGAGAAGGAGGAGGACTGGGAGTAGGACTGAGGAGGAGGAGGGGACTGAGGAGGAGGGTGAGGAGGAGGAGGAGGACGAGGAGTCATGAAGAGGACTGAAGAGGACTCAGGAGGAGAAGGACTCAGGAGGAGGAGGAAGAATTAGGAGGAGGAGGAGGACTGATGAGAAGGAGGAGGAAGACTAGGGAGGAGGAGGAGGACATCTAAATGTTTTGTCTGTTTTTGTCTGTTTTTGTCTGTTTTTGTCCGCCCTACTTTTTGTCCGTTTTTAACATATAGGGTACCGAACGGACACAAAACATGATCCCCCAGCCAAGCATGTGTTACGATACAAATGTACTTGACTATACATTTAAGGTGCAGTGTACTAGTGATATTATGGTATGTTTAAAGACGGGACCACAAAATGACAAAATATAACCCGGTACCTAGTGTTGTACTAATACATAATAACAAGTAACAGGGATAAAATTAATGAGCAGAAACAATCGATCTCACGTCAAGAGGCCAAAGCACCTGGGTCTGGGAGTACATGACAACTTCAACTAGTAGTGAGCATACTAGCCCCTGCAGTGGAAAAACACATAAAACATACTATTGGAATGTCCAATTGGTTCGTTTTCTCATAACAATATAGCATATGTAGGGGTTCTGGTTGAATTATATCACTTCTGAGAGGTTTTAGAGATCGATTCTGTAAATTTCTCAATTTTCCGATTTTTCCGATTTTTCCGATTCCGATTTTGGCCTCATCAACCCTCATATCGGACATCGGGTTGGACCCCCCCCCCCCCCCCCCCCCCCCCCCCATTTGACAAATGACAAGGCTGCAGGCCAAACGCCCAGCAGTGAAGAAGCAGAGAAAAAGAGAAAGAAGCTCTCAGAAAAAGGTACTGTTAAATCAAAAAAACCTATACTAAAGATTAAAGATGTTTCTAAAGATGTTTCTAAAGATGTTTCTAAAGATGTTTCTAAAGATTTTTCTAAAGATTTTTCTAAAGATTTTTCTAAAGATTCTAAAGCCCCTCCAAAGAAAAGTGCCATTAACCCAAAAGCAGTCCCCAAGTTTAATCTCCAAGGGCTGTGTTGTCGCTGTAAAAGTGATAACATGGCCTATGAGTCCATTTCTTGTCAGATATGTAAAGACGTTTTCCACGCATGTTGTAAGGATAAGGCTGGCACACTTATGCCCACGTCTATTTGTGCACGGACTTTCCTGACGAATATTTTGCCAGTTATTCACAAATACAGTAATACATATTCCCAAAGATATGGTGACTTTGGCTGGACATGTCCTAACTGTAAGAAAGCTCTCCTTGCAAAAACTGCTGTTAAAACTGCGGACTCAACTTGTAATACAAGCATGGATAGCACCAAGAGTGTGGCTAGCACTGAGAGTGTGGCTAGCACTGAAAGTGTGGCTAGCACTGAAAGTGGGGCTAGTATCACCACTGATACAACTTCCAGCAATGGAGATGAGAAGACATTGATTGAAACTTTGAGCAATTTTAAAGTAAGTTTACTGTCAAGTGTAGAAGAACTTATTTCCATCAAACTTAAATCACACATAGATTCTCTGCTCACAGAAGTACCAAATCTTACACAAAGATCCAGCACCCCTAGTAGTGCATCATCTATCCCTAGTAGTGCATCAGCCCTAGCCCTGCAAACATCTAGTTCTTTAAGTGCTTGTCCAATGAAGTCTACCAGTTCACTTTCATCTTCAAAGAGCTACAGTGTTGCGTTGTCTCCTGAATCGGCTATAGATAGCCCGACTAGTACTGCTACTGAGAACTACATAGAACTAACCAAGAAGGAAACTCCTATGCAAAAACTTCCCTCTGACAATACCCATAATAATGCTCCTGATAATCATGTTATCGTCCTCAATGTAGAAGCTAGTAATATTAATCTTGAGGAAGCAGGAAAGCTAGCTAGCAAAGCCCTTGGTACAATACCCATGATCTTCTTGACCCCTAAACCAAAGACAGGCAAAATTGTTATCTCCTTCCCTTCAGAAAAAGATAGAGAGGATGGGAAAATAGCCCTTGCAAACTCATCAGCTGTAACTTCGTCCAAAATCACTGTTAATGATGCAAAGAAAATGTTCCCGAAAGTCACAGTTACGAATATTCCAAACAACTTAATCTCCCACATTGTCTCTGAAAATCTATCAGTTCCTGAATTTCGAGAGAAGGTTAAAACCTTCATGGAAGTGAAGCTTCTGGAAAAGAATCAATATGTTAAAGATTTGGTGACCAAGCATGATAGAACATTTAAAGTTGTGTATGTCAATTATGGAAGAGAATACACCACTGTTGGGATTAAAGTGTCTCCTGATATAAGGCATTTCCTGTTAAACAATCAGTCCATTTACATAGGAAATTCCAGATGTAAAGTAGTTGATAGATTTGATCTTAAGCAGTGCTTCCGATGTCAGAAACTGGGACACATTTCATCTCAGTGCCAGGAAACTGATGTTATTTGTATGTATTGTAGTGCATCACACATAACCCGGGCTTGTCCCTACAAAGAGGTCAGAAGAAGTCACAGATGCACCAACTGCTCACACTCCACTTATGAATCATACAGAGAATCTTGTAACACCCATCACTCCGGTGCTGAAAACTGTCCCATCATAATGCTGGAGAAAGAGAGTCTTAGACAAAGAACAGAGTACTCAAAAAACATGTAAAGACTACGCTTCTCAACCTAAATGTCGGACTGTTTAACACGAGGTCACTATGTAATAAAACTGCACAAGTATTTGAGCAACTGTCTGACTCCAATATTAATGCCTGTTTCCTGACAGAAACTTGGCTACGTAAGGGAGATACGTCAAAAATAGCGGAAATTAAAGACCTAGGTTATAATATTGTTCACCAATCTAGAGCTGGTAGAGGAGGTGGTGTCGCTATTGCCTTTAAGAAAGATCTTAGCTTCAATAAACGCCCTACAAAGACCCATAAATCCTTCGAACATGTTGAGTGTGTGCTGAAGTCAAGTTCCAATGACCTTCTTCGTTTCTGCTGTGTCTATCGATCTTGTACGGCTAAAATGTCCAAAATGACAGACTTTTTACGGGAATTTGATGAATATCTTGACAGTCTAACTCACCTTCCAGGTAGACTGATCATTGCTGGAGACTTCAATATCCATGTCGAAGACCTCACTGATCCTGATACGATAAATTTTATCCATCTCATATCAAACTATGGCCTCATCCAGCATATTTCCAGTTCAACACACATTGGGGGTGGAATCTTAGACCTTGTTCTTACTAGAAGCAATGCGTGTGATATGTTGAACATAAAAGATATAAATGTAGCTAAAACAGTAACAACATCAGATCACTACTTCGTAAATTTCTATATTGCCTTTCCTCACCACAAAGGAAGCAACAAAGAAGATATGGTGGGCAGAAAGATATCAGATATAGACATGAATCTTTTCAAAGAGGATCTGTTGCTATCTGACATAAATGACCCCAACAAGTTTATTGACTGCAACTCTGCCACAGAACTCTATAACAAAGAACTTCGCAGAATTCTTGATAAACATGCTCCCCTTATCTGTTTTAGCATTAATCCTGATCAAAGCAAGTGGGTGGACACAAAATGTCAAACTGCCAGAAGGAAACGAAGAAAAGCTGAACGTGACAACAGGAGACTACAAACTGCAGATTCAAAATTGGACTATAAAAAAGCTGTTAAGCATGCTGAGGCAGTTATAAACACCACTAGACAGCTATACTATGAAAATCGTCTGCAAAGCTGTGAGGACAATAAAAAAGATACCTTCAAAATAGTCAATCAGCTAATGGATCGGGACATATCTAAAAACTTGAAGCCTAATAACAAACCTGCTGAAACTCTATGTGAGGAGATGAAAGAGTTTTTCAATGATAAAGTGGAAAAGATTTACTCTGCCATTAACAATGATACTGCAGCTGACACTCTACTTGACCACTCAGAACCATTTCAAGGTGAAGCCTGGAGCCAATTTGAAACCATAAGCGACAATGATCTCAAAAAGATTCTTTCTGAACTTAACAAAAAAGAATGTGAAGAGGACCCCATCCCTCTAAAACTTCTAATGCAGTGTTTTAATGAAGTTAAACCAATTGTGTCATTTATTATCAATGACTCACTTGTCACTGGAAAATTTCCGTCAGTCTTAAAGAGTGCTCTTGTCAGACCAGCCATCAAAGATGATAAAGGAGATGTCAATAGCTTCAACAACTATAGACCAATTAGTAACTTACCTTTCCTCTCGAAACTCATTGAAAAGAGTGTCCAGAAACAGATGACCAAACATCTTGACTATCACAATCTTCATGCTGAGCATCAAAGTGGTTATAGGTCAAATCATAGCTGCGAAACTGCAACCCTTACCATCTACAATGATCTTCTTTGTATCAGTGACATGAAAAGCAAGGTTATCCTCCTCCTTTTGGACCTCAGTGCTGCTTTTGATACTGTAAATCATCACTTGCTCCTAAAAAAACTAAAAAAGGACTTTGGTTTTGAAGGTACTGTTCTCGAATGGTTTACATCATACCTTAATAACAGATCCTTCACAGTAACTATTGATAAATCAAGATCAAAGAGATGCTTCCTTAGAATTGGAGTCCCGCAAGGTTCAATTCTAGGTCCAATTCTGTTTATACTTTACACAAAGGAGCTCAATCAGATCGCAAAGAGACATGGATTTAACATCCACATGTACGCAGATGACACTCAACTGTACATTGAGTTTAACCCACTATTTCGAGATCTGTCAACAATCGAAGAGAGAATAACAAATTGTTTTGAAGATATTAAAACCTGGATGACCCAAAATAAACTCAAACTGAACCAAAACAAAACAGAAGCTCTTGTAGTACAGACCAAGAACAGTTACTCTTCATGTCCAGTCGATTCAATACAACTTGACAATGCAGCTGACCCTGTGGAGGCATCCCGCACAGTGAAAAGTTTAGGTGTCCTATTTGATCAATTCCTAACATTTGAAGATCAAATAAATTCAATTATCAGTTGCTGCAACATCCATCTGAGGAACCTTCGAGTTATAGGCTCAAAGCTTAACTATGATCTAAAAAGACAGCTCATTCACTGCTTGATCTTTTCAAAACTAGACTACTGCAATGGACTCCTATACGGTTTACCCGATCTTCTCATAAAGAAACTCCAGAAGGTACAAAATTCCTGTGTTCGATTCTTGTTTGGTTGGAAAGCTATCAAAAAATGGGACAGTGTCACTCCATTCCTGAAAAAAGCCCATTTTCTTCCAATACGACAACGAATAGAGTATAAGATTGCTCTAACCGTGTTCAAATGCGTCAACAACATAGCGCCGGAGTATATCACCAAATGTATTGACATCAAGAGTCAACCTGTACGTGTACTAAGAACTGAAGAAGACTATTTCCTCCTAAATGTTCCTCCTATTTCAAACTATAGTAAAACCGAGAGAAGTTTCAGCTACTGCGGACCCTCTGTTTGGAATCAGCTTCCTTATCAATTGAGAACACTAACTGATATCGTCTTATTTAAAAAGAAACTAAAAACTCATCTCTTTGAAAACGTATTTGTATAAGTATCATGTATTACCTCTCTCATAAAATCCATACTTCATAAAAATAAGTTCTTATGTATATGTTACTCATGAGTCGCTTTAGATGGTTTGAACTGAATCTTTGGGTTTTGAGTTCTTTATGGCTATAAAGCGATGTATAAATTCCTACTTATTATTATTATTATTTTCCATATCTTGACAATTTCTGTATTGTCATAAAAATTATTCGGCTTTAATAGTTATGGCAAGATTTTGTTAGTGGGAAGGTTGATTTTAATTTATAATTATCATATTCCATGCCTTATCATTTTGCGTATCGTCATTAAAATCATTCAACTTTAATATCAATGACAAGATTTTGTTAGTACACTTGAATTAATTTAAGATTGTCCACTTTAAAATCAAACGGTAAGAATTAAAAGTTGTCCCACCTTCCCTTTGGACAAGAATCCCCCTTGTCGTCCATCCCTAGGTCTGGACACTGGTACCCCGCTGTACAGGGTCTACACTCGGACTTTCCTGAGGTTATCTTGCGTGAGCCACACAAGAAGGAGATATTTCATGTTGGGGGTAAGGGCTGATCAAGTTTTTGAAAAGTCGCAATCTTCATAACTATCTATGATATACTATGACCTTTTTGTGAATACATGAAGAAGGTATCAGGCTTTTTACCTGTTTCTGAGTTGAATGTTCCTCTAGGGCAATCCTCCTCCTTACTGCTTCCTACTTCACAGAACGTTCCTGTACCACAAATATCACCTGTTTCCTGAACAACGCCGTTTAAAATCAAATTTTCACACTTTAAATTAAAAACTACTTTTCAAAGTGCAATTGGGGAGTACATTAAAATGTTAACTTGAATCTTTCACAAAACACGCCAAGAATCAGTTTCAGGACGGTCAAATAGAAAGGAAATATTCAAACAATTGTATAAAAAAGTACAAAGGTGTTCTTATCATTACCCCATCGTCGGGATCAGGTTTTATTGCTTTAGATGCACAATAGTACCCCGATTGACATTGTAGCGTACATTCCGTCGCTCCTGGAAGATAATTTTATATCTTAAAAATTCAGTTTGAACTGATATTGATTGGGAAGTTTCTGCGAAAAGTAGAATATGTACAGTACTATTGGCTTATTTGTTAACAAAAGCCAATTAATTGAATAATATTAATAGTATTATCCCTACCTTCGAGATGGTTATAGAAGCCTCCCTGGCATGGTGAACAGTCGTCTTCTGTTTTCCCAGTGTCTTGCAGTCGGTATGTTCCTGAGATACATCGGTACAGTTTTATTTTATTTACTTTCACAGTTTATTGTTAAACTTTCAAGCGGTAAACTAGTTTATTTTCTATATTCTTTCAGACTTTTATTTAAGTCTAGTTAATAGTTATACATTATTATATCATATTTTATTGATCTAAGGTGTAGTATTGCCAGATCCTAGTTCATTTTGTAACGGAGTTTTATACTAACAGGAAACGATGTAACAGAGTCGATATATTTTAATGTTGCCATGGGGTGGCAAGTCCCCATACATCGCAGTCCGGTAGTTTCATTGCGTCTTAATATGGCATATTATCAATCTTTTTAATAATATTAAATATAATATTATAAGTATTATTAAGAAAATGATTACTGATATTTGGGAGCTGATGATTGGCGAATCAAGAAGATGAACCAATAAACTAATAATCTTCTAAACTAATCATACAATCAACTAATTAACTTAATAACTAATATAATTACCCATTAATTAAATAATGAACTAATTAACTAACCTGCAGGACAGGGCACCTTATCAAGACCCGCAGGACAGTAATACCCAGGCGGGCATGCTCTTCCGGTGACGTCATCAGTCGGATTAGCATTTCTAGCTCCTCCCATACACTCGTACCCTGCTTCACACGGCTGCTTATCTGAGAATAGATTTAACTAATTAACTAATTGAATAATTAACTAATCGACTGGTAAGCTAGTTGGGCTCTCTCCACACACTCGCAACCGGAAAAGATTCAGTTAATTACTAATTGATTAATTATAGAAAGGCGATAATATAATAATGATGATCCCTACCGTTATCATCAGTAGCACCGGGAGTGGGACAGAAATAGTTCTTAGGGCAGGGTGAGCACTCAGAGGCTTTCGACAGACCCTCTTTGTCACTGAACGTCCCCGGATCGCAAGGTAACGGTTGTGGGGTACCCCGCGGACAGTAGTGACCGGCACTGCATTTCTGAGGAGGTGAATATGAGGTCTCATGAGTTGTACTGACAGAATACAGTTTGAAATTTCCAAGCAATTGCTTACTTTCCCTGATTTGATAATTACCTCTCTCGATTTGATAGAGCGCTTATTATTTTGTCATTAATTGAATAATTAAACTCATAGCAGCCTGTCAAAAAAGCTAATACGTCAGTACCTCTTTTTTTGGGGTCTCTGTTTGATCTAGGTAGCAGAAATCTCCCGCGTTACAATCCTCACATTCTGAGAGTCCCGTCGTTGTAGATTCCGTTCCTGAAGAATTTGAGTAGATATAAGCATGAGTTTCGACTTAGCTTTTTGTGGGTGTTTTCAAAGTGAAATGTATTCGGGATCCAAAATTTGAAGATCAAAATCTCGCGTGCCAAGTGTTTTGGTGCATTTTCCTTGAACCACGTCCTCAATACTTCGAAGTCTATTCTAGATGTCATAGTTATTATACATCAGAAACATCAACAGTATTGGAGCCAATCTTAATCAGTTCTGGCCATCAACTGATCATTTCTTAAATTATGAGAGTATTTGCTTTCAGTAATCTTACGACGAAATTAATCTCAAAGTTTACCGTTCTTGCATCTGAGTCCAGCATTGGCATCGGTAGGGCTGTCTCCGGCAGTACCGTTCGGACAGTAGTACCCTTTCGGACACTTGTATGCTGAAATTTGGAGGTACTAAATTGGAATCTATCCTCTGGGAAATGAGGAAGTTTCTTTCAACCGGGATTCTCTCCAAATAACGAACTTAAGATGCACAACCACTCTAAGTGCTATGAAGTTTTAAACTTTTAAAGTAAGAATCTTATTATCTAAAGAGCTCACATTGAGGTACGGACTGGCCCTCAGGACAGAAATACCCAGCCACACATTCCTCGTTAGGTTCCGTTAGTCCCTCTGCAGTACACATCATACCTCTGGTGCAACTCTGGCAATCATCAACCTGACGAGTTTGGTAATATTAAGTTCCAATTGATTTGTAGGGAATAATCCTTTAACTTTAAGTTTACGAGTGGTGACGGTGGAGGAGGTGAGGAAAGATGTACTACGAAAATAGAATTAGTGAAATATATACCAGACTTATGCACGGATTTTAATATGTATATCCATGTCACTAAAAAGTATCAACAAACCTCTTCGCCACCTTCCACACGATTGAAAGTTCCAACAGGACAGGGGGTGGGAGATAAGGCTCCTTGTAAACAGTAGTTACCTGGCGGGCATTTCTTACCCTTTACTCCATCCTGCGTAGATTTGATGGTTAGATTCAGCTAATATCACCAGTCCCAAGGGTATAAAAGATCATACAATATAGATCAAACAATATAGATCAAACAGTTTAGTATAGGCAACTTGTTTTATTGATCGAAACAAAGTTTGTCAGAAATCCGAATGCCAAGTTTTAAGTGATGATAACCTCAGGTGTTCCAGTATCAGCTCCGTTCAGGCATATAAACCCAGCGTTACATTCTAGGACCGGTTTCTCCGTTCCTGCGATGGATCAATTATAAACTAGACCAAAAACTATGTATCTATAGGTGGTATGACACAACTGGCGCGTAAAAACTGGCGCGTGACAACTGGCGCGTGACAAAGCATCAGTGAAAACTGGTGCGAGGAAGCAGACGTCGAGCAGAAGAGAGACAGCAATGAGTTCAAAGGTTTCCTCTGCTTTCCTACTGAGCCTAGCTGGACCAATATCTATTGGTCTATAAGGAATACGTAACATTAATCCGACATTTAAATTCAACTTAATGTATTGTTTATCTTACATACTCAATCATAGTGTAAAAATAGGCTAAGCCTCATCATATGTGATAATTTGCCCAACCCAAAAATGACACAAAGCAACTTAAAAGCTACATAATACGAGCACTGACCAGGTTTGCAGTAGAAACTAGCAGTACAAGGTAGACACATAGTGGAGTTAACCGAGCCAAGCTGATCGTTGTAGGTTCCCTGAAATAGTTAATTTTAAAGGATTGAAATGATCACGATCAAAATATGTGAAATATCAAAATAATATATGATCTACCATATATTCATGACATAATAGTTCATACACTTGCCCTGATAATGAGTGGTAAGGATTCAGTCTAGTTAAACTAAAATTAAACTAATATAGTCGTTTAACCAAACAGTTCTCACCGCAGGACAATCAGTAGGCAGAACATTTCCTCCCTGACAGTAGGTACCCTTAGGGCAGGTCTCTCCTGATGTCATCGTGTAGTTCTTACAGTACTGACCTGCTGGACAGTCCTGACACGAGGACCGTGCTTTGTCCTTAGGGAACAAAGATCAGTATTAGCTTATATTTTGTACAAGAAAAAATATCAGGGGGAGTCGTCGAAAGAATCGGATAGAGAAATATATGGAAATGGGTATAGGAATCTATTCGACAATTCAAGTTCAACATTAAACGAGTATTCGTCGATTCGCCTAACAAAGCGGTTATGAAACTAAAAGCTCTGGAAAAGGGGGGGGGGGGGGCTATCTTAGCCCAACCTCTCTTTAAAGTAGTGCCCAGCTTCAACCTCGTGTTGTATCGCTGTTGGGCTGGTTCCCGTGCAGTAGTACCCTGCTTTACATGGCCCTGTCGGGGTCGAGCTTCCCTTTGTGTCGCAGTATGAGCTGAGAGGAGGGTGGTTGTTATAATTGTAAGAAGTCATTCAGTGGTTATTATAGATTTCTTTCTTTTTTAACTTGGAAATGGAGAAGACTTCTTGTGAATCTGCTAAAATAAGTGATCACATATCATATGTTTTCATATCAATGTCACCGGACCAAGTACAATATTATTCTAACCCGGCAGGACAAGCATCGCAGTCTTCAGCCCTCTTAGCTCCGGGACTCTTTCTGTAGTAGCCTGACTCGCAGTGGAAGGGCATGGTGCACCCTCTGGGACAGTACCCTCCAGCTGGACAAGGTCCTCCTGTTATCGAGCCTTCTGGAGGAGCCTGGAAGTTCAATGCTGTCAAAAGATTGATGAAAATCAAAAACTTTATGCTTGCAGTTTATCGTTTAAAATCGGTTTGTTACAAGATAAACCGCGGATAAAATTTAAACTGCAGCTCAAGGGGGATATTTTAAATAATTTGAAGCAGTAAAAAATAAATAGGTTTTTGGTTCAACAATACAAGAAATAAGGATACCACGTGACAATAAAGATACCACGTGACAATAAAGATACCACGTGACAATAAGGATAACACGTGACAATAAAGATACCACGTGACAATAAGAATACTACGTGACAATAAAGATACCACGTGACAATAAAGATACCACGTGACAATAAAGATACCACGTGACAATAAAGATACCACGTGACAATAAAGATACCACGTGACAAGAAGGATACCACGTGACAATAAAGATACCACGTGACAACTCACAGAGGTGTAGGCTCCGTTTTTACAGAAGTAACCAGGATCACAGTCTCCACGAGGTTCTGTTAGTCCCGGACCGTCACAGTATTTACCTGCGGAGGGAAACGGGAGTAAGAATGGGAGTTTTATATTTTTTTAAACCGGAATATGTACCTAACCGGTTAGTATAACCTGCACATAAAACCAGGGATGAATTTATCATAGCTATAGATTTATACAACTCTTATTATAAACGTCACAAATATATGACGTCATCAAACTAACCAGGGGAGCACTTCAGACAGTCAGCAGATTTGACGAGGCCGGTGTAGTTTCCAAACGTTCCCAGAGGACAGGGAACAGGGTCAGCTGTACCGGTCGGACAGTAGTGACCCTGAGGAGAGGAGGGGTCAGGAGGTTAGTACTGTCACGTGATCAGGACATTTCAACATAGATAACCAAGAGAAACTAAATAAATCATTGAAAAAGTAAAGTACTAATAATTATAAAAAGCTACTTCTTTTGTACAACGCTTATTATCAAAGAACACAAACTTTATCTCAAGGTTTCGGCTTGTATAATCAGAAAGGCTTGGACTAATTTAAAAATTCTCACCCTCTGGCAGTCAATTCCCACGCTCATCCCCGGTTCATTGCAAGCTTTACCAGCCTGACAGACGGTACAGGAAGAGTAGCTCTCAGCTGCCGAGTCCATGTTGTTCAGATAAAAACCTGGAGTGGGAGACATAATAAAACGAGTAATAGGAGGGATTGGTCCATGTTGTTCAGATAGAAACCTGGAGTGGGAGACGTAATAAAACGAGTAATTGAGACGAATCTTTCTGCAAAATCAGCGTTTAATTTGAAACTACCAGACTGGTTTGCTTAAGTATGAAATTATTACCTCTAGGACAGGGTCTTCCCGTTGAGTCGGTTCCAGCTGGACAATAGTGTCCGTTCGTACATTTAACAGGCTGTATGGATAACACGAGTGTTATTGAGAAATACTAATGCCTCTGAAGACTTTAGAAGATGATCTAAAAATAACTCAAGAATACTCTGAACTGACAGCAAACACCACAAAAAACAAAAAAAAAATCCAACTTGTACCACCACATCAACAACCTCACCTCGACAGTTCCCACGGTGTTACAGTAGAAACCAGGAGGACACGTAGTACACTCGCTCACTTCAACCAGTCCTGTTAGTTTACTGTACGTTCCTTTAGGGCAACCTATTGGCTTAGACGCCTGGTCGGGTGAGAGTGGTTAGTGGGGTTAGAATTGTAATATTATAGGTTAGGGGAGGTTAACATGGACTTTTTAACGGGATTAATAAATAAATTATCAGGAAATAACAAAGCTTTTAAGTTCATATTGCTGAGATAATCTAAAATAAACGATGTTTTTGAGTTGCCAGACTAAAAACGTCATAAATAATTATGACGTCATGCTATTATATATATCATGACGTCACCACAAAGCTGATATAACGTACCTTATCACCGGAGAGACAATAGTGACCCTGGGGGCACGCGTCATCAGGCAGTGCTGGTGGGATTGTCCTTCCTTCCAGACATTGTGTTCCTGGAGTTTTGAAAAGTAATGGATTTGTAGAGTTTTACATCTTTTATAGTTTCCGGAAACCGAACACCAAATGAAAGTTGAACTTCAAGAACGGTATTTTTGAAACCTTTAGCCTTTAGAGCTTTAGTTTTACTATCCGCTATCACACGATAAATTTCAATTCCACGAAAAAGGCGGAACAATCTTCGAAAGGATTACAACTTGTTGAGCAGCATTCTAATGAGTCACTCGAATTTCTAGTCACACGAAGTTGAACTTCAAGAACGGTATTTTCGAAACCAACACTAACCTGCAGTCACACGAGTTGTCATTTACACAAAACACTAACCTGCAGGACAGTAGAACTCCTCCTTCATTCTGTCCTCAGTGAGACCAGGTAACCAACAGTAGTGACCTGACTCACACTGTAAACAGCTCTCTGCTGCTGCAGCCTGGGTTAAAGCAGCGTACAATAATATGTTCTCAATGAAGGAATTTGAAATACGTGATCAGAACGACAAATTGCTCAAATCATGCTCAGGTCAAGATGATGATAAGATCTACTTACAGAGTAGTATCCCTTCTGACACATGGTCATGTCAGAGAGGCCCTCCTCGCTACACTCGTACCCTGCTTCACAGGTACGGCAAGAGTCCAGGCTCTGGGAGGGAAAGGGAGTCAGACTATTGACTGGATAATCGAGGGATCAAACATTTGTATTAGTAGATAAGAATATGATTAGTAGATAAAGTCAGAATCTTAACTATGTCGACTGGAGAAATAATAGGGGACTAAAAGGAGCGCTGGGAGCTCTTTATCGCTCATCAAACTCATTAGACAATAATATATTCTACCATATGTTTGAAAACCAGTTTTTAAATTAGATAAGCAATGATTATTGTGCTGAAAAATTTCTAAACAAATCAAGCGTCAAATTTAAATTAATCTCACGGCTCCATTCTCGACAGGGTTGTAAGACTTCTTGGGACACTTGACAGGCTCAATGGTTCCACCTTCAGCGTCACAATAATGCCCAACTGGACATTCTTTACAATCCTCAACTCTTTCTTTGCCCTCTTCGTCGTTGTAGCTTCCTGGGGCGAAACCGTGAGTTTACGCTTTGTATTTTGTGAATCTCTATTCTCAGCTCATGGATTTGTTAGAAAGCCTTTTTCTTTGGGTTTCAGATAAAAATACCTTTTGGACACCCCTTTTCCTTTCCCGCAGCAGTTTGACGAGGACAGTACTTTCCCTTATTACACATAGGGAGATCATTTGCGTTGCTTTCACTTCCAGTGCAGTATCTGTCATGATATAAATTGTTAGAAAATTAGGAACTAGTAAATTAATATTGCTTTGTTAGGATTATCGATTAAACAGTTCACATCCGACTTTATCGCAAGTTAAATAACCAAATTATGGGTAAAATTTTAAATGAATTTTAAATGTGAAAACGATCAATGAACATAAAACCCACCTTCCCTTAGGACACTTTGAACACTCATCTTTACTCGAGAGACCCATTCTCTCAGTGAAATATCCCTCATCACAGGCATACTGGTCCGCCTTGGTTGTCCGGGCTGGACACCAATGACCGGCTGCACATTCTCGCGGATCATCCGTTCCTCCCGTGCAGTATTTACCTGGTATTTCATCATTTTAATGATTGATCAATTTATAATTTATCAAGTAAATGATAATACGACACGCAATATTTTACACTAATATTATACGTAGTGACGCGTTATTTTCATCTAATGAGCTCTTGTATAGTAGTATAGTAATCTGATCGTTTCGAGATCGAACTTAACCAGTAATCATTAATTACACCACTCACCAGCTGGACAAGGTGAACAATCTTCGTGGGAAACCAGTCCACCCCTGAGGAGAACAAAGTGTCACAGCCAGGAATCGGAGTGAAGCGCAAAAAATATATTATCACAAGTAATATCTTCAGACCAACATAATCATTAATCGTGCGGTTAAAATGTATGTTTAGAAAGTAAACAAGGCAACCAGTCTCAACAATAAATAATTGGAGTTAGGGTGAAGTGGTGCGACATGATAAACAGGGTGGTCGAGAAATAACTGCACTCACGTAATTCGTGCCAGAATTGCACAACAATTTCAGGGATTACAGATATGGATCAAACTCAAACTTCCTAAAAGTTTCGTTTAAAAAAACTAACTGTCAACTTACTTCAAGCTGTAGGTACCCGGTGGACACATGGGTGTTTTCTCTCTATCGTCAGGCTCTTCTGTGCCAGATGGACAGTAGAATCCTGTAAAAACAAGTTACCATAACATGTAGTACATAGGGTGACGTCATAGTACATTGGGTGACGTCATAGTACATTGGGTGACGTCATAGTACATTGGGTGACGTTGAGTTGTGAATACATTTATCCATACACTCAATCAATTTCCTGTTCGTTTTTAGTAAAAGCACGACACACCGTGAAAACTCAATACGGTACCTGGAGCACAGTCCTTGTCGGGGGCAGTGAGGCCGGGTTTGGTGCAAGCTTTACCGGCAGTACACAACACACAGAGTGATAATCCGTTAGCACCCGGGTCCGCTCTGAATCGTCCCTTGGGACAGGGTGTGGGAATATCCGTCCCGGACTCACAGAAGTGGCTGTGGGGAGGTAATGTTAATCGGTTATTGAGTTATTAGAGGAGCCGCTGCTTTAAGTAAACAAGAACTGGAGGAACGATGATCATTACACAAAATAATGTCAGATGTTACAGTAATGCTACTTACAGTTATCATCACCTTTTAAAACGCAACAAATGTGAAATAAAAGTGAAATAAAAGTGAAATAAAAAGGGAAGTAAATGCGAGGCAAATGTAAAAAAATAAATGAAACATACCCAGCAGGACAAGAGATACAGGACTTCTCAGCAACTCCCTTGTTAAGAGTGTACGTGCCGGCTTCACAGGGAGTTTTAGTGCCGCTGTTCTCCGGGCAGTAGTGCCCCCGGGGACATATGATTCCTGGACAAATTAGTTATAATTCAGCTACAGTAGTGCCCACGGGGACATATGATTCCTGGACAAATTAGTTATAATTCAGCTACAGTAGTGCCCACGTGCAAATTAGGAACAACTCATTAATTCAGCTGCGTCAGACGGATTGCGGAAGGATTGTTAGAGTGATAAATTCTGAAACTCTCCAATAGGCGGACGGTATTTTTCACGATTTGAATTTAACTGGAGGATGGAATGTAAAAACACGACGTTATATCATGCATAATAATAATATGTAAGACAAAATTTAGACCAAATTAAGAGCAATTTATAAAGACAAACCTATGTTGCCAGTAGCCTGAGGACAGTAATACCCAGCAGTACAAGTCAGACACGCGTTATCAGAGACTTGTTTCTGGAGAGCGTTATAAGTGCCGGCAGTACAGGGGGTGTCCGTGTAGTGGGCAGTGCCCTGAGGGCAGTAGTAACCCTCAGGGCAGACTAGTTCAGCTGTGGGGTAACCTGGGGAAGAGGCGTTCATATTTTGATGTTTTCTTAGTTCGGCTTGTTTTGTGAAATGTTTACTAGTTTTGTTTGGTAAGATTGTGTACATAATTATGATCATTTGAATTTAAAACTGATAAGCTTGGAATTGGAGATTGATAGCATTTTGGAATTTTTTAAATGGTGGATATCGAGCTTATCGTAAAGTGTAGAAGGTAGATAAGCTGAGTTATACTTTACCTATGGTTCTTTCAGGACAGAAATAACCCGGAGGACATGCTGTGCACTCTGTGTCCGCCTCCAATTCCAGATTCTTTCCATATGTCCCTGTTGAAGATTAAAAAACTTCAGATAACATTTTCTAGGTATGTGCTACAGCACTGGTATATATAAAAATCTGGATTTGCCCACCCTGTGTCTACTTTCAGTTCATCTGCTAGAAACCCATTGAATTTCTCCACGAAAGTCCTGGTAAATGGTAATGTCTCATGATTATTTTCAAACCTGCAGGACAGGGTTCAGGGTAGGAGGTGGACTCAACGCAGAAGTATCCGAGTGGACACACTGTATCTACGTCAATGCTTCCTTTAGGACACCTGTAAACATGTACTAGACTTAAGATTTGTAATACTTCATATCATGTGCCTTTCAATGGCTTGGTTTGCGCCTACCTCAATTGGATAACCAAGTGATTTATAAATCATGAACAGGTGATTAGAAATGAATTGCTATATGATTACCAAGTAATTACCAAGTTATTAAAAACGAATTAACAATTTATTAGAAAGAAAGAAGGCCCCACTATAAAACCCACCATTTTCCAGCAGGACATGCCGTACAGGTACTCTCTCCCTCCGCACTGTAACTTCCAGCCGCACACGGAGTGATGGACTTAGTGTCACACAGGTACCCTGTAAATTACATTTAGTTAGTGGGTAGTTATAGAGATATCAGCGGTGTTTCCTGTCCTTAGTTAGCTGAAAATCATGAAGACAACAGTTCTGTGATACAATCCAGAATTGAGATTCTGAAACTCATGCTTGGTCCGATTGAACTCCGATGATCATTATTCGAGTCACTATATATTCGCTGTTTGATCTATAACGAGCTGAAGAGACAAAAGTTAATCAGAGTATAAATTTCACTAAATAAGAGCGCTGCTGAGCTCTAACCTGCAGGACAAGCAGTACAAACAGTAGATTTGGAGTAAGAGAAGGTAGTCCCAGAACACGTGACAGGTTCTGCGGAGGAGTCCGGACACTTGGAGCCTGCTGGACAGTCCTTACACACCTGGGACAGAGGGACACTTTATCTAGTACTTCATTTGTTATCTTATACTGATTAGGTATATTGATATATAGATAATTCCATGGATCACAAACATATCCATATTTATTATTTCAATATTTATTAGCTAATCCTGTGCACTGAGAAGACCTCTGAAAGGTGACTACTGAACCTGTAACCTGTAACCTCATAACCTGTAACCCAGTAACCTGTAACCTGTAACCTGTAACTAACCTCACTAGGAGAGGTAGAGTAGGTACCAGTAGGACAAGGTAGTTGTATCACAGCCACAGTTACTGGGCAGTAGAATCCTGAGGTGGGAATGTTTGTGAAGGACCTGGTAAAAAGAAGGGAATAACCACCTCTATTCAAACTTGGCTTATGTTATTAAAATTCCCAGTATTTATCATGGAGATAGAGAGATAGAAAACTCGCAAATAAAAAGGTACTGTCTGATGTCTCCAATGAGAAATGTGTCGTATATACTCACCGTTTGTGCAAGGAGTACAAGCAGCTTGAGCTCCGGCACTAAAGAAACCCTTTTCACAGGGAACATTTTGTGTTGGATCTGAGGTGGAAGGACAGGAGTATCCAGCCGGACAAGGCGTACAATGCTGCAAATCAGGGATTGTTTAATTTATAAGTAATTGTTATTATTTTTACAGTCGATATTTATTTGAATCGTTATGTTGATTACCGGTGAACCGACCGATTTTTAAATTGATAAAACATTCCCAGATGACGTTACGGAAATCAATATTTTTTCATCCCAAAACAGCTCTTTTACAACCACATATACTTATATTTGAATGCCTTCAAAATTTAGGAACATGATAACTTAGACCATTTCCAATTTCCATCAATATTTCCCCGACCATACATCAAATAATTTTTGCGTGGGAGGGGAGGGGGGACAAAGAGTCTGACAACAGAACAGTAAAACAAACCTGTTCTCCTAGCGCGGAGTAAGTGCCACTGTCACAGTCCTTCATGTCAGACCTATTGGTAGAGTAGCAGGACTTACCAGCCGGGCACTGTTCACAGTCGGATTTATCAGATGTTGGGATAAAACCTGGATAATAGTGGTGCTATCTTCGTTTTAGCCAAATGTTTTCAGTAAATGAAATCGTTGTTTTCTCCGATTAATCTGTCTTAAAAATGTAAACAAAATGTCACAACAGCCACTACGAGCAAACCTCAATCCTACCAACAAAAACACTCCCAATAAAACAAACCCATAATTATTATTATATATATATTATTATTAATTATTATAATAATTCTACATACCAGGATTACAATCCATGGGATAGTCCCCACCATCACATCTCTTCCCCTCCTGACAGCCACTACACGTCATCTCCCCTGGTAGGGAGTACTCTCCCGGACTGCAGGAGGAGATGGGGCTGCCGGAGATGTCACATGACTTGCCCAGTGGACACAGGGTGCACGATGCTGCTCCTTCTGCTGAGTACGTTCCTGGAGAGGTTGGGGGTTAGTAGTAGTGAGAAGATACATTAGTGGGCGGGGAATGAGTAGCAAACATGGGGAAGTAAGTTCCTGAGGGGAGGAGGAGGGTTTGTAAGTGGCTGAAATGGGGGAAGGTATTTTAAGGAGTTAGTATCCAGTAAGTTGTTGAAATGTTTGTAGGACGAAGATGTTATAAGTAGTAGGAGCTAACAAGACGTGATATGTGTAACGATGCTTCTAATTAATTATTATGTGTACTTCAATTAAAGAGGTAGGAACTAAAATTAGAACTTGTTACTTGTATGTGGCCTCCAAATTCAGGCTATAAGGGTTCTATCTTTCTATGGGTCCAAAATAACCAATAATATCTCAGTTCTCCTAATTGTAATGCATAATTGGTATAGACAGTCAATCAATCACATAAAACTTAACGCTATTGTCACTCCTATGTCAGGGAATGATAGATTGCGATAACTAAAAATTGTGCCGAACAACATGTATCGGCTTACGACAAGCACCTACAAATTACAATTAATTATCTATAATTAATCACCTATCACAGCGACGAGCAGGAAAACGTCGTGCCAAGATACCATTCAATTTAATCAACTCGTTTCTCTAATCAAAATAACAAAGCTCAAAATATCAACTTCTGAATGAAACCTGTCACAAAATCAATTGATAATTTGCCAAATAAATAGCACACTAAAACTACCGAGTATTATATCGGGTCGGACTAGATATTTGTATTACGTTTACTGTGCCACCTTATTGCGAGCGGGGATGACAGAGATTGCGTAAAAGATCAGGTAGTCTGTAAAGGTTGCCAGGGTAACCAGGGACTTGAAATCGAGTTTGGAGGATTCCAACGGTTAGAAGAGATTGTTCTACCAAGAGTTTAATAAACTTAACTGGGATTATTACGAGCATGCGGGTAATTTTGGAGAATATTTATTTTTAGGTAATATTTACTGTGCAGGCAATACTGATTTTAAACGGTTATGTTACGCATTAATGTATCGTGGTGTGACATGTAATTTTGTTAATCCCTTGTGCTTGATAAGTGAGTGTTAACTGTTAAGGAGCTGTGAATACTCAAAAAACACTCAAAAACACTCAAAAAACACTTAAAACACTTTAAAATGTTCAGATTTATATAAACTGGGAATCTCGGACTAAATTAGAACCGAACTATAAAAATTACTGAACTAACTGATAATAAAATTATCATAATTCAGTTACAATGGCGAAACAAACTGATGGGATAAGTCAAGTGGTTCAGTAGAAGTATCTTACAAACAAACAAACAAACAAACAAACAAACAAACAAACAAACAAACAAACAAACAAACAAACAAACAAACAAACAAACAAACAAACAAACAAACAAACAAACAAACAAACAAACAAACAAACAAACAAACAAACAAACAAACAAACAAACAAACAAACAAACAAACAAACAAACAAACAAACAAACAAACAAACAAACAAACAAACAAACAAACAAACAAACAAACAAACAAACAAACAAACAGACAAACAAACAAACAAACAAACAAACAAACAAACAAACAAACAAACAAACAAACAAACAAACAAACAAACAAACAAACAAACAAACAAACAAACAAACAAACAAACAAACAAACAAACAAACAAACAAACAAATTATAGCTTAATAACTAACAAACTAACAAACTAACAAACTAACAAACTAACAAACTAACAAACTAACAAACTAACAAACTAACAAACTAACAAACTAACAAACTAACAAACTAACAAACTAACAAACTAACAAACTAACAAACTAAATAACAAACTAACTAACAAACTAACCAGTAGGACAGGTAGTTTCTGTTGGGGAGATGGTAGAGGGACAGTATTTCCCAGCAGGACACTTTGTACACTCCACAGAGCCCTTCTCAGCGTAGGATCCTTGTGGGCACGGTTCGGGCAGGGTCTGGAGAGGGACAGAGGTAGGGAGATTAAGTTTAGTAACCGAAATTTACTATTTACTTAACGAGTTATCAAATTGTTAGTTGAAGTTTAAAATGTTTATCGGCTAAAATTTGATGGGCCCAAACTTTGAGCAAAAACGACCATTGCACTTCAAATATTTTTCAAATTGTTGCCCCTCTGGAACTTTCCAGCTAACTGACTACGTAGCTACAGGGCTGAGGGGCCTTATAAGCTTATACTTATAGCTAAAATTATCTGGAATAGCCTTATAGCTAAAATTATCTGGAATAGCCTTATAGCTAAAATTAGCTATAATAGCCTTATAGCTAAAATTAGCTTTAAGGTCAAATAGCACAAATAATTAATCAGCTAATTAAAGTACTAATTTACCAACTAATTAGCTAATAAAGGGAATATAAACTACTAACCTGAGGATTAGGACAAGCTGATCCAGCCGGACAAGTAAGACACTCAAACACGCCCTGTGGAGAGTAGTTCCCTGCAGTACAGACAGAACCAGCTCCTGTTAAGCTACAACTCCTTCCTGTAGATATTGTGAGTAGTAATTAGGTAATTAGCTGATGGTGATTAGTATTATCAAATTAGTTGACCTTATTTAAATAGTTGATTCTAAGTGATGACAGCCTTGGTACAATGTTGAAATTTAATTATTGGCAAATCACGATGTTTTAAATTGTACAAATAAGAGATTAATTGATAATTAAAACTAATAAATAATTAAAATTCCAAGATGGGAAGATACAAACCTGCAGGGCAGACTGTACAAGAAGTTTCTCCAACAGGGGCGTAGAACCCAGAGTAGCAGGGTATTGGTGTGCTGGTGGTTGATGGACAACTGTTTCCACCTGGGCACTGAAATATTTGTTTGACTAGTGAAATTATAAGTAGTTTGTGTTTCTTCGAATAAAGCTTTTGACTAGCGGGTTTCTAGTTATTATTAAATTATTGAAGCAAGCTTCTATATAACGGACAATATTTGACTGTTTAACGTCATAATATTGGTCACGTGCGTTACGTAAATTATAGTTCTTGACAGTAGAGCGACAAAACAAATTTAGCTCGTGTATCACTTCACTATAAAACATGTGATGACGGGAACATAGAATCGACACACAAAGCAGACAATTTAATCGATACAAGTTGAATGTAAAATATAAAATTTTACTCAGGGTTAGGTTTTTTTGTCCCGTTCTGATTGGTTCGCCCGATCATACAACAGATGTTCTGAGTGGACCACTGATTGATCACGTGACAAGACATAAAACTGAGCCTTCTTATCAGCATCGTGACCAAGGAGTGGTTATAGCGGTCTGCTATACAGCGAATCAGCATCGAGCAATTTAAACGCGTGACGTCTAACCAACCAATCATCAGCGAAAAGATAAGCGACACGCGTCCGAGTAAGATAAGGGTTTATCTATCATATGATAGCTCTAATGGCAGCTTATCAGCATGGAGCAAGTTTGTCACGTGACTTTCTATTAGCCAATCAGGCCCAGGCTAGATGAATATGTCGTGATTATCAACTGGATAATATGCTGTTTATCCCACCTTAATCTTATCTTGCTTTATTTCCGGCTTTATTTGCCGTAAAGATGAAACTGGATAGTGGAAACAATAGACTTCATAACTTTTAGTGACAACAATGCACTGAGATAACACTAGTTATATGAGATAACACTAGTTCTAACTTTGAGATCACTTCAATAAAAACTACGTCCTCTTCGCGTGATCTAATTGCTTGCTCAGTACCTTCTCTCCGGCCGATATCTTTAAATCCTCTCACTATAAATCCATACTGCACATTCCAAGATTTCTATTTTCGATACCATCCACTGACCACTCCTTCTATCCTTTGCCTGACAACAAACTAAGCTGCAGTTCACTCGCCCACACGGAAAACTCCCCGCCTGTATAATACTCGTGTCATACTCATGGGTGCCAACAATCAACATGTTATTCGTGTCACAGCACATTCTGACTATAACAGGGAGCATTAGCCGACGAGAGATGAGGAGGAGGAGAGGAGGGTTGAGTTGTCTAGACTGTGAGTAGTGGCTACTGCAAGTGAGTGGTTTGGAGGATCCAGGTTATGTTCGGTTTGATTTTGACTGCCTTTATTTATTTTTCAATACAAATTAAAATTTGGGTAAATTTCGTGATTCGGTTATTTTTTCACCTCTTTGTAACTGTATGTGCCAAACAACAGTTGTAAATAATGGACTCTATATAAATCCCTGGATGAAACATGTTTCCATGGGGTCGCAAATCCTCATTCATCGCAGCCCTCTAGTTCAACTGCCTCTTAATTAAAAATATTATCTGTTCAGGTATTGCGATCTAGCTTGAGGAGTATAAAGTTATTTGCCAAGATGCATTTAATCTTGTTTTGGTACTTGCTGGGAATGTTTTTTTTGAGGAAAAATTGTTCTATATGTTGCCTCTGAACGTCACACTAATAAAGAGTTTTGACTTTCGAGAACAAGGATCATAAAACAAGTAAGATTGAATATCCAATAATGTAAGTTCCACATACTTTAACATTGTATGAGTAGCTTAATAGGTCAGTGAGATAATCACGTGACAAAGTATTGGTGAAAACCGAAATGTTGCATTCTAGGGGTATGCTCGATATGCCTATTACATATTTATTGATCAACTTTCTGTGGTGAACACTGAACATTGAAATTAAGGATCGAAACATATTTTGGGGATTGTATTTTGGAGATTGTATTTTGAGGATTGTATTTTGGGGATTATTTATTGTTTCCAAGCTCTTTCGCCACACATTTTACCTCTTTCTATGTTCCACAATTTGCTGCCCATTCGCTAGTAACAAAAGTTTACATTAGTTACTCGAGCGTAATAGCATAGCTTAATAATATGGTGTGAGTAAGGAGCCACACGCTGGACTATGAGGGCGGAGTTACGGTTATCTGTCGAAATGTTAGGTTCGCGTGACCACCGTGTGCTAGTCACAAGAACAAATCATCTTGACAGATGCAGGTCACGTGCCAAGGTCACCGTCCACGTGCAGGTCACGTGCCAAGGTCACGACCCACGTGCCAAGGTATTCACTGCATCTGAGTCGGTATGACTATGAGGCTTAGTGTGACCATGGACCAGTGACCAGTCACCGTTTTGTCCTTTGTTACGGGCCCGATATGGAAGTTGCTTGTTTTTTGCCGTGTTTTGGTGCATTTAACAGTTGCACGGAAATATCGTCCCAAGAATCGAATCGACCTGATAACGGGAGAGCGTTTCACGTTATCCTGTATCATCTGGACTTCTAACTAGCTGACCATGGTGAGGGACAATGGAAATGGTGTAGTACATCCATCATATCCATAATGATAATAAACCTATGAATAATGAATATAAGCCGCTCCCAACCTTACGCCCCAACACTAATTAACTTTCAACGTTTTAAAACTCACACATGTAGTTACGAGCGGCGTAAATTGTATCACAATGGCCCTATGGTGCTAAAAGTAAAGTATAACCGGACCCTTATCTTCAGTAGTTGTTGCACATTTTAAAACTTTTTGTTGTTGTTTAATTTTGCTTTAATTGCACTGACCACTGTATCTGGGCCACACTCTTCTGTTGATAAACTGAAACTTTAAATGCTGTTTTAAATTGTAAGCCCTGAGAACTTACAACCTTTTGTTATCCCATGTTCAAATGCCTATTTGCTGGCTTAGGGGCCCACCTGCGTTCTGACGTGATGAGCAACTTATTAAATTAGTTGCTTGATATTTATAGTAATCACCCGAATCTACCAGTAGTATCTTCCCGTTTAGTAGCACCGCGCATGTGGCAATTGTTTTCAGTGTGCAACTGCATGTTTTCATCGCCGAGGCCCCATTCTTGCTAATGATATCATAACTTCTCCTCATTACAGACAGATCGTGACTTAGAAATTGGACGACACATCACTGGAATCAGGAATGTTCTCTTTTCAAAACCAGTCACGTGTGTGCTTCTTGACGTACTGCTGAAGCTTAAAGCCATCTCCCGATGTTGTCTATATGTTGATCATTTTTATCATATCCAATCGGTTTAGCTTCACACGGTTACAGTATATGAATTTGTTTTCAGACTTGTCTCTGTCGGAATTTCAGTTGGATATAAAGGTAACATGTAGGTGCGGTAATATTTTGCAGATGGTGCGATTCCGCAGTCCGCACCCGCCTAGATTATTAATATGCGGCAAATAATTTGGAGACAAAAAAGACTAACATGCTAATCGTTAGCATAATCATATTCAATGTATTGTAAATTAACTTAGATTCTAACAGATTATATTGTGGGGGGGGGGGGGGGCAAGCATATTAAAGTATATTAAAATGTAGGATTTTTCCCGATTTTGACCCGGGGATATACTTTAATATACTTTAATATACCTACAATATACTTTAATATATCCCTATCTCCTTGGAGGCCTACATCAAAAATTGTTGCCTAAAATAAGTTTGAAATGCAATTCTTAATCGATTCCAAAAAGTTCTTGAAAAAATATTGAAAACTGATGGAGTTATTTCAATTTTAATGAAGTCATTTTGGCTAGTATTCCTAACCGAGATATTATGTGCAATTTTCCCAATTTTGTTCATGGAGGTCTTTTTACTTAGTATCCACTTTATTCAACAAACACTGAGTTATATCTTTCACATAGAGTTAGTCTCATTAAAAAATATTGAAATTTTATCGAATTTGGGCAAAAGCGTATGCCCAAATATGGGCATATTTTTTAAAGCTCATAGCTCAGCCAATTTTTGACCAATCTGGATGGAAATTCATGTACTAGTCCTAAAACAGGCTTATCTTGCGAATCTGAGTGAAAAATATAGTTCATCATGTAAATCTTAACGAAGAATATAAATCTTCTAATTGTAGGTATATTAAAGTATATTAAAATGTAGGATTTTTTCCGATTTTGACCCGGGGATATATGTACTTTAATATACTTTAATATGGTTGGCCCCCCCCCCCCCCCCCCCCCCCCCTATTGTGTATCAACTAAAATTCCTGCACACTATAATATTAATATCATCTAACTATAACTATAATAATAACTTTTTAATAATAACTATAATAATAACTATAATAATAACTATAATAATAACTATAATAATAACTATAATAATAACTATAATAATATATCTAATCGTGACTAAAGCGCCTCAATGTCAATTCCATGAGGGCCAAGGATAACGTTCCAGCTTGATGAGCCATTAATTTGCCAAGATTCACCCCTTTTGGTTTTTAATCAATTAATAACGATAATACCGAAAGTCGCTGCATTATCAACTTATTGTACACAACGGTACCAAATACACACATCTAATAGAACGAATTGCGGCTGATCATGATGGTGCGAAAAAGTGCGGTATTATGTCAATAGTGCGATTCTGCATCTTATTAGACAGTTATGAGGATATTTTAAAAGTTAGGAAGTTGGAATTTGGCAGCTGATTAAGGTATATAAAGAGACCCTGTACTAAACAGGTGTGTTGCTACGTTACAGTAATCAACCAACCAGCCTTGACCAATCAAATTACAGAATCACTGTCACGTGTTAAACGAATATTTCTGAACTCTCTAACTACAGACTGTGGAGCCAGGAGTCACATGAATTATTGAACATTGAGAGTGAATATTGAGATCAATGTTTATCATTATCGAACCTTAAAGAAAGCTAATTAATATTGATTTGAATGGTTGGCCATCTGTTGGCGTTACTATGAATATTTAAACACATGAGACCCATACTAAATTAAGAAAATGATCCCACTCGGTTAAAATAGAATGTAGAGTGACCATGTGTTCACTGTTAATTTTAGTCCCTTTACATTTTACAAGGTACCAGGTTTTCTCCTCATACGTGAATATTTCTTTTTCTAGTACGTGTTTCTTTCTTTACTTTGAACTTAATTGAGGGAGTTGAGAGCAACTCTGGAGTTTAATACTTGCTGACTCGCCGATCACTTCTCAGTAAAGGGAGGCTTCCTCTCTGCGCCATTGTCGCATTATTGCTATTTTTACCATTATTGCTCTTTTCGTAAAATTAGCGAATAATTGTCTGTATTATGTCTTCATTTCTCGCCAAATGGATCATAGAGAGAATCCCCCTCCCCCGGTCCCCCAACAAAAGTACACCAGCATAATATATCACAGATGATTTGATTGCTGTGAGTAATAGACTCCCAGCTACAAACGTAAACTGCACACTTTAAGTGACTCCACCACTACACACTTATATACGTAAATAGTTATTACATGCTACCCTCTTATATTCGCTTTGACACGTGACAGTGATTCTGGGTTTTGATTGGTTAATACTGGAAGCTGATTGATCAATCACGGTCTGCACGTGTCAAAAATGGTATCCAGATCTATATCTAACCATTTTACTCCGCAAACCTTGCTCTTTCTACCTCGAGGAGCAATCACTTCCAGCGGGTTAATCCAAGGCCATATAAGGACTGATTATAGGCGCCTGACAGGTATTTTTGCAGCGGCTCTTACTTGCCCCCTGTTATTTCATATTTGTCGAGATAAATGGATGCAAGCCCAATTTATAGTTTCTCTCTGGAACTGAAAGCTTTTGATCCTTATCTTGGGGCATTTTGTAGAATAGGACATCAACAAGTTTGCCTCAATGCCCTATCCTTTCATCATAATTTGCGTGTGCACTATTTTAAAGAGTTTCGAATGTAATGAGATTTCAGATCAATATAATATAAAGATATAAAATGGTGTTAAAGCATTTCCATTCATTCAGTAATATATGTATAGAGACCTCTATCTATTCATATAGATTATAGAGGTATGAACGAGTTCTTTGTTATATATGGGAACTTGGCCACGTGGTTTGTCCTCAAATCACGTGGTGTGTCTTCAAAGCTTCGAAGGCAGCTGTTCATCTATTCACCATTTGGTCTGTCAACGAGGGAGTGGATATATAATTCCTTTTTTCTTGTTATTTAAATGAAGGTGTTGGAAGCTCGAGTTTTTGTTCCAAGTTTCTGAACTAGCTTTACAGTGAACATAATATGTTGGTGTTCCTTTGTTAAATACGAAACCAAGGACCATGGACAATGGACATTGGTCGCATATTTGACTTTAAGACTGTACAAAAAAGTTTCTATGCTTCTATAATCTATAACACATAAAGTCCTTTATACATTTCAACTCGAGCCAATTTTTCAGCTTCTGAAATGCCTGCTTCCGCGTTTCCAGTCCTCAGATTTTGCTGGATTGATCTGGAAACTCGAGCGGCAGGTTTACCAGCCCAACTTATTGTATGAATAAAAACGTTTCCGTCAAGTTCACTAAGTGTTATTTCCCCGAATCCTGGCATTGCCATGGATACCGAGCTTCAGATAAGCTGCCTTGATCGTCATGCATTACCATCGTTCCGATGATATGCTTGTTGTTCAGCATTCGTCGACATCAATTAAGATGTTGAACACCTCGTACAACACCCAATTGATGTTCCTACATGCTTCATACCATAGATGTTAAAACCATTCTGGCCACATAGAGGGGTCATGATAAGTTATGTTGATTACTTGGAGTAACTTGAAACTTTAAATGCAATTTAAAACTTTAAAGTGACGCTAAAACCAAAATGTCACCTCATATTCATAATTAGACGAGTTTCTTTCCAAGTAGGTATATCTGTCCGAGGAACAGCAATTTGTAAGCAATATGTTATTGTTATGGTTGTTGCTAAGGTTACGAGGACCTTATAGATCCAGAAGAATTTGAAGATAGGAGCCATTAAAGAAACATTTCTGACATTTCCTTAAGCTTTGATCGTAGACGACAAATTTGATTCGATTTCTTCGATTGTTTAATTTTCGTTGCCAAGCATCGAACTATGTTTACTGTTAATGATATGATCAATAAAACATTGCCTCATTACTTTAAATTCCACAGTCTGGATGCTGTCGCTGTTATTGCTTGACTCTTTACAGTCTTGAGGACGCACACATTTTTTATTTTCAGATTCTGGGTTTATTTTTAAATTATCAATTCCTGAATGCCACATGAAATTCTTGCCCTTCCATTTTAATTCTCACAAAAATCATCAAAATCACTGTTGTCTGATAAAAACAGTGAAATTTAACTGCTTCTAACTGTTCTCTAGTCAGTGAGTAATGTCTTAATGTACAATTCAATTCGTTAGTATAGCTTCAGTATGAAACTAAGGACATTTTGAACCTGGGGTACACTCTGCAGTGAAAAAACAAACGTAACTCGACCAGGCCTACAATAGTGCTAGAAGCGTTGCGTGATCTCACGTGCAACTGCTAAAATAGCACGTGCAACTGCTAAAATAGCACGTGCAACTGCTAAAATAGCACGTGCTGCAACTCGCTGGCCGTTGTCAAAAATTCAACCACGCCTGAGAGACACCACACTCAGTAATGTTAGAATTAGTCACATTCTTAAGTTGTTAGCCAATTCTAACACACTCACTCGAGAGTAGTGTCCTGATCACCTCATGCAGTGCCTTCAATAATCATAGATCATCATTAAATGTGTTTGAATTGTTTTCATGATAAACCTTCAATTATTATTGCTTCACAGTTATATGCATGTTATAGATAAACTCGTCATCCTATTAACATGACGCTATTTAAATTGGGTTTGTTATCACACTAAAATTCGTCAATTATATCTTTTTATAATTCAATCTAACGAATCAACATTGTAGGTCAGTCATGAAGCTGTGGTCAATACTCCTTCTTACACTTCTTGTAGCCCTGCTGAGGGCTGATGAAATCGCAAATGATACCGACGGAGCTGACAGTGAGAGCGAAGTTGCAGATAATGGTGCTGAGTCAGGTGATGGTGCAGCCGCAGAAGCCGACTCAGGTGATGGTGCCGCCGCAGAAGCCGACTCAGGTGATGGTGCCTCCGCAGAAGCCGACTCAGGTGATGGTGCCGCCGCAGAAGCCGACTCAGGTGATGGTGCCGCCGCAGAAGCCGACTCAGGTGATGGTGCCGCCGCAGAAGCCGACTCAGGTGATGGTGCCGCCGCAGAAGCCGACTCAGGTGATGGTGCCGCCGCAGAAGCCGACTCAGGTGATGGTGCCGCCGCAGAAGCCGACTCAGGTGATGGTGCCGCCGCAGAAGCCGACTCAGGTGATGGTGCCGCCGCAGAAGCCGACTCAGGTGATGGTGCAGCCGCAGAAGCCGACTCAGGTGATGGTGCAGCCGCAGAAGCCGACTCAGGTGATGGTGCCGCCGCAGAAGCCGACTCAGGTGATGGTGCCGCCGCAGAAGCCGACTCAGGTGATGGTGCCGCCGCAGAAGCCGACTCAGGTGATGGTGCAGCCGCAGAAGCCGACTCAGGTGATGGTGCCGCCGCAGAAGCCGACTCAGGTGATGGTGCCGCCGCAGAAGCCGACTCAGGTGATGGTGCCGCCGCAGAAGCCGACTCAGGTGATGGTGCCGCCGCAGAAGCCGACTCAGGTGATGGTGCCGCCGCAGAAGCCGACTCAGGTGATGGTGCCGCCGCAGAAGCCGACTCAGGTGATGGTGCAGCCGCAGAAGCCGACTCAGGTGATGGTGCCGCCGCAGAAGCCGACTCAGGTGATGGTGCCGCCGCAGAAGCCGACTCAGGTGATGGTGCAGCCGCAGAAGCCGACTCAGGTGATGGTGCTGCCGCAGAAGCCGACTCAGGTGATGGTGCCGCCGCGGAAGCCGACTCAGGTGATGGTGCCGCCGCGGAAGCCGACTCAGGTGATGGTGCCGCCGCGGAAGCCGACTCAGGTGATGGTGCCGCCGCAGAAGCCGACTCAGATGATGGTGCCGCCGCAGAAGCCGACTCAGGTGATGGTGCCGCTGCAGAAGCCGACTCAGGTGATGGTGCCGCCTCAGAAACCGACTCAGGTGATGGTGCAGCCGCAGAAGCCGACTCAGGTGATGGTGCCGCCGCAGAAGCCGACTCAGGTGATGGTGCCGCCGCAGAAGACGACTCAGGTGATGGTGCAGCCGCAGAAGCCGACTCAGGTGATGGTGCCGCCGCAGAAGCCGACTCAGGTGATGGTGCCGCCGCAGAAGACGACTCAGATGATGGTGCTGTCGCAGAAGATGACTCAGACGATGGTGCCGCTGCCGAATCAGACGACTCAGAAGAAAATGATGATAGTGGTGCCGAAGAAGGAGATGACGGTGAATCAGAGGAAGTGTCAGGACCAGCTGATAGTGGATACAAAGTTCAAATCAGTTTTGTTGTTTTTGTGATCAGTTTAGTGAGAAACGTTCTTGGCTGGTAGTCAAAAATTCACGTTGATCAGATTTTACATTGCTTCCCATTCGATAGAGCCTCAGTATCATACTGACAAACATTATAGAAAAGCAACTTAGCTGGGACTTTACATATTCTAAATATTGGACGATTATGAATGGATAATTTTATTGCTTCACAATACAAAATATTTCTCAAATACTGTATGAATGTTGTAATGCATCACTGCAGCTAATTAAGATAAGTTGTTACTGACATTTCTGATGTGTTTAATTTTAAATTAATAAATGTGTATCTGAAAACTGTTATAACAATGGTGTTCATTTTATTAAAGGTCATGTTTTTTTGTTTTTAGTTTTACAAAATATCTCTATTTAATTACTGGAGAAACATAAAAGTTTTAGTTTTGATGAGATTACTAATTATAATACGTCATGTTTAATTTAAAATTTTAACACGAATTAGGGGATTTGATTTGTTCATTATATTTTAACATCCACTAGTTCGTCCAGAACATCTCGGTAAGAAAATAGCAAAAATTCAGAAAGAATGTCAAGAATGACGATGTTAGAATGAACTTACAAACACCATGCGCTTCCAAAAAAGTGGGTCACAAAACAGCAATACATGAAAAAGTAGGTCACAAAACTGCATCACAAAAAAAGTGGGAAAATATGAATGTGATTATGATCTGCGAGGCCATGATCTGTAAAAAAACTTAAAACATCATTTCTCCATTCAATTATATAGGTTGCAGTTGGTTCTATAAGGTCAAAGATCCCCAAACAATTTTTCGTTTCGCCAATCGATGGTGGTTAAGGGATTTGCAAGTCTGGATAGTGAGGTCGACCACGAGGATATGTGGCGTAATCTCAGTCAGACCGTCACTGATGTCTCACTGGAGGTACTAGGTAAAAGACCCCGGAAGGCAAAGGAGCAACACCTGTCACGGAAGACCAAGGATTTATTGATTCAGCGGGCACAGTTTAAGCGCAGACACCCAAACTCTGACGCTAACAGGTGAGAGTATTCTAAACTTAATAAGTTAGTCAAGAAAAGCAGCAAGCTAGACGACAATAACTGGGCAGTTAGAGTAGCTACTGATCTTGAGGAAGCAGCGAGCAAAGGTCAGCAGCGTGAGGTATGGGCAAAGATCAAGAGGATCTCTGGTAAGCAAAGAAGCCTTAAGCATCTTGTGTCCGGGTTAAGGACGGAAGGAAGATCACGGACCCCCAACAGCAGAGGGATAGGTGGAAGGAGCACTTTACTGAACTTCTGAACCCTCCATTATCAAGTGTCGACCTTGCCGACCTTGATACAGTACCACCCCAACCCCACTTTGACTCTCTCTCTTTTTCGGATGGACCACCCACCAGAGACGAGATTAGTTATTCCCTGACAAAGCTTAAGAACCACAAAAGCCCAGGAGTGGACGGGATAACTAACGAGCAACTGAAGTATGGTGCGAGTGCTCTAGTTGATCAACTAGAGTGTCTATTCAAGAAGGTGTGGGAAGAAGAGACTGTTCCTGAAGATTGGTTAAAGGGTGTGATCATTGTTATTGGGAAGAAAGGAGACACTTCAGTCTGCGGGAACAACAGAGGGATCACCTTAAGGTCTACAGCATCCAAGCTTTTTCAGATGATTCTTCTTAAGCGATTACATGCTGGTATGGAGTGTCCTCTCAGGGAGAATCAGTGCGGATTTAGACAGAACCGCTCATGTATTGATCAGATTTATTCTCTCCGAACTATTATTCATAACTGTCTTGAGTTTAACATTCCTCTTTTCATTAATTTTGTCGATTTCAAGGCAGCGTTCGATTCTATCAGAAGGGACTTTATTTGGTGCAGTATGAGACACTATGGGCTGCCTGAAAATATGTCAGAATATTTCAGTCATTTTTTGGGGGTACCATGATGAGTGCCGTGAGGGTTAATGGGGAGCTGACAGACTGTTTTGATGTTAACTCAGGCACAGGTCAGGGTGACATTCAAGCACCTCCTGTCTTTAATTTCTGCCTAAACTTTTCTGCATTTCTGGCTGAGACCAACAAGACCATCAGTCAAGGCGCAGTGCTGCAGAAGGAGATGAAGACGGGCGAGGAAAAGGTCATTCTGGACACCGATTATGCTGATGACATGGCTATTATGGACAACTCAGGGGAAGGCCTACAGGAGTCAACTGATCTATTAGTTCATTACAGCTCCTACGCTTGGCTCAGAATAAATGCAAAGAAGACCCAATGCATGGCTGTAAGCAAGTGCGCCTCCCAGCGACCTTTCATCAAGGATGATTGTATTGAGCTGTCGGTTGAGGGTGAACCCGTCGAGCAGGTTAGCAACTTTGTCTACCTGGGTGCAACTATCAGTGGGGATGGGACAATCGACAGAGACCTGGATGTCCGTATCCAGAAGGCTAATGGCGCCTTTCATCAGCTCTGGAACATTTGGAATAGCAGAACTATAAAGATTCCAACCAAGATCAGGATCTATAGGGCTGCTGTCCTCACCATCTTGTTGTATGGAGCTGAAGTCTGGAACACCACCAAAAAGCAGATGAAACGCTTCGAGGTTTTCCATCAGACCTCCTTGAGAAGGATCCTGAGGATTAAATGGTTCTTTCATGTGACCAACGAAGAAGTTCTTAGGAGGGCTGGCATCAAATCTGTTGAGACTTTCATCAGTGCTGCCAGGCTACGTTGGTATGGACATGTAGTTAGAATGCCAGACTCTAGACTACCGAGGTTTCTGTTGAACTGGAAGCCAAATTATGGAAAGAGGTCAAGGGCAGACCCCGTAAGAACTGGAAGTCCTGCGTACTCGAAGATGCTGCTAAGTTTACAGGTGTTGAAAACATCGACAACAACACAACAGAAGCTTTGGCTACCAACCGAGTGCAGTGGAGACATATGTTACGCCGCCAACGCGATGTGTGTGATGCAGGCCACTCCAACGACTAGGAGGATACCTTACCATGTAACATGTATGTAACAATCGATGGGCATAATTTTCACATTAAGGGGGTAGATTTAATGGCGAGTAGTGATTTAATACTTTTACCTGGACAAGAGGAGGGTTTAGTTTAGTTTGGCATGGGATTATATTTAATGTTAAGCCGCAGCACACGCTTATTTTCTGTAATGCACATTAAAAATATATTAGCCCCCTGCCATAGCCTTGTTCAGAGTTATAGCAATCAATTCTCGTTATGAGCCACATCATGTAACATGATGTCACCTGATGTCATATGACGTCACATGATGTCACATAATGTCACATGATGTCACATGATGTCACATGATGTCACATGATGTGATTTGACGTAGAGTCATGTAAGTCTTCTTTATTTAATTGGCGTGTACTTTCTTGCACTACTCAGTGGTTTAACGGCCTCATTGTTGATGATCGCAAGTTATCGAACCTTATAAAAGTCTCGACATAACTGGAGCATCATTTTAAAATAAAACAGTAAAATATAATAATAAAAAAACTAAATTAAAGAAAAGTGAGGAATTATACACTGCAGGACACACATATTTCCCTCAATTTATTTCCCCCTCAATTTATGAGTATTGATGTTCTGTTTGTATCGGCTACCATAAAGCATTGTATTATTTTTCCTACGACGCGGACGTTCTCATATTTATAAATAATGAGCATGAACTTAAATAGCTTTATTGTCGAGACTCGAGCTGTTGACTTCATTCCCAACTACATTAGAAGGTTAAAACGCCCTTTATTATTGTATAACTTATTTACAGAGTTGCTTATGACGCTCATACCTTTATTGTTGACGTCACTACTCCTGGTGACGTCACTACTCTTGGTGACGTCACTACTCTTGGTGACGTCACTACTTACAGAGTTGCTTAAGACGCTCATAGTCATACCTTTATTGATCCTATTTGCACTATTTATCTTTACTTATGTTTATCACAATTTAACCAAACAGATCAATCTTACAGGTCAGTTATGAAGCTGTGGTTTTAAAACCGCATTCTTGAGTTGTGAGCTCAAACGGCCAGGTAGCGTAGTTGGTTAATCATCGGATTTGTAATCGTGAGATTGTGAGTTCGAAACCCACTGCCTGCCTAGTCGTGGGGTGAGTGTCGTCGACATTCAGCTAAAGATCCTGAGTGGTCTATGCAGCCCCCCGTCTACTCAGCCGAATATTCGAGAAATCGTGTGTGAGGGTTAAATGAGAAGCTGTCCATTGCAGCGAAGTCTCGGGCGAAGAAAGTATGGTACACACTACCTTAACCGTCACTGGCCTAATTAAATCCTTCGGCTTCCTGTAATTGGCTAGTTACACTTGTGTAACAATGTGGCTGTTGGAATACTCCGAAGTAAAATAAGTGTGAGATAAAAAAACATAATTATTAGTCAATTCTAATACACTCACTCGAGAGTAGTGTCCTGATCGCCTCATGCAGTGTCTCATAAAATGTGTTTGAATTGTTTTCATCATAAACCTTCAATTATTTTTGCTTCACAGTTATCTGCATGTTATAGATAAACGCGTCATCCTATTAACTTGTATCACGTGGTGACCCCCACTGTCGCTTCACTATAGTCTTCGACGATACAGGGGGAGCCGCGCACTTTGTGAGCGGCGGGTCATACAACGTAAGACAACTATTAACGTGGCGCTATTTAAATTGGGTTTGATATCACACTAAAATTCGTCAATTATATCTTTTTATAATTCAATCTAACGAATCAACATTGTAGGTCAGTCATGAAGCTGTGGTCAATACTCCTTCTTACACTTCTTGTAGCCCTGCTGAGGGCTGATGAAGCTGCAAATGATACCGACGGAGCTGGCAGTGAGAGCGAAGTTGCAGATAACAGTGCTGAGTCAGGTGATGATGCCATCGCAGAAGCCGAATCAGATGATGGTGCTGTCGCAGAAGCCGAGTCAGATGATGGTGCTGTCGCAGAAGCCGAGTCGGATGATGGTGCTGTCGCAGAAGCCGAGTCGGATGATGGTCCTGTCGCAGAAGCCGAGTCGGATGATGGTGCTGTCGCAGAAGCCGAGTCGGATGATGGTCCTGTCGCAGAAGCCGAATCAGATGATGGTGCTGTCGCAGAAGCCGACTCAGATGATGGTGCTGTCGCAGAAGCCGAGTCAGATGATGGTGCTGTAGCAGAAGCCGAGTCGGATGATGGTGCTGTCGCAGAAGCCGAGTCGGATGATGGTGCTGTCGCAGAAGCCGAGTCGGATGATGGTGCTGTCGCAGAAGCCGAGTCGGATGATGGTGCTGGCAGTGAGAGCGAAGTTGCAGATAACGGTGCTGAGTCAGGTGATGATGTCGTCGCAGAAGCCGAATCAGATGATGGTGCTGTCGCAGAAGCCGACTCAGATGATGGTGCTGTCGCTGAAGCCGAATCGGATGATGGTGCTGTCGCAGAAGCCGAGTCGGATGATGGTGCTGTCGCAGAAGCCGAGTCAGATGATGGTGCTGTCACAGAAGATGACTCAGATGATGGTGCTGTCGCAGAAGCCAAGTCGGATGATGGTGCTGTCGCAGAAGCCGAGTCGGATGATGGTGCTGTCGTAGAAGCCGAGTCGGATGATGGTCCGTTCGCAGAAGCCGAGTCGGATGATGGTGCTGTAGCAGAAGCCGAGTCGGATGATGGTCCTGTCGCAGAAGCCGACTCAGATGATGGTGCTGTCGCAGAAGCCGACTCAGATGATGGTGCTGTCGCAGAAGCCGATTCAGATGATGGTGCTGTCGCAGAAGCCGAGTCGGATGATGGTGCTGTCGCAGAAGCCGAGTCGGATGATGGTGCTGGCAGTGAGAGCGAAGTTGCAGATAACGGTGCTGAGTCAGGTGATGATGTCGTCGCAGAAGCCGAATCAGATGATGGTGCTGTCGCAGAAGCCGACTCAGATGATGGTGCTGTCGCAGAAGCCGAGTCAGATGATGGTGCTGTAGCAGAAGCCGAGTCAGATGATGGTCCTGTCGCAGAAGCCGACTCAGATGATGGTGCTGTCGCAGAAGCCGACTCAAATGATGGTGCTGTCGCAGAAGCCGACTCAGATGATGGTGCTGTCGCAGAAGCCGAGTCAGATGATGGTGCTGTCGCAGAAGCCGAGTCGGATGATGGTGCTGTCGCAGAAGCCGAGTCGGATGATGGTGCTGGCAGTGAGAGCGAAGTTGCAGATAACGGTGCTGAGTCAGGTGATGATGTCATCGCAGAAGCCGAATCAGATGATGGTGCTGTCGCAGAAGCCGACTCAGATGATGGTGCTGTCGCAGAAGCCGAGTCAGATGATGGTGCTGTCGCAGAAGCCGAGTCGGATGATGGTGCTGTCGCAGAAGCCGAGTCGGATGATGGTGCTGTCGCAGAAGCCGAGTCGGATGATGGTGCTGGCAGTGAGAGCGAAGTTGCAGATAACGGTGCTGAGTCAGGTGATGATGTCATCGCAGAAGCCGAATCAGATGATGGTGCTGTCGCAGAAGCCGACTCAGATGATGGTGCTGTCGCAGAAGCCGAGTCAGATGATGGTGCTGTAGCAGAAGCCGAGTCGGATGATGGTGCTGTCGCAGAAGCCGAGTCGAAGCTTGTAAATATCTATCAACTTATACAAACACACACATCATCATATGGTCAGACAGTCTCTCCTCTATTCAAGCCATATCCTCACCTTCAACGAGGAGTAGGACTACTAGAGACTGTTACGACACCCTCAATACACTCGGATCCACTAACACCTTAGAGATCAGATGGATAGCTGCACACATTGGATTGTGGGGTAATGAAAAAGCAGACGAGCTGGCCAAAAATGGTACAACCAGTGAATCCACTTTGAATTGCCCAATTCCACAATCTTACATCAAACGCCTGATCAACGACAAAGTCACAAAACTTAATCAAGAATCATGGATTACTGATGGTCCCAGACACACTAAACTGACACTTGGACATAAAAACATCAACATCATCAAAAATCTCAACACTACACTCAGTAACAACAGACAAAATTATAGAACTGCAGTGCACCTCATCACGGGACATTGTGGCCTCAACAAACACCTACACACCATTCGCAAATCAGACACAAGTGCTTGTCCTAAATGCGGTGACGAAGAGGAGACTGTCTCACACTTTCTCGGACAGTGCCCGGCTATTGCCCAAATAAGAGGTCAATATTTCCGGGACTACTACCTCTCTGTCAATGACATATTCGACAACCAACACATCTCCACCATTGTCAACTTTACAAACCACACTAAACGCTTAGTGGTGCCAGAGGAGTTGGACCAGACAGGTGTAACATAGCGACTACTTTAACGCCGTCTTATTTCGCCTCTCTCTTCCACACTCAACCACCACTTAAGCGTTTATCTATGACACACCCCACAACACTTACCATCATCCTTGATTACACATCTTGATTCCACTGGCATCCTCCCACAGGACTGCCATACCCCAGAGGTAGGCAAAGCATTCATATGCTATCCTCTCGTGGGCCAACCAGGCCCAGCCTCTCTAAAAAAAAAAAAAAAAGAAAAAAAAGCCGAGTCGGATGATGGTGCTGTCGCAGAAGCCGAGTCGGATGATGGTGCTGTTGCAGAAGCCGAGTCGGATGATGGTGCTGCCGCAGAAGATGACTCAGATGATGATGCTGCCGCAGAAGATGACTCAGATGATGGTGCTGCCGCAGAAGATGACTCATATGATGGTGCTGTCGCAGAAGCCGACTCAGATGATGGTGCTGTCGCAGAAGCCGAGTCAGATGATGGTGCTGTCGCAGAAGCCGAGTCGGATGATGGTGCTGTCGCAGAAGCCGAGTCGGATGATGGTGCTGGCAGTGAGAGCGAAGTTGCAGATAACGGTGCTGAGTCAGGTGATGATGTCGTCGCAGAAGCCGAATCAGATGATGGTGCTGTCGCAGAAGCCGAGTCAGATGATGGTGCTGTAGCAGAAGCCGAGTCGGATGATGGTCCTGTCGCAGAAGCCGACTCAGATGATGGTGCTGTCGCAGAAGCCGACTCAGATGATGTTGCTGTCGCAGAAGCCGAGTCAGATGATGGTGCTGTCGCAGAAGCCGAGTCGGATGATGGTGCTGTCGCAGAAGCCGAGTCGGATGATGGTGCTGTCGTAGAAGCCGAGTCGGATGATGGTGCTGGCAGTGAGAGCGAAGTTGCAGATAACGGTGCTGAGTCAGGTGATGATGTCGTCGCAGAAGCCGAATCAGATGATGGTGCTGTCGCAGAAGCCGACTCAGATGATGGTGCTGTCGCAGAAGCCGAGTCAGATGATGGTGCTGTCGCAGAAGCCGAGTCGGATGATGGTGCTGTTGCAGAAGCCGAGTCGGATGATGGTGCTGCCGCAGAAGATGACTCAGATGATGATGCTGCCGCAGAAGATGACTCAGATGATGGTGCTGCCGCAGAAGATGACTCAGATGATGGTGCCGCTGCCGAATCATACGACTCAGAAGAAAATTATGATAGTGGTGCCGAAGAAGGAGCTGAAGGTGAATCAGAGGAAGTGTCAGGACCAGCTGATAGTGGATACCAAGTTCAAATCAGTTTTTTTGTTTTTGTGATCAGTTTATTGAGAAACATTCTTCGCTGGTAGTCAACAACTCACGTTGATCAGTTTTTCATCGCTCCCAATTCGATAGACGCTCAGTATAGTGACAAACATTATAGAAAAGCAACTTAGCTGGGACTTTACAAATTCTAAATAGTGGATGATTATGAATGGATAATTTTATTGCTTCACAATACAAAATAATGAATACAAATGCTGTATGAATGTTGTAATGCATCACTGCAGCTAATTAAGATAATGTTAAATAAAAGTGGGTCACAAAACAGCCAAAATCGATCAAATTTGGTGCGTATGCCCAAATATGGGCATATGGTTTTTGGCTCATAACTCAGTCATTTTTTGTCGAACCTTGATGAAATTTCATATACGAGTTCAGGAGACCACTAGCTACAAGTAGAGCACCATAAACCGGGGTTTTGGGTATGTTCAGGGTATTTGGCTAAATTGTGCCTAATTTAGACCAAATATGGTGGTGGCTGCCCCACGGGCACCGTTTGGCGGTTGGGGTCCGGGACCCCCTCAAAAGTTCGGTCACTGGTCCTAGTTTGTTGGTCAACTGCTATCTCGAAATCAAGTTTCACAAAAAATATCCATTGCCCCCCCCCCCCCCCCCCCCCCCCCCCCCCCCCCCCCCCCCCCCCCCCCCCCTTTAAGCCGCAGCACACGCTTATTTTCTGTAATGCACATTAAAAAGATATTAGCCCCATGCCATAGCCTTGTTTAAATTTACTTACTTACTTACTTGATAAGGTCTCCTCAATCATTCGAGAGGCCTGCACCAAGGAATTGCCGCTTATGTCGTACGGGTATCGGCCTTACAAAATGACACGAAAAAGGAGATGGCTCTGGAATGCACAAAAATGAGTTTTGTTCATGTTTAATTATCCAGATAGGTAGTTCAACAGGTATGTTTTTCTTCCCGGGGGTTGATTTGATTGAAAAACCGTAAATTTTGCGATAAAAATTGTCATCTTTGAAATCTTCCAAAAAAACATGCCTTACAAAATGACAATTTCGTCACGGCTGTCATTTTTGAACAGCAGCCTATAGAAATTTGATTTCACCTAGGACAGTTAGATAAATATAATAGATTGAAGATTAGAATAGCTTTTACAGGAAAAAGGATGATTATAAAAAGTTGGGCAATTTCGCGTGAGATAGTGCCTTACAAAATGACAACCCAAAACGGCATCACTTCAAATCCGATTTGGGAAAAAGTTTCATTATTCTTTCACGTGTCTTACTGTTAGATATATATGTTGTTTATATTATACCAGTTCTGTTTTTACCAAAATATATTTAAAAAGGAACATTTTTTATACTTTGAAAAAATTTAAAAAATGTCATTTTGTGAGGCGTAAAAATCATTTTTTGTTTTCATACTTGAACACAGTATTTGGTTATATTTGATATTTTCTATGACTGGATAGATCACTTTTCAGTGTTTAGTTAACGTTTGACATGTTTTAGGAGTTGTTATTACTCTCCGCTTTCACAAAATAGAAGCTTTATTTCGTTGAGTTTTGAAATCAGAGTTTGAAATCAAAGAGTTTGAAATCAAAGTTTTGATATCAGAACTTCACTTTTTTAATGTCACTTGATTGTTAACTGTCAGATTATGATTATTTTTAACTCCTTCTTGTATTGACTGTCTCTGATCCATTTTAGATGATGAAAATAATTCAATCTGAAACATTGTCATTTTGTAAGGCTTTTCGGTGTCATTTTGTGAGGCATTTTGATCAAAATTGATGATCAAACAAACACATTTAGGCTCATCATGAGCTTACTGGGTTTAAGAATACCAATAATTAGGCAAGGGGCATCCAATATAAATATGCCATCTTTGTATCATAAAATAAAACTGTCATTTTGTGAGGCATAACACTGTCATTTTGTGAGGCTAGGTCATTTTTTTGTCATTTCTTCTACCAAAGTCACTAAATCAGTTTTTTTATTTGACCAGAGTAGTCTTTGATTGACATAAGTCATGGTAGTACCTGGTTTTCTGGGGTTAAATTCAAAACTTTGGTCTCCATTCTGGGTAACAGTTAGGTGGGGCAATGACTGAACAGCAAAAAAGTCCATATTTATGTAAGAAATATAGATTATATGTCATTATCATTCCTTGGGAAGTGTTAATTAATGCTTTTTCTTTCATACAGTAAAAGGAATAGGGTTCAATGTATAGGGAACCTAAGCTACAGCATGGTCTATGTGGGCTGTCATTTTGTGAGGCCTGTCATTTTGTAAGGCCGATACCCGTATCATCTCTCTCCAGTGCTTTCGGTTTCCTGCCAACTCTCGGACCTTATCAAATACAATGTCTGGATCTCCTGTGAATGTTACTGCGTCTTCTAGGACACAGGTTCGCCAGTTCTTTCTTGGCCGCCCACGTGATCTTCGGCCGTGAGCAGGTGTCCAATCAAATAGATACTTTGGTAGCCTGGTGTCCGGCATTCTAGAAACATGTCCAAACCAGCGACTAAAGCACTAAATTCTCATTATGATCCACATGATGTCACAATATGATGTCACATGATGTCACATAATGTCACATGATGTCACATGACGTAACATGATGTCACATGATGTCACATGACGTAACATGATGTCACATAATGTCACATAATGTTACATTATGTCACATGACGTCACATGATGTACTTAATGTATGATTGGCGTGTACTGTCTTGCACTACTCAGTGGTATAACGGCCTTATTGCTGATGATCGCAAGTTATCAAACCTTATAGCATCATTTTAAAATAAAACAGTAAAATATAAAAAATAAATTAAAGAAAAGTGAGGAATTCCACACTGCAGGACACACATATTTCCCTCAATTTATGAGTATTGAGTAATGAGGACCTACGAAGTTCTCTTTGTATCGGCTACCATAAAGCATTGTATTATTTTGCTTCGACGCGGACGTTCTCATATTGATAAATAATGAGCATGAACTTAAATAGCTTTATTGTCGAGACTCGAGCTGTTGACTTCATTCCAAACTAGATTAGAAGGTTAAAACGCCCTTTATTATTGTATAACTTATTTACAGAGTTGCTTATGACGCTCATACCTTTATTGTTGACGTCACTACTCCTGGTGACGTCACTACTTGTGGTGATGTCACTACTCCTGGTGACGTCACTACTTACAGAGTTGCTTAAGACGCTCATAGCATAGTCATACCTTTATTGATCCGGCCAGTTGGTAGATCACCGACCGGCTATAAGCCGGCTACTAACCGGCTATAAGCCGGCTTATAGCCGGCTACAATTTTTATAGCCGGCTATAAGCCGGCTTATAGCCGGTTAGTAGCCGCTTACATTTGTTGTTGAGCGACGGCTATTAGCCGGTTATAAGCCTGCTATTAGCCGTTTTGGTATAAAAAGTGTTATAAGCCGGCTATAAGCCGGTTATAAGATATTAACTCAACTACATCGTACTGAACGATAGTCAGGAGCCGGCTATAAGAAATTCAGTGAAAACGGCTATTAGCCGGTTATAAGCCGGCTATTAGCCGTTTAGGTATCGAAAGTGGTTATAAGCCGGCTATAAGCCGGTTATAAGATATTAAATCAGTTCAGTACGATGAAGTTAAGTTAATATCTTATAGCCGGCTTATAGCCGGCTTATAACCACTTTCGATACCTAAACGACAATTTAACCAAACAGATCAATCTTACAGGTCAGTTATGAAGCTGTGGTTTTAAAACTTTTTACGCTGTGCATTTTAACGGCTCTTTTAGCCCATCTGAGGGCTGCTCAAGATGACACCACTGTAGCAAATGATACCGACGGAAGTGACGGTGAGAGTGAGGAAGGGGATAACGGTGTCGTCAAAGGAGAAGATGATAGTGGTGCCGTCAAAGAAGAAGGTGATAGTGGTGTCGCTAAAGAAGAAGATGATAGTGGTGCCGACGAAGGAGATGATTCAGGTGATGGTGATGCCGGCGAAAGAGAAGGTAATAGTGATGCCGGCGAAGAAGAAGATGATAGTGATGCCGCTGAAGAAGATGATTCAGGTGATGGTGATGCCGGCGAAAGAGAAGGTAATAGTGATGCCGGCGAAGAAGAAGATGATAGTGGTGCCAACGAAGGAGATGATTCAGGTGATGGTGATGCCGGCGAAAGAGAAGGTAATAGTGGTGCCGGCGATGGAGAGGATGGTAGTAGTGCCGGCAAAGAAGAATGTGATAGTGGTGCCGCTGAAGAAGAAGGTGATAGTGATGCCGCTGAAGAAGATGATTCAGGTGATAGTGATGCCGACGAAGAAAAAGCTGATAGTGGTGCCGACGAAGGAGATGATTCAGGTGATAGTGGTGCCGGCGAAGGAGAGGATGGTAGTGGTGCCGAAAAAGAAGGAGTTGATGTGGGAGCTGATGGTGGAGCTGACGGTGAATCAGAAGAAGTATTGGAAGTCAGAACCAAATAGTGGATAAAAAGTTTAAAATTAAATCAGTTTTTTTGTTTTTGTGATCAGTTTGTTAACTATTTACGCGATCAGATTTTAAGCAATGCTTCAATCGTTAGACTTAGATAGCGACCAAAATTAATATAAAAGCAGATTATATAATTATAACGATGAGTTTTAAATAATAGTTCAAATGATTATTAAATAATGTTGTTTTGAAACACAAATAATTCTGCTTAAATGTTGGTTTTATTGTACAATTTTCGCCAATTAAGATAGCTTTGCTGAAAATAATGAAATAATGATAAACTAAAATAACAAGCACATTCTCTAACCTGTTCACAGTTCATCATGCCACGTGTAGAGTATGTTCCCGCCGCGCAGTCAGCCGGGTTGTTACCGTTACTACAACTCTGACCAGCCGGACACCCCGCACATCTACCATCCTTCTCGTATTCGTCTGTAACAGTGTTACAGTGTTACAGTGTTACAATGCTGTGGTACAGTGTTACAGTGTTACAATGTTACAGTGTTACAGTGGTACAGTGTTACAGTGTTACAATGTTACAGTGTTACAGTGGTACAGTGTTACAGTGTTACAGTGTTACATTGTTACAGTGTTACAGTGTTACATTGTTACAGTGTTACAGTGCAGTGTTACAGTGTTACAGTGTTACAGTGTTACAGTGCAGTGGTACAGTGTTACAACTTACAGTGTTACATTGTTACAGTGTTACAGTGTTACAGTGGTACAGTGTTACAGTGTTACAGTGTTACATTGTTACAGTGTTACAGTGTTACATTGTTACAGTGTTACAGTGCAGTGTTACAGTGTTACAGTGTTACAGTGTTACAGTGCAGTGGTACAGTGTTACAACTTACAGTGTTACATTGTTACAGTGTTACAGTGTTACAGTGCAGTGGTACAGTGTTACAGTGTTACAGTGTTACAGTGGTACAGTGTTACAGTTTTACAGTGTTACAGTGCAGTGTTACAGTGTTACAGTGTTACAGTGTTACAGTGCAGTGGTACAGTGTTACAGTGTTACAGTGTTACAGTGTTACAGTGCAGTGGTACAGTGTTACAACTTACAGTGTTACATTGTTACAGTGTTACAGTGTTACAGTGCAGTGGTACAGTGTTACAGTGTTACAGTGTTACAGTGGTACAGTGTTACAGTTTTACAGTGTTACAGTGCAGTGTTACAGTGTTACAGTGTTACAGTGTTACAGTGCAGTGGTACAGTGTTACAGTGTTACAGTGGTAAATTGTAACACTGGTAGTGGTACAGCGTTACAGCGTTAACTTTCTGTTATGTGTGAAATGACCGAAAAATCATAAATTTACATTATTGTATTCAATCGTTATCTACTTCTAACATTAAGTTAATGACGATTTAAACTAGCTAGTACATACCAGCGTCACAAGGTGTAGGGTTGAGTGTAGTAGAGGAACAGTGGTGACCTACAGGACAATCAGTACACTCAGTGTTACCCTCACCAGCCGCGTACTCATCTGAGGGAAGGTGATGCGTTAATTAGGAAATTAGTTAATTGGTTAATTGATTAATTTTTTAATTTGTTAATTGGTTAATTGGTTAATTGGTTAATTGGCTAATTAGTTATTTTAACGCCAGAATAATGGACGGTGAGTTAGAAAAAACCACAGCTCACTAAATTCGAGGCGCTGTGAGTACGGACACGGAGGGAGGTCCTCATTTCGCCGAAAATATCAAGAATTTCAACTGTAACCCTAGTCTTTCACTCAAGAGTTGTAAACTGATACCCTTTAAATTCCATAATTGACACTTTCACTGCAACGCTCGCCTAGTTCGAGTGGTAACGTTGTGGCTGTTCTTTCGCTTCCTTAGAGCTGATACAATGATACACATTACACACCGTGCTTTACATATTGTAGTGTTTTAGTGTACTGTCTTATTGTACTTTCTCTTTATTAGTTGTCTAGCAGTGCTCTCAGTATTTCACTCTCTACAGGCCATGTCGAGTGTAAGACAGCGAGTAGCACCAGACCCCACCACCCCACCAGACCCCAACCCACCAGACCCCAGCCCTGCCTCCCCTCCCACCACCTCCATACCTGGAGCTATGTGTTTAGGGGTACTGCCTAACCTCTACCTCCTCTGGACTCTACTCCACCTCCCTGCTACTACTATCACAACGTGTGCTACTATCTTCATCGGTATCAATACCTTCAGGTTAGTTTTACTTTTTATGGAGCATCAAACTTCTTACTGTATGTTTTAGGGTTAACAAATGTTTACTGTTGGATGTGTTCTGCAAGTGGCTCACTTGATATTCCGCATTGTACAGGGATTTGGATTAAAGGCTTTATAAAATATATTATTATTATGGTTTTGCATTATTGGTGTTCTATTATTATTATGGTGTTGTTAGCTGATTGATACAAAGGTTTTATCGTTTAAAGGTTTCACACGTAAGACTCCACTGTTCAGGTGCGTGTTCCCAAACCGGTATAACAACAACATAGTGCTCCGAGATACGGTACTCTCTTCCATATTCATTACCAGACTACTAGCTACTTTCTCTGAGGTCTCCTGGCTCATCATGCTCAGTGAGGTGAGGTTAACCACGTGGTGACCACGTGGTGAGCAGTGAGTTGAGGTTAACCACACGTTAAGATCCGTTCTTTGTGCGTTAACCGTGTTTTTTGTGACTATTGTGTCATAACTGAGCGTCAACAGTCCATCAACAAATTGCAAAAATCTGTCTCTTAACTTTTACTAAACAGTAAACTCTAGTAAAACACTACAACCTTCCATAAATCATGCTAAAGTAAGGAAAATCAAGTTGAGAGTCCTCATCAAGTTTAAATCACCCACAGTTTGCACATTAATAAACCTCCTCTCAGGCAGCTAAAGATCTCAACACGCTCACAGTTCAATCCCCCACAATCTCCCTTGGTGACGTCACTACTCTTGGTGACGTCACTACTCTTGGTGACGTCACTAATAAACCTCCTCTCAGGTAGCTAAGGATCTCGACACGCTCACAGTTCAATCCCCCACAATCTCCCTGCTAGCAGATACTCTTCCCCCTATCTGTATCCTAGCTCAATGTTTCGTGTGGAGCTCTATTATACTTCACACTGACTCCCTCATGTTCTGGGAGGAGTTCTTTTGGTTCCTTCTGTTCATTATCAACACTGGTATGTATGTATAATAACGAGAATTGAGCCCTTGAATGACCGATTCTCTAACAGCCTAATTCTCGTCATGTATAATCAATTTACACTTGTATTATGGAGATATCATTCATTGAAAATAAACCCCGCTTGTTGAACCAATATATCTTCTCAGTTATATCAAGTGCTCACCACTTGTTTTCTTTCAACACAAACCTCCCAGGTATAAACCTAGTATTCCTCCACCACGGCCACCACTCAATCCTAATCACCCTCTCCCTCCTGCACGGAGCCCTATACCTACCCTGGCAAATACTCAACCTAAAGTTCATCCTCTCCCTGGACGACCCACCTTTCTGTTTCAGTGACGTCACAGTTACCCGGGTTGTTCAGGGGTTGAAGAGGGCAGTGTGGTATAGGAAACAAAGTGTGGTTAGGGAGGACTGGGGAGGCTGGATTGGGGAGAGCTGGATGTTTTGTTATTGGGTGGTTATGCCTGTTTGGCTGGCTACAATCGTGTGGGAGTATGAGAAGATGGGCGCTTTATAGACTGTTCATGTTTGGGTGGTTTTGTTATGAGGAGATTGTCTTTTGTTTTATACTTGTCAATACAAGTGCTGGAATCTGGGTTATAAATGTGATGATTTTGTTAAAGTTCGTTCAGAATGTGATCATTAAGTAAATTTATCAGAGTTACTGATTTAACTGTTTTAGCCAAATGGCTGGACAACGTTCTAGCAAGAAATTGTTTTACTAAGAAGAAGTGTTACTAATAATTAAACAACGTTTTACTAGTCGAGTCGCTGGATGAATTCATTGAACAAGAGAAAGGATAAAGTAGATTAATATTATAAACTTATGTTAGCGTATGGGCAGCAAATTGCGGAACAAGACATTCATACTCTCAGAAAATCAGAGCAATTAGTTTTCGTACACCCTATCCGGTTAAAAGTTTCATTTAGCACGGAGGAAGAAAAACCGATGCGATTATGAAAAATATAAGTGGCTGTCAAATAGGCCAAAAGTGGAGTTATTCCAAAAATTATCTGATTCTCTGAAAATCAAACTTACTTGAAGCACAAGGAAGGGGGTGTTCCATTCCAGCAGTGGGACACTTGCTCCCGGCTGGGCACTCGTGGCACACATCATCACCTGAAGAACGGGGATTATAGCGTTTAAATGACGGAGGATGGGGTTAGGAAAGTGAATTAACGGGTGATACTCGTAAAATATCTGTTCCATATATTGGACCGTCGACGAGTCCAACTCGGCGCGCGTCCGATCCTGGTAGGTTGTAAACCTACAAGCAAGTGAACTATTTTTAGGTGTGGAATGTGGTTGCAAATTGGAATTTAAACTCCAGAAGAACATAAAAATGTCGACATATTTCCGGAAAATGTGTGATCAAAATTTCTAAATTCCCGCAAAACTTAACAAAATTTAAAGTTATCCAAGTCAGAAACCTTCAGGACTGTAGGTTCCTGTAGTACACGCTGTGCCTCTGACCCCGCTAGAGCAAGGGAACCCACCAGGACAGGGAACACAGGAGCTCTGTTTAGCGGCTGAACTGTAGGACCCTGTGTGGGAGAGTGGGGGTTAGGTCGGGGAATTGAGGGGACTTTAATAAACATAAGCTAATACATGGTTATTTGGTAGTTGTTTTAGATTTTGGGCCAAGTCAGTTGAAAGGACTGAGACTCTCATCAAGAATGAACTTTTGAAAAGACATGTTATAGGACGGAGTGCAAAAATTGAGAAATCAGGTTAAATGAACACATCATTCACTCCAGATCGTTATGGAATGGCAATGATATTCCACCAGGCTAATATCCACCCTAAAATCCTAAGTAACTAATACCAAGTACTAACCTACAGGACAGACTAAACAAGCATCCTGTCCATCTCCACTGTAGCTACCCTTACTACAGTCCACTGGAGCTGATGTCTTGTCCACACAACTCTGTCCAGCTGGACAGGATTCACAGAACCCTGCTCCAGATGATGAGGTGTAGTAACCGGCACTGCATGCCTGGCATATTCAGGGTTTAAAACTACAAAACTTCTTTCCGTAGAATATGAGCTAAATTCATGAGCAGGATAAAACGGAATTGCAAGATTAAGTCTAAAATCAGCTATTAACCTCAACAACTGAAAACAAAATTTCACCTCAAAACGTTTTTTTAAATTTCTCACCTGACAAGCTTCCAAGGCTCCGTCACTAAAGGATCCCATAGGACAGATAACTTCCTCCTGATCTTTGTCTGGGCAGAAATAACCCACTGGACAGGAATTACAGGTAGTGGCTCCTAAAAAAGAGGGCATCAACATTATCAACAGTATCAACATTGTTCATTAGAGAATGGAGATGTTTCAGGTTGTTTTAGGGATGTTCATCGCTTTCCTCTGTCAAATTCCTCTCTTACTTAACTCAAAACAGTTGGACTAAGCGGATACAAATAAACCAACAACACTCGGAAAAGCGTGCGTCCAAGAAACCAGACTAGTTTAATGTTATTATAATGAAACCTGTAGCAGTCTGATAATATCCACTAGGACAAGGTATCTGTCCAATAGAAGGGTGAGGGCAGTAGTGTCCCTCAGTACAGGACTTACAGGAACTACCCTCTTGGTACTCCCCTGAGTTACATCGTGTGGCGACACCTGCAGACGGGATAAAATTGTTAACAATGTAGAAAGTATAGTTAGGGAATTATGCACAATGTCTGGGAAAAATTTTTGCGACAAGCGGTCTTCTACAGGAACGTGTTGTCCATAGCCTCAGGAACCACCCCAAAGAGTTTTGAATCTGGATCCGATGGGGGGGGGGGGGGGGGGAAGCTAGAGCAAACTTTTTCCAGGCGCCTAAGGACCGCACTTGAAAAACTCGTAACTACCGTCAAAAAGACACCCAGGAGCCCCATGTGAAAAATGACCGCAATAGTGATATTTGTGGGGCGATTCAGTGTTTCAGGGTCGTCAGATCTATTGGGGGGGGGGGGGGGCTACGCTCTCGAAAATTTACTAAAATTTCGAAATTTTGAAAATTTAATCAAAACGTTGTTTAGTTATAAGGATTCAGATACTAAAATCATCCCGAAACTTAAGATCTCTCAAGTTTTGCACATTCGGAAATTCGGAAAAAAGGTTTTGGCCCAGAAGTTTCAACATTATTGGCAACTATAACATGTATGTATGTATGTTTAACATAGTAACATAGTAACAATAGGGAGAACTAAATGACATACAGTCCCACAGCTGGATTTTATTATCATTTCATTGTTTAATGTTTATGATAATCATGACAGGTCTTTTAACGATTGAACAGATCACTTTCTCATCATCCAAATAATATTTTAAAGTTAATCAATAATAAATAAATTCAGTGAAATTGACACAATGAGGGTGGGCATGACGTCATCTCTACTCTACTCAAGTTTTGCTTTTAATTTAATAAGCTCTCACATCCGCAGAAGCAATTTTGATTATCTAAATTCAAATACGCCCCAGAGTTCCCATCAGGGGGATGGAAGGTTAAATCTAATCAACTTCCTTTTTCAGAATTACTCAACAGTCAACTGCTTGCAGAATCATATAACCTGCTGCAGTGTAATCACATGGTCCGGATCCGTGGGACACTGGTGAGCAGCCTGATGGGCTCTGAGTTTTGGTTAATTCCTTTTTTTGTACATTTTAGAACAATGATAAAAAATGAGAACGAAGTTACTCGGAGTTATCATAATATATCATATCAGGCTGACTACAACATTAAAATTGTGACTAATGATTCAGACAACGTGTTTTTATCATCAGGGGATAGTGGAGTGAAGAGTTATATATGTTTTAGTGGTGTCAACTGTCAATGTTGAGATATAGTTTAAGGAGCGATGGTGCATGTAACCAAGGTTGATTAGTTAACTCTCAAAACTTGACACTTGACAGGGGACAGAGGCTGGTCACGTTGTTACTTCTCACCTACAGGAAGCTAATTTAATAACTTAGAGCTAATATCCTTCCCTCTTGAAGAGAGAGCCTAGGGAAGGAGCTAATTGTTCCTCCGAGTTATGTGAAATCTTGCTGTATATAATATAATGTTGAGTAGCTAAACTGTCCCATGTCTAGTGCAACTGGCCCAACTTGCATGATAATTATAGGAATACTAGAAACCCCGTGGTAACAGGGATGACGTTAGTAGTAGTAGTGTTCTTTGAAAGAAATTACAGACAGACATACTTACAGAAAGAATTATATTATAGATGGTTTTTAGAATTGTATTATAGATGTTCCGATTAAGGCTAGAGTACTGCTCCTACACGAATTCCAAGCACTGGGAGCAGTTCAAAGGTCCTTCACCCGCATGATATCAGGCTGCCAATACTTGAACTACTGGGAAAGACTAAAACTCCTCAACCTCCCATCCCTCCAAAGAAGACGAGAGAGATACATCATTAAAAATACCTGGAAGTTCCTCAATGGCAAAATCACAAATAACATTGAAATGAAGTGCTATCTAAATGATCGCCTTCTTTGAAAATTTGCTCTAACTTTTTTCCCTATCAGATCCAGATTTAAAACTCTTTGGGGTGTTCCTGAGACTATGGACAACACATTCCTGTAGAAAACTGCTTGTCGCAACTAGTTATGTGGCATGGGATTACCAAAAAACTCAACCATTTACTAATTCAGGTCAAAAAGTTTTAAACCCACTGTTTTAAACGAAAATACATAATTGAATAATTGAATAATTGAATTTGAATAATAATTGAATTGAACAAGACCAACAACTGTCAAACAATGTACCCAAATCTCATTAATTGACTAACCTCCATCACATACTGAACCCGCAGGACATATCAAACAGACGATAGAAGCTCGAGGAGAGTACTGACCGTCCGGACAAGCTACTGGGGCAACAGCTGGGTCGCTACACTGAGAGTTTACTGGACATATCTTGCAGTTTTCTCTGCCTGGGGGATGATCAGTGTAAGTACGTATTTGTATGTATTTGTACGTATTTGTACGCATTTGTATGTATTTGTACGTATTTGTATGTATTTGTATGTATTTGTATGTATTTGTACGTACATACTTGTGTTATGATGCGAATCTTGAGTGCGGTAATATACGGTTAGATTTAGAATTCTAATTTACACAGCAAATTAGACAATGATATCACAGATACTTTTGAACTGTTGAAAATTATCCTACCTAATACAATAATAGCTAGTAGCTAGATAAATACCCTTCTTTATAGAACACTAACCTAATATCCAGAGGAACAAGGATAAGGGTTCTCTCTATAACACTAACCTCTCGTATTAGAATAATATCCAGAGGAACAAGGATAAGGGTTCTCTCTATAACACTAACCTTTCGTATTAGAATAATATCCAGAGGGACAAGGATAAGGGTTCTCTATAACACTAACCTCTCGTATTAGAATAATATCCAGAGGGACAAGGATAAGGGTTCTCTTTAACACTAACCTCTCGTATTAGAATAATATCCAGAGGGACAAGGATAAGGGTTCTCTTTAACACTAACCTCTCGTATTAGAATAATATCCAGAGGGACAAGGATAAGGGTTCTCGAGTCCAGCCTTGTTACAGTAATGCCCTTTAGCACACATAGAACATGAAGAGGATCCTGCAGAAGCGTATTCTCCACTGGCACACTCTGCCGGGGCCTCCATCTCGGGGTCAGGACACCTGAAGGAGATAGTGATATATAGTCACGTGACTACCTTAAAAGGAGCTGTGATAACCGCCTGGTTTTCAGTTTAATCGGTTACTGTAGTCAATTCTCTGAGCATGTCTGCTCAAAACTTGATCTTCCTTATTAAAGTTGTACTTCTCTACTTCTAAACATGTATTTATGGCGGTAGGAATAATCACTGGCTTTCAACTGCATGATTCCTGATGACGTCATGAGTCTTTATGACGTCATGAGTCTTGATGACGTCATGATGATATAACTTACTCGAACCCTCCAGGACAGGTCAAACAGAGTGTCTCTCCCTCGGGTGAGTAGGTGGTAGCACTGCAGACTGTCTTACTTGTCTTGCTGCACTTGTAGCCTCCGTCGCATGGTGTACAGGTGGAGGAACCTTGAGGGGAATTTGAATTGATTTGAAAGTTAATAAGGGAAAATAATGTGTACTTATAATATTGAAATGATACAATTTTCGGAAATGTGACAAAGTCGGAAAATTTCTGAGCCGAACGTTTTAGTACTTTAAGAATGTAGGACCCTTGGCTTTGGCAGAGTAAGAAGGCCCTTGGGAAAGTTATCATATTAATATTAATATCAAAGTGACTAAAAAACAACAACATTTACGGTTGACTTTCACTTTGTCGTCACGAGCTAGAGGATAAGGAAAATGATGAAAAAATTTCGAATACAGAAGTTCCATCTTACATATTATTGATAGTTATGTAGGCGAGTACTTTTTCGTTTGGGTATGCAGTATGCATCATAACATCCTCTCAACGAACAGGTCAAGTAACAATTTATGATGCAGAATTAATGAAAGCTGCTACTCAACGACTAAGAATTTATAGCGTTCGACTATATATTCTAAACAGATTGCCTACATTCGTTTCGTTAATCAACATAGCGCGATTGAAAACAAGTTTGAATATTTGTGCACGCAACGAATCTTGATTCAGATTATATTAAATATGCTAAGAAGTAAAATTATAATTTAGGCGCGGAGAAGAATGACACGTTACGGTTAACCCTGACATAACTTTTATTTGGTTAGATTTAACATTCGTTAAAGGTGCTTAATGAAAAACGGTCGATCTAATTTTACTCTTTCAGGAGACATCATCGACTCAATTCTTATTAAATGACAAATTTAATCTGGGCCCCCTTAACTATTCATAAGATATGTATTCTTTGAATCTACAACCAACAGCACCCAAGTTTTCTGCGGTCAGCTGTCCAAACCTGTCTGATCAGCATACTCCCCCCCAGGACACTGATTACAAGACACCTGACCAGGCAGTGAGGTGTGTGTCCCAAAGGGACAAGGTACCAGGGTGGTCATGTTGGAGTCAGGACAGTGGGATCCTGCTGGACATGGTTTGCAGGTCGGACCAACGCCTGTGAGGGGTGGTGGTAAGCGTGTAAGGGGTTGTAGAATAAAGAGATGTAGACTTTCGTTCGACCAGTGATTATGATGATGCTGTACTTAAATTGGATTGTGTGAACGTCAGCCAAGTATAATATCTTGAAATTGAAAAGAAACAACAAAAATATCGCTGGAATTATGTAATTAAGTTTCAGAAAACCTGGAACGTCCGAGTAGGTACCAGGTGGACAGCTGAGACAAGACATTGCTCCAGACTCCGAGAAGGTGCCATTAGGACACCCAACCATCAATCCTTCATCACACTTACTTCCTGCTTCGCAAACTTGGCAGGAAGTAGCCCCTTCAGTTTCACTGTATGTCCCTCCTGGACACTGTAGACAACTTGAACTTTTACTGGGGGAGTAGAATCCCTCTTCACATATTGTTTGTGTTATTGTGGTACATTTGTGACCAGCTAAACAATCTGTACATATACTTGAGTTGGAGCCTGAATAAGTTCCAGATTCACATTGAAAACATTGAGAACTTCCTTCTGGTGAATAAGATCCAGCAGCACAAACTGTTTTTAATCCTTTCTGACATTTGCTTCCAGCTTCACAGGGTTTACAAGATTCTGATGCCTCACTGTCCGAGTAAGTACCATTCGGACAGACACTACAAGATGTACTCTTTACACTCGAATAGTAGCCCACTCCGCAAGCAACCTCAGCACTTGAACTGCACACGTAACCCGCCCTGCACTCGGTACAAACACTCGATCCAGCAGATTTGGAGAACGTCCCCGCTTCGCAGCTATAACATTTAGAACTGCCTTCATGAGAGTAGAATCCTACCTCACAGACTGTCTGGGTAGTACTACTACACTTGTGACCTTCCAAACAACCAGTACAAGAGCTGGAATTGGAGGCAGAATAAGTTCCAGATTCACATTGGAAACACTGCGAGGTTCCTTCAGTTGAATAATATCCAGCCTCACAAACTGTCATAACACCTTTTTCACACTTACTCCCTGCCTTGCAGACTTCACATGAATCAGCCCCTTCAACATCACTGTAAGTACCATCAGGACAGAGAGAACATTTATCACTCCTGCCCTGAGAATAGGAACCTTTCTCACAGTTAGTTTGTTTGGTTGAGGAACACTGGTTACCGGGGGAACATTCAGTACATGAATCAGACCCAGGTGTAGGACTGTAGGTACCTGAGTTACAAGGGATACAGCTGGAACTTTTACTGAGGGAGTAAAATCCCGCCTCACATATTGTTTGTGTTGTTGTGGTACATTTGTGACCTGCTGAACAATCAGTACATATACTTGAGTTGGAACCTGAATAAGTTCCAGATTCACATTGAAAACATTGAGAACTTCCTTCTAGTGAATAAGATCCAGCAGCACAAACTGTTTTCAATCCTCTCTGACATTTGCTTCCAGCTTCACAGGATTTACAAGATTCTGATTCCTCACTGTCCGAATAAGTACCATTTGGACAGACACTACAAGATGTACTCTTTACACTCGAATAGTAGCCCACTCCGCAAGCAACCTCAGCACTCAAACTGCACTCGTAACCCGCCCTGCACTCGGTACAAACACTTGATCCAGCAGACTTGGAGAATGTTCCTGCTTCACAGCTATAACATTTAGAACTGCCTTCAGGAGAGTAGAATCCTACCTCACAGACTGTCTGGGTAGTACTACTACACTTGTGACCTTCCAAACAACCAGTACAAGAGCTGGAATTGGAGGCAGAATAAGTTCCAGATTCACATTGGAAACACTGCGAGGTTCCTTCAGTTGAATAATATCCAGCCTCACAAACTGTCATAACACCTTTTTCACACTTACTCCCTGCCTTGCAGACTTCACATGAATCAGCCCCTTCAACATCACTGTAAGTACCATCAGGACAGAGAGAACATTTATCACTCCTGCCCTGAGAATAGGAACCTTTCTCGCAGCTGATTTGTTTGGTTGAGGAACACTGGTTACCGGGTGAACATTCAGTACATGAATCAGACCCGGGTGTAGGACTGTAGGTACCTGAGTTACAAGGGATACAGCTGGAACTTTTACTGGGGGAGTAGAGTCCCGCCTCACATATTGTTTGTGTTGTTGTGGTACATTTGTGACCTGCTGAACAATCAGTACATATACTTGAGTTGGAACCTGAATAAGTTCCAGATTCACATTGAAAACATTGAGAATTTCCTTCTGGTGAATAAGTTCCAGCAGCACAAACTGTTTTTAATCCTTTCTCACATTTGCTTCCAGCTTCACAGGGTTTACAAGATTCTGATGCCTCACTGTCCGAGTAAGTACCATTTGGACAGACACTACAAGATGTACTCTTTACACTCGAATAGTAGCCCACTCCGCAAGCAACCTCAGCACTCGAACTGCACTCGTAACCCGCCCTGCACTCGGTACAAACATTCGATCCAGCAGATTTGGAGAACGTCCCTGCTTCACAGCTAAAACATTCAGCATTGCCTTCAGGAGAATAAAATCCTGCCTCACAGACTTCCATAGCTCCTTCATCACACTTACTTCCTGCTTCACAAACTTTACAGGAGACAGCCCCTTTAGTTTCACTGTATGTCCCTCCTGGACATTGTAGACAAATTGAACTTTTACTGGGGGAGTAGAATCCCGCCTCACATATTGTTTGTGTTGTTGTGGTACATTTGTGACCTGCTAAACAATCTGTACATATACTTGAGTTGGAACCTGAATAAGTTCCAGATTCACATTGAAAACATTGAGAATTTCCTTCTGGTGAATAAGTTCCAGCAGCACAAACTGTTTTTAATCCTTTCTCACATTTGCTTCCAGCTTCACAGGGTTTACAAGATTCTGATGCCTCACTGTCCGAGTAAGTACCATTTGGACAGACACTACAAGATGTACTCTTTACACTCGAATAGTAGCCCACTCCGCAAGCAACCTCAGCACTCGAACTGCACTTGTAACCCGCCCTGCACTCGGTACAAACACTCGATCCAGCAGATTTGGAGAACGTCCCCGCTTCGCAGCTATAACATTTAGAACTGCCTTCATGAGAGTAGAATCCTACCTCACAGACTGTCTGAGTAGTACTACTACACTTGTGACCTTCCAAACAACCAGTACAAGAGCTGGAATTGGAGGCAGAATAAGTTCCAGATTCACATTGGAAACACCGCGAGGTTCCTTCAGTTGAATAATATCCAGCCTCACAAACTGTAATAACACCATTTTCACACTTACTCCCTGCCTTGCAGACTTCACATGAATCAGCCCCTTCAACATCACTGTAAGTACCATCAGGACAGAGAGAACATTTATCACTCCTGCCCTGAGAATAGGAACCTTTCTCACAGTTAGTTTGTTTGGTTGAGGAACACTGGTTACCGGGGGAACATTCAGTACATGAATCAGACCCAGGTGTAGGACTGTAGGTACCTGAGTTACAAGGGATACAGCTGGAACTTTTACTGGGGGAGTAGAGTCCCGCCTCACATATTGTTTGTGTTGTTGTGGTACATTTGTGACCTGCTGAACAATCAGTACATATACTTGAGTTGGAACCTGAATAAGTTCCAGATTCACATTGAAAACATCGAGAACTTCCTTCTGGTGAATAAGTTCCAGCAGCACAAACTGTTTTTAATCCTTTCTGACATTTGCTTCCAGCTTCACAGGGTTTACAAGATTCTGATGCCTCACTGTCCGAGTAAGTACCATTCGGACAGACACTACAAGATGTACTCTTTACACTCGAATAGTAGCCCACTCCGCAAGCAACCTCAGCACTCGAACTGCACTCGTAACCCGCCCTGCACTCGGTACAAACACTCGAATTTGTAGCGGAATATGTGCCGGCTTCACACTGAAAACAGTGAGAATTTCCCTGGGGGGAGTAGTACCCAGCATTGCACACTTCTGTAGTCCCGTCCTCACATTTGCTGCCAGCTTTGCAAACTACACATTGTTCTGTTTTATCTTCTGAAATATGTAACTGGTCACGCAATTAAATGAAAAGCTATAAATAGGCTGAAAAACTGTGTAATCCCAATAATTTTGAGTACCTCCAGCTACGTTTGGGATGTTCAGCAAATATTGCACCAAATCTCTAAAAGTATTGAGTTTTATACCTCGTTTCAAGCAGTAACAGCAGTTGTCATCGTATGTTAAACCGCTGTATCGGAAGCATTCGACGTACAATATAGATATCAAAATCGTAAATAACGTTCCAGCAAACAAAAGCAAAAAGCAAAAAGCAAACATCTGATCATCAAACACTTCTCAGAAATACACCACAAACTGAACGAAACGTCCAGAATTTCAGCAAGCTTTCTGCCTCGCTATCTGGTCTTATGGAAAGTCCCGCTGCAAAACAGCCAAATGGCAACAATAAAACTAAATTTGTTTGCATTAGTACACTCAATTTTACCGATATTAATTGTTTATAAGCGCGGGTACAGATTAGCGCAGACAGTGTTCATAAAATGAACGGAAATTCCACTTCAAATACTCAAAGAAGCTTACACAATGCGCACATTGGTACACGCAAAAAGTGCTCCAAAACTTTATAAAATCAGCGGACCTCATGATTTCCCTCTTACCTTTCTGGTCAGCGTAGTATCCAGGATCACAAGAACTACATGTTTTAGCTCCTTCTCCGCTGAACGTTCCTTTGGGACATTTGGTGATCCCTCCGTTCTGACATTTGTACCCGGCTGTACAGGACTGACAGGATACTTGGCCTGGAATTAGCAGAATTAACATAACTTTTAAAACTTAATTAGTTTTTTATTTGAATTTAATCAATTCCTTTGTTAATAATAATTAATGAGGGGTGGTAACTACCCTAAAAATTTAAATTATATCGATTTATCACGTCTAAGAGATGATTTGAGTCGATTAAATCGATCTGGTTATTTAATTTTTAATACACAAATGACGCACTATAATTATCATTCAGACTAATTACCATTCAAACTACTCATTCAAATGACATGCTAAAATGAGGATGCTTGGTTAAACTAAAAGAATTATCAGCGCAGATAGCATAGCGTAGTTCGACCACGTGCAATTACAATACCACAATACACGACGTTTATTTGAGTTCATTGACTACATGGTGTTTCACAAATCACGCCAATAAGAATTGGTATAAGATATACAAGATCAGCAAGATTTACGGACAAGTCACAAGCTCAGAAACCTGATCCAATGAAGGTTTACCCTGTAGGGTGTTAGTTAGGTTATTTACTTTCTTGTTATAATGCTGAAAACTATAAGAAACTTTAAAACTCAATAAAAATGATTTCTTTCAGTCAATTGTTATCGAATTATTGGGAAAGTATAAACCTGATGCCAAAGTAACCTGTTTTGGCAACTTAGTAACCTGGTAACCTAGCAACCTGGCAACATGGTAACTTGACAACCTGGTAACCTGGCAACCTGGTAACCTGGAGGTGTAGAATCAGGTGAGTTGGTGAATGTCCCGTCAGGACACATACAAGATCCCAGTAGCGAGTTGAAATCAGGACAGTCAGAACAATCGGGAGAGGCTGAGAAAGAGTTCACTAATCAAATATTACTCACTTTATCATACATAGTTTGTTGTGACTCTTTCATTCGGTGCGCTGCAGTTAAAAATTTCAACTAAATTCAACAGAAGTACAAATATATCTTAAAACAGTAAAGGTAAATGAAACCACCATCTAACTGAAACCTGAAACGTTGTTGGAGGTACCATAGGGACACAGTTGACAAGAAGCACTTCCCTGTAGAGCAAAGGAACCAGGTTCACAGATAGTTCTCGCCCCTCCTACACACTTGTAACCTTCATCACATGGGAGACACGTGCTAGAACCTGATTAATCGGACAAGTCGGGAGTTAAAAACTTTACAACCATGTGAGTATGGGGTAAAATCTTGATGACCTTAAGTAATAAGTGCGTAACAAATTTTCATCGGTCTACTTCACTACTTTAGAAATAATATATCGAACAACTTTTATCCAATCCCAGAATAAAACCTAAATATAACAAAGGATATCTAACCAGTTTCGTTAGAGTAAGTTCCGTCCAAACAAAGAGAACACTGAGAACTGAACTCCGGAGAGAAATACCCCTCCCCACACACTATCTTCTCTGACTCAGTACACTCGTACCCTCCCGGACACCCCAAACAGGACACAGCCCCACTGGACGGACTGTAACTTCCTCCCGGACACTCTAAACACGTGGTACTTCTTCCAGGAGCGTAGTGGCCCGCACTACAGGGGGTGGAGGTGGTAGTGTTACACATGTGACCTTCCTCACATTCCTCACACGTGGTAGTGCCAGGGGAGGGGGCCAGGGTTCCTGCCTCGCACGGGAAACAGACACCACTCCCTTCTGGAGCGTAGGTTCCCGGGGTACACTCTGTTTTTATACCTCCACTACATTTGCTACCTGCCTCACAGCTTGTACACGTGCTCTGACCTGATGGGATATGAGGGTGAGGGTTTTATAAAAACTGTAAATTGGGAAGACGATTTAGACATGTATTTTGAAAGCTCCTGCTAATACTCTAATACAATCTTTTCGTATCACTTATATGTTTTAAATAATCCCCCTCCAAGTAATTGGGAGCTGGGACTATACTTTCGCTTACAGGCGTGTTATAAGCTACAGTCTTACTAAGAAAGATAGAAGATAAGGAAGTTAATAGTGGAATGCCTACCTATGGAGAAAATTTGAGAATGTTAAGAATAATAAGCAGCTATAGGATATCATGCTGCAGAATTATATGTTTGACTGGGCAAGGTACCTACCTACTCAATAACCATTTTAGGGAGATTTGTGAAAATTAAATTATGAGTTTTTTAAATCCACAGTCGTACTATGCTTAGAGCATTTGTCTTACTTTTTTGATGCCCGCTATGATACTTTCATTATTACTTCTACTTTTTGGGTTCAACCTAATTAATGGAACAAGTAAGTTATTACATATTAGGCAAATCAAAATCTCTACACATATCAGTATCATTATTTTCTAATGATTTTTCAAGAATACCCTATTTTTAGTCGATATTTAATGAGTAGTGCGAGATCTCCAGACTTCTCAAACATCATGTCTATTCTACGAAATAGTCCTTGCTGTTTATTATTAAAGGCAGTTCACGAAACTAATTCTACAGGCCTGCCTCTTTGTACTGAGACTCAATATTTTGACAAAAATTCTCCAAATTTTTCCAAGACAATTAGAGAAATGATTAAAAACTGAAATAAATACCCTGGTTGACTATCATCTTAACGAGTAATTTGTAATGGTCTGTCAAACAAGAGTACTACATTTCAGATGAAGCCGAGTACCATCTTGTTAGAGGTGACGGTAGTGTGATAACAGGAGAGGAAGGAGGACTGCTACTCTATGGTGATGTTAAAGTGTGCAGTTATGATTATGACATTAACAGCCGCTCAGCTCTTCTCCTGTGTCAAGAAATGGGATTTGACTCTGCACTTGTTGGGGGAACCGCATCATGCACTCTCGGATCCTCTAGTTATTGTGTGAGATGTTCCTATGGTCCTTGTAGAAAATGTTATGCTAGTGAAAGCTGTACTTCGAATCGATGTATATATTTAAAATGCCGCCTATCATGTCCCCCAGGAATGTATCTGAACTATGGAACATGTGTGTATTGTCCTGTCAATACCTTCAAAGCGACTAAAGGAAGGCAGACTTCGTGCACTGCGTGTCCTCACGGAGCCACTTCATTACTTGGTTCTTCAGATTCTTCAGACTGTGTTTGTGATGCGGGTTTGTTCCTGAACGGAAGATTGTGTGAACAATGTTCTGAAGGATCCATAAGCCAAGAAGGCGCTACAACTTGTGTGGAATGTCCTTCACAATCTGATTACGAGGGGACATCATGTGTCTGCCCGGCTGGAGAAACATGGAGTTGGGACAATTCTACCAGTGGTACTTGTAGACCTTGCTCTGCAGGAACGTACAGTAACCTGACTGCAACATGCACCATGTGCCCACCAGGAACGACATCTCTTGTTGGTGCAGATCACTGTCTTTGTCCTGCTGGAAAGTTTTGGTCCGAAGACAACTCAGACTGTGAAGAATGTGAGGAGACGATCCAGAATGAAAGATCGTGTAAACTCTGTCCTGAAGGATCCATAAGCCAAGAAGGCGCTACAACTTGTGTGGAATGTCCTTCACAATCTGATCATGAGGGGACATCATGTGTCTGCCCGGCTGGAGAAACATGGAGTTGGGACAATTCTGCCAGTGGGTCTTGTAGACCTTGCTCTGCGGGAACGTACAGTAACCTGACTACATCGTGTACCATGTGCACACCTGGAACGACATCTCTTGTTGGTGCAGATCACTGTCTTTGCCCAGCTGGAAAGTTTTGGTCCAAAGAAAACTCAAACTGTGAAGATTGTGAAGTCCAATCTGTTAGTGAAGCAGGAAGTTTGAAATGTCGAGCATGTCCACCAGGTTCCACCGCCAACCTAGGAAAAACATTCTGCACTTGTCCATCTGGGATGATTTGGAACTGGAGTGAATATGGACTGGAATCCTGTGAGTCTGTTCCTCAAAAAGTCACATCTTTATCTGCAACCCTTGTTCCAGTAATTGTATCTGTAGCCCTGGCCATCATCTGCATCTCACTTGTTGTTCTACTCATCATGGAAAGAAGAAAGAAACCAGGACCAAGAAATACCCTAACTAGAGTAGTCTACAACAGAGATGCAGGTGTAGAAATGTTTGAAGATCAACAAACCCCTGCAACTCTAACCATACCCAGCCAGTATCAAGATATCCAATTTGAAGATAACCAAGATGTGAACCCAATACAGATCGAAGATAAAGAATATAGTGTCTTGGGTGCAAGTGGAGTTGGTCGCCTCTCTGATAAAAGCAAAACGGACGTGGAGGGTATATACAGTGAGCCTTGGCAAAGATCAACATCTGAAGAAGAAGAAGATGATGTTTATGATACGATGGAACTCGGAGACCCGATCAAGTACAACAAGGATATACCAAGGCAGGTGGAGGATGGTGTTTACAACGTCTTGAATGAGTCTGTAGCTGGTCCCTCTGTTCCTTGGCAAACATCTAAACTGGCAGAAGTGAAGGAAGATGGCATTTATAACACACTTGACCACTAATACAACTGGAATGCTTTTAAAACATTTGATTTATGTTAAGATATGGAAAAGAAACCAAGTATGATAGCATTTCTAGGATGGACAATCATAAGAACACTGAAGCTCTACTGAAAGACAAAACTGTTAACTGAGTACTTCTACTCGTATGGTTGAGTAAAAGCTGTGATTTCATAAGACTGCTGCGAACCCTTGTACTGTAAATATCATTAACTCGATAATTAGTTTAATTCTTATTTAGGGCTTAGAGTGGCCAAATTAATTTCTAGCAGCATTGCATTCCCGGCTGAACTCAATTATTATATGTGTAACTATTATAGTGAAACAATTTAGAAACGATAGGAACTTTGTACATCTTTTACTAAACGTATTATTGATAAGAGGCCTGGTAATGATTGGATTAATTTTGATCTGTATTTTGATTTGTTAAACTTATGAGCAATTTTCTAAAAAACTACCGATCCTAAATCGGTGCACTATAGTGCTTATCAGTGGCGTAACGAAAGGCCCTGCTGACCCCGCTGTGCAGGGGGGCGCCGTCTTAGGGGGGCGCCAAATCGTCGTTTGAATGTGGGACAATTTCGAAAACATAACTAAAGTACTAGCAAAACTGCGCGTTTTGCTCTAGATACACACTATTTTAGAGATTTTACCGGCGTATTCTCTAAAATCACCTAATTTGTTCAATTTTAGGGAGGGGCACCAAAAGGGGAGGGCCGAGGGGGCGCCAACAGGGGGGCGCTTTTTTCGGCAGGGGGGCGCCAACAGGCAACGTTACGCCACTGGTGCTTATCTGTGTTGGTTACTGGAAATAAACGAACAGTTTCGTTAAAAGTCAATATTTGTCTTTGTTTATTATTCATATTTAGTGTTGTATGCGAAATGTTGGCTTTGTTATTCTAAATTTCATTAAAATGAGAAAAGAGTTTGACTTTTCCCTTTTCTACAAACTTCAAATAAAATAAAAATCAACATGACTCTCTAAAACTTAAATGTAAGTAAGATATCTATTATCTAACCAGTTTCGTTAGAGTAAGTTCCGTCCAAACAAAGAGAACACTGAGAACTGAACTGCGGAGAGAAATACCCCTCCCCACAAACTATCTTCTCTGACTCAGTACACTCGTACCCTCCCGGACACCCCAAACAGGACACAGCCCCACTGGACGGACTGTAACTTCCTCCCGGACACTCTAAACACGTGGTACTTCTTCCAGGAGCGTAGTGGCCCGCACTACAGGGGGTGGAGGTGGTAGTGTTACACATGTGACCTTCCTCACATTCCTCACACGTGGTAGTGCCAGGGGAGGGGGCCAGGGTTCCTGCCTCGCACGGGAAACAGACACCACTCCCTTCTGGAGCGTAGGTTCCCGAGGTACACTCTGTTTTTATCCCTCCACTACATTTGCTACCTGCGTCACATCTGGTACATGTATTCTGACCTGATGGGATATGAGGGTGGGGGTTTTATAAAAACTGTAAATTGGGAGCTGGGATTATTCTTTCGCTTACAGGCGTGTAAGCTACAGTCTTACTAAGAAAGATAGAAGATAAGGAAGTGAATGCTGGACTGCCCACCTATGGAGGAAATTTTGAGAAAAATTTAATAAAACAAATATTTTAATAAAACAAATATTTATTTTTACGGCACAATCAAACAATATCAATAATAAATAAATCAGGGGAGGTTTGAAGAGGTTTCAAGTGCCGAAGGCCACTGCTTATCTTTAGGATTTGAGAGTGACCTGTGCTTGAAACCCCCTCAACCATCCACTACGTCAATATAAAACTTATTATACAAATATAGAAAAATATAATTATCTAAGCTAAAATTGCTTATTGGTCTAGTTTGGTGACATAGGAGAGCCCAGTTGAGTTTTAGTTTAGGTTTATGTTTTAAATCATAGTTTGAAAGGTTAGCCATGTTTCATGGCAGAGAGAGATATCATGTGTGCAGAGCCGTACCAGATGTAGAATTTGAGATATAATATAGATTAGTTACCATATATTAGGGTCACCTCGATTTTGGAGGGATAGCAAGTGCTTTTTAAGGTTAGATTTAATAAGTAAGACAAATGCGCTAAATTAAGAATAACAAGCAGATAGGATATCATGCTGCAGAATTATATGTTTGACTGGGCAAGGTACCTACTCAATATTCATTTTAGGGAGATTTGTGAAAAATTAAATTATGAGTTTTCTAAATCCACAGTCGTACTATGCTTAGCGCATTTGTCTTACTTTTCTGATGCCCGCTATGATACTTTCATTATTACTTCTACTTTTTGGGTTCAACCTAATCAATGGAACAAGTAAGTTACTACATATTAGGAAAATCAAAATCTCTACACATATCAGTATCATTATTTTCTAATGATTTTTCAAGAATACCCTATTTATAGTCGATATTTAATGAGTAGTGCGAGATTAAACAAAATATTTTACAAAATAGTCCTTGCTGATTATTACTTAAGGCAGTTCACGAAACTAATTTTACAGGCCTGCCTCTTTGTACTGAGACTCAATATTTTGACAAAAATTCTCCAAATTTTTCCAAGACAATTTAGAGAAATGATTAAAAACTGACATTGATACCCTGGTGGACTATCATCTTAACAAGTAATTTGTAATGGTCTGTTAAAAGAGTACTACATTTCAGATGAAGCCGAGTACCATCTTGTTAGAGATGACGGTAGTGTGATAACGGGAGAGGAAAGAGGACTGCTATTCTATGGTGTTGAAGAGGTGTGCATCCCTTACTCCTTTAGCAGCCGCTCAGCAGTTCTTAAGTGTCAAGAAATGGGATTTGACTCTGCACTTGTTTGGGTAACCACATCATGCACTCGCGGATCCTCCAATTATTGTGTGAGATGTTCCTATCATTCTTGTAGAAAATGTTATGCTAGTGAAAGTTGTACTTCGAATCGATGTATATATTTAAGATGCCGCCTATCATGTCCCCCAGGAATGTATCTGAACTATGAAACATGTGTATATTGTCCTGTCAATACCTTCAAAGCGACTAAAGGAAGACAGACTTCGTGCACTGCGTGTCCTCACGGAGCCACTTCATTACTTGGTTCTTCAGATTCTTCAGACTGTGTTTGTGATGCGGGTTTGTTCCTGAACGGAAGATTGTGTGAACAATGTTCTGAAGGATCCATAAGCCAAGAAGGCGCTACAACTTGTGTGGAATGTCCTTCACAATCTGATTACGAGGAGACATCATGTGTCTGCCCGGCTGGAGAAACATGGAGTTGGGACAATTCTACCAGTGGGTCTTGTAGACCTTGCTCTGAAGGAACGTACAGTAACCTGACTGCAACATGCACCATGTGCTCACCAGGAACGACATCTCTTGTTGGCGCGGATCACTGTCTTTGTCCTGTTGGAACATTCTGGTCCGAAGACAACTCAAGCTGCGAAGATTGTCAAGTCAAGTCTGTGAATCAAACAGGAAGTTTTAAATGTCAGTGTCCTGCAGGAGCTTTATGGAATGGGGGTGGCACAAATGATGGGTTCTGTAAACAATGTCCATCTGGAACGTACAGAACAGAAGCAATGTCCACCTGTAGAACTTGCCCTACTGGTTTAACATCTACAATAGGATCTGATCACTGCACCTGTAAGGGTGGGTGCTTTTGGAACGGAAGTTCATGTGAACAATGTTCTGAAGGATCCATAAGCCAAGAAGGCGCTACAACTTGTGTGGAATGTCCTTCACAATCTGATTACGAAGGGACATCATGTGTCTGCCCGGCTGGAGAAACATGGAGTTGGGACAATTCTACCAGTGGGTCTTGTAGACCTTGCTCTGAAGGAACGTACAGTAACCTGACTGCAACATGCACCATGTGCTCACCAGGAACGACATCTCTTGTTGGCGCGGATCACTGTCTTTGTCCTGTTGGAACATTCTGGTCCGAAGACAACTCAAGCTGCGAAGATTGTCAAGTCAAGTCTGTGAATCAAACAGGAAGTTTTAAATGTCAGTGTCCTGCAGGAGCTTTATGGAATGGGGGTGGCACAAATGATGGGTTCTGTAAACAATGTCCATCTGGAACGTACAGAACAGAAGCAATGTCCACCTGTAGAACTTGCCCTACTGGTTTAACATCTACAATAGGATCTGATCACTGCACCTGTAAGGGTGGGTGCTTTTGGAACGGAAGTTCATGTGAACAATGTTCTGAAGGATCCATAAGCCAAGAAGGCGCTACAACTTGTGTGGAATGTCCTTCAAAATCTGATTACGAGAGGACATCGTGTGCCTGTCCGGCTGGAGAAACATGGAGTTGGGACAATTCTTCCAGCGGTTCTTGTCGACCTTGCTCTGCAGGAACGTACAGCAACCTGACTGCAACATGCACCATGTGCACACCAGGAACGACATCTCTTGTTGGTGCGGATCACTGTTTTTGTCCAGCTGGAAAGTTTTGGTCCAAAGAAAACTCAAGCTGCGAAGATTGCGAAGCCCAATCTGTAAGTCAAGCAGGAAGTTTGGAATATCGAGCATGTCCACCAGGTTCCACCGCCAACCTAGGAAAAACATTCTGCACTTGTCCAACTGGAATGGTTTGGATTGAATATGGACTGGAATCCTGTGAGTCTGTTCCTCAAAAAGTCACACCCCTTTCTGCAACCCTTATACCAGTTATCGTATCTGCAGTCGTAGTCCTGGTTATCATCTGCATCTCCCTTCTCGTACTTCTCATCATAGAAAAAAGGAAGAAATCAAGACAAAGAATTACTACAACAGTAGTCTACAATAGAGAGGCAGGTGTAGAAATGCTTGAAGATCAACAAAACCGGGCAACCCTAACCATGAATAAAGAATACTGTGTCTTGGGTGCAAGTGGAGTTGGTCGTTCCTTTGATAAAAGCAAAAATAATGTGGAGGATCTTATTGTTTATGAAACGATTGAACTCGGAGACCCAATCAAGTACAACAATGACGGACCAAGGCAGGTGGAGGATGGTGTTTACAACGTCTTGGGAGATTCTGTAGCTGGTTCCTCTGTTCCTTGGCAAACATCTACACTGGCAGAAGTGAAGGAAGATGGCGTTTATAACACACTTAACCACTAAACTGGAATGCTTAAAACATTTAACTCATGTACTTAGATATGAACATTGAAGCTTTGCTGAAAGACAAAACTGTTAACTGAGTTCTTCTTCTCGTATCATTCCGCAGAAGCTGTGATTTCTAAAGACTGCTGCAAACACTTGGACTAAAATATCATTAATTATCATTAATTCGATAATGAGTTTAATTTTTTATTTATGGCTTAGAGTGGCCAAATTAATTTCTGGCAGCATTGCTTTCCCGGCTGAACTCAATTATTATGTGTGTAACTATTATAGTGAAACGATTTAGAAACAATAGGAACTTTGAACATTCTTTACTAAACGTATTATTGATAAGAGGCCCAATAATTATTGGATTAATGATGATCTGTATTTTGATTTGTTAAACTTATAAGCAATTTTCTAAAAAACTACCGATCCTAAATCGGTGCACTATAGTGCTTATCTGTGTTGGTTACTGGAAATAAACGAACAGTTTCGTTAAAAGTCAATATTTGTCTTTGTTTATTATTCATATTTAGTGTTGTTTGCGAAATGTTGGCTTTGTTATTCTAAATTTCATTAAAATGAGAAAAGCAATTGACTTTTCCCTTTGCTACTACTTTTAAAAATAAAAAGCAACATGACGAGCTCTAAAACTTAAATGTAAATAAGATATCTAACCAGTTTCGTTAGAGTAAGTTCCGTCCAAACAAAGAGAACACTGAGAACTGAACTGAGGAGAGAAATACCCCTCCCCACAAACTATCTTCTCTGACTCAGTACACTCGTACCCTCCCGGACACCCCAAACAGGACACAGCCCCACTGGACGGACTGTAACTTCCTCCCGGACACTCTAAACACGTGGTACTTCTTCCAGGAGCGTAGTGGCCCGCACTACAGGGGGTGGAGGTGGTAGTGTTACACATGTGACCTTCCTCACATTCCTCACACGTGGTAGTGCCAGGGGAGGGGGCCAGGGTTCCTGCCTCGCACGGGAAACAGACACCACTCCCTTCTGGAGCGTAGGTTCCCGGGGTACACTCTGTTTTTATACCTCCACTACATTTGCTACCTGCCTCACAGCTTGTACACGTGCTCTGACCTGATGGGATATGAGGGTGAGGGTTTTATAAAAACTGTAAATTGGGAGCTAGGATTATACTTTCGCTTAGAAGCGTGTAAACTACAGTCTTACTAAGAAAAATAGAAGATAAGGAAGGGAATACTAGACTGCCCACCTATGGAGGAAAATTGAGAACTATCGTTAAAAGTCAATATTTGTCTTTGTTTATTATTAATATTAAGTGTTGTATGCGAAATGTTGGCTTTGTTATTCTAAATTTCATTAAACTAAGAAAAGCAATTGACTTTTACCTTTGCTACAAACTTCAAATAAAATAAAAAGCAACATGACTCTCTAAAACTTAAATGTAAATAAGATATCTAACCAGTTTCGTTAGAATAAGTTCCGTCCAAACAAAGAGAACACTGAGAACTGAACTCCGGAGAGAAATACCCCTCCCCACACACTATCTTCTCTGACTCAGTACACTCGTACCCTCCCGGACACCCCAAACAGGACACAGCCCCACTGGACGGACTGTAACTTCCTCCCGGACACTCTAAACACGTGGTACTTCTTCCAGGAGCGTAGTGGCCCGCACTACAGGGGGTGGAGGTGGTAGTGTTACACATGTGACCTTCCTCACATTCCTCACACGTGGTAGTGCCAGGGGAGGGGGCCAGGGTTCCTGCCTCGCACGGGAAACAGACACCACTCCCTTCTGGAGCGTAGGTTCCCGGGGTACACTCTGTTTTTATACCTCCACTACATTTGCTACCTGCTTCACATCTTGTACATGTATTCTGACCTGGAATATGGGAGTTGACTATTTTTTAGTATAAGAATTATTAGAAACAAAAGCACGGTATAAAAAATGTAGGCATGAAAACATGGTGAAATCGTTATATTTCTTGTTAGATGGCGGTTGGCGATGACCATCTAACCCCACATAAAAGCAGGCATTATGAAGATACTGACCTTGTGATTCAGTGTATCTACCGTCCGGACAAATATGACAAGCAGCACTCTCCAGAGGAGAATAGGAACCAGCTTCACAGATAGTTCTCGTCCCTCCAACACACTTGTAACCTTCATCACATGGGAGACACGTGCTAGAACCTGTCAAGATTGATTAGCGGTCAAATTTTAGAGATCGTAAAAGTGTAAATAGTCAAGCAGTGGCGTAACGTTGCCTGTTGGCGCCCCCCTGCCGAAAAAAGCGCCCCCCTGTTGGCGCCCCCTCCCCTTTTGGTGCCCCTCCCTAAAATTGAACAAATTAGGTGATTTTAGAGAATACGCCGGTAAAATCTCTAAAAAAGTGTGTATCTAGAGCAAAACGCGCAGTTTTGCTAGTACTTTAGTTAAGTTTTCGAAATTGTCCCACATTCAAACGACGATTTGGCGCCCCCCTAAGACGGCGCCCCCCTGCACAGCGGGGTCAGCAGGGCCTTTCGTTACGCCACTGTAGTCAAGAAATAGATCTTTCGACATATAATTGTGTTGCATGGAAAAAATGTAAAGTAGTGATGAACTTTGTCGATTAGAAGGTAAGAAACAAGAAAAATAAAACAAATTTCTTACGAAACTGACCTTGTGATTCAGTGTATCTACCATCTGGACACAGTTGACAAGCAGCGCTCTCTAAAGGAGCATAGGAACCAGCTTCACAGATAGTCCTCGCCCCTCCAACACATTTGTAACCTTCATCACATGGGAGACACGTGCTAGCACCTGTCAAGATTGATCAGCGGTCAAATTTTAGAGATTGTAAAAATGTAAATATTCAAGAAAGATTCTTGAACAAGAACTAGATCTTTCGACATATTGTGTTGAACGGGACAAATTGAAAGAAGTGATGAACTTTGATGTCGATTAGAAGGAAAAAAACAAGAAAAATAAAACAAATTTCTTAGGAAACTGACCTTGTGATTCAGTGTATCTACCATCTGGACAGAGTTGACAAACAGCACTCTCCAGAGGAGCATAGGAACCAGCTTCACAGATAGTCCTCGCCCCTCCAACACATTTGTAACCTTCATCACATGGGAGACACGTGCTAACACCTGATTAATCGCCAAGTTTACAGAACTGAAAAGAAGAAAAAAGGTCGGATATAAGAACTACGTAAATCTTACGACATGTCTGGTTTTGGATATCTTAAGACTTTGTCAGATCGAAAGTAAAATTCAAGAAAATAAAACAGACTTTTAAAGAAACTGACCTTGTGAACCAGAGTATTTACCATCAGGACACGTGATACAATACCCACCGTGGGAGTAATCACCAGCAGAACAGATAACCGGGACATTCTCCGAACAAGAGTAACCATCAGGACAGAGTTCACATAAGGTTCCACCTATACAGCGGGAAATGCACATGCAGATACGGGATCAGCAGATATACTGGTTTACATGATATCATTTATATGATACATACACTTAATAATCAGCACATGCATTATTATTAATTACTGTTTCACTGTTTTATCACAAGAGTATCTTTAGAGTGTCACCTGCTATTCAGCGGTATTAGCATTAAGCAACTGAATTGTCTTAATTAATGTGTAACCTGTGCTACTAGTGTAGGTCCCAGCATCGCAAGAGGTGCAACTAGTTGCTCCTGCACTTGAGATCTTTCCCTCGGGACAGTCCTGGGCAAGGAATGTAGATAAGGTTCATTTTTAAAGAATTTAGTCTCCGATCTAGTATCTAGGAACGAAACCTGGACTCTTTACGGATAGGACAGCAGGGGTAAACATAATTTCTTCATTCGTTGTAACCAGTTTATTCTTACTTGAGTTATCGATCAAGTCGACTGTTATTAAACTTTTTTGGCGGGAAGAATAACATGACAAGCGCAAGCAAAACATGGTACGCGCGCGCGGCAATTTGGTCAGCAAATGTTACACTAACTGCAAACAGCAATATGCTGCATTGAAATATTTGGTTCGGTATCGCGCGCTCCAAAAAGTACACACTCACGAGTCCTTAGCTTGGAAATTAGATAAATTAAGGAGGTTCATAGAAGCCAAATGGCCCTTAATCAAATTTCGATAGAATTTTCCAATAAATTAGATACTCTAACAAATTGCTCATGCGGAACGAAAGTATCCAAAAAGCTGTTTCAGATATCGATTTAAAGATCGGACAAAGGAGCCCTACATCAAAAGATTAAAGAATATTAGGAATATTTGAAAGGAATTAGACATACCACGCAATCATTAGAAGATTGACCACCACGTGTTTCACGATAACTACCAGCAGGGCACGGAACTGCTACCGAATCTCCAGTACAACTGAAGTGAATAAATAGTTTTATATCTCTGATGGGGAGGCGGATTATCGTTGTGTAGTACTGTGAATGTACCATTAACACACCATCTTTTAAATTCACTAATCAACGAACATACTCGACTCCCAAGTTCTATTAGGTGTGGGTCATTGTATCAACAATGTGCAGATAATATTTTAATGGACTCGATTTTTGCTGATAAAAAATTCGGAAAATCACGGGCCGGCATATTGCCGGAGGGGGTACGATCCGCTGTTCTTCTATTCACATGTGTGGTGCCTTACCAAATGCACCTAAATAGTTACACTAATCGCTGTCACGTGTAATATCCCATTCTAAAGTCAGCACTTTTATCGAATTTTACACATGACAATTTCTCTTCAATCTGCATTACTCATTAGTAATTTGTTAAAATTTGACAAAGTGAACACAATTGTGGTATTTGAGAGGAATTTAGGATACCTCATTGCTAGGCAACCGTATGTACAGTAATATATTAGTGCATTAGTATAGCGGTGACTGTAATGATCAAAACAGCTGCCATATTTTCTGAGCCACACACAAAACAGAATATTTCGTAATCTACCAAGGGACTTAAAATAATCAGTGTTAATTCACACCCCCGCACTCTTTTAACTATTTCACTACCCAATTAGTAATTAATAGTGCATGAAATAAAAACAGACACATTAATGTAATTTCCCAAAAATGATCATGGGTTCTTGCCATTTTGCCGGGTGGGGGACAATTCAAAGTTATTGATTTATTTGTAACTCTATACAGGGTTACTAGTAAAGTCTACCCTTGTAACTACTGTTACTAAGATACAATATGAACTACTCTCCAGTGCCCCATTACTATATGTGAGCATGCCACGGTAACTGGTTCCTCACTACTTATTCAACAGAATTTACTTTGAATTTACTAGATGTCTCGTCATTTAACTCCAATATCCTGTGATCCTTATACCCCAGTATATCAACCCCACACCGAGCATTGAGTTGATTGAGACCCATAATGTTCACCCAGAGCACCATGCTTTAAGGCACCAGAACTTCGCACCTCGTGACACGTGATTCTCTGCCACTACAGCTCTGACCGATCCTTGTTTTAACGAGGAACGATTGTTTCAGCCGAGATACATTTCAATGAAAGAGAAACAATCTCATTCTCTACACCTCGTCCATTAAACGTTATCTTTAATATCAACTCTTATATTAGCCATTAGGTTGCTGAATGCTGAGACCCGAGGTTACAGTGGCCAAATGAGGACTGAGTCACTGGGGCCCGAATCCCCGAGGTTACTGAGGCAAAAAGTTGTGATGTGCTCCACTGAATCTAAATGTCTGGATCACGAAATACAACCTGTACATAACGCCGACCTTAAACACCCCTACACTTATCTAGTAATCTTAGGGACACATATAATTATAGGATACATTCGAATGCTTGTCATATAATGGCAATATCTCATCTGCAATTCTGTGACATACGTGTCTGCTTTTGAGTGTCAAATATCATCTGTATATAACAATTATTATAGCATGTACAGGAGACATCCTGCAGTCACCATGGTAACCAAAACCATTACCTATGATATATCTGAGTGTACTGATAATTGGTCGTTAAAAGCTTTGTACACAGTCTTTTACACAGTACAGCAGGGCTTGTAGGTTATTTATCTCTAAGTTAGTTGTGGAATGTAAAAGTAAGATAAAGATGACTGAGCTTGTTAAATGTTAACTAGTAACTATGTACCTTACAAGCTCTGTCACTACTTTATTCATTATTGGCCACGGCGGTGAAATTTCGTGATTAGTGGAAGATAACAAACACTGTCAGTCTCCTATACCCTCTGGAGGATTATAAGTTAAGTTGAAGCTAACTTTCAAAGGCTCCAGAGAAATTGTTTACAAGATGAAATAGCTGATCAGAAGAACATTTTTGTATTTAATTTTCTCAAATATTGGGTTTCGTTTTTGTAAAATAAGGAGATGAAAAAATCCCCAAATACCATGATTTAATTTGGGGTACGAAATGTGGCGGTTTTCGGTAAAAATTCCCATATTTTCGTTTTAGGTCACCGGAATTATGTCTGACATAAATATGTCTTGTAAGGTAATTATTTATTTAACTTTATTTTGTTGTTAGTATTTTTATTATGGCAAGTGGTAATTAGATGAATAACGCAATATTGTAATACAGCAGTATGGTAAATTAGTTATGACTTAATGGAATGTCTCGTAAGGTATTTAAAACCTTTTTAATACATCAGATGCTTTGTATCGAAAGTTTTAATCTGAGTATATTTAAATGTAAGATCAGATTGTCGTATAACATTACAACACCTCCAGTTCCAACCCTCCAACCCTCCATATCTCGATTACATTCTATCAATTCACACTTCAGTGATATTGGAACATTTGAAATGAAAGCTTTAAAACTGTACCTGTGAAGAACTCCCCTGACCGTTCAAAATTAACATTTTTTTCTTACACTTCACTATATTTTTCTTATGTACACGTGGTACAGAAGAATGCCACGAACATAACCCCATTAACCCCCCAGCTCCGCCAATAACTAGTTAAAAGAAACATCACCGAACAACATTAGTAATCCCATTTTACGGGCAACAACAACCCCAGTAACCACGGCAACCACCGCTAACACAGTTGACCAAGTGATATGTAATGTTGGTCGGTTGGCTCAACCTCTCAACGTTTGATGAGTTACAATTTGATTTGCAGTGAAACAACAGGATTACAATGGATAAAACATGTGAGTTAGAGAGGGTTGTTAGGGTTAATGTGAAGAGGTAACTGGACTTACATTCGGTTGGGTAATGACTTTTGGGTTTTGGTTACGAGGGTCACGAGTGCACAGACCTTCAGTTACAACCTCAACTGGTATTACAGTTGGTTATGTGGTGCTCAGTTAGAAGAAGAGAATCGGTTATGTTCGGGGTGTAAATGTCTGTAAGAGTACTGGGGCGTCATCAACATTTTTACCATCTACTTGTATTGAGGACATTTTTTGTGAAGATGGCATAAAAAGAGCCCACAATTTTAAAACCTGTTTCGTAATTCACGGTGAAACAGATCGTCAATTTGTTAAATGCCCCCCCCCCCTCACCCCCCCCCCCCCCCCTCACCCCCCTCACCCCTAGCACAGTACAGGTAATTAAGGTAAACTCACTAGTGTCCAGTGGGGCAGCTCTCACACGCAGTACCAGTCCAGTGGAGACCAGCAGTGTTACACAATCCTTCACATTTACTCTTCATAGGGTCATCACACAAACAGTCGTCACATGTTGTGAACCCTGAGGTGTGAGGTGTGTGAACTTCACTTTTGAGTTTTGGAGTGTTTAAAACAAAATATTTAAAAGTTAAATTACGACTAATACTAAAAATGCGAAATTACGACTATAAATTTGAAATAACCTAAAACAAAATATTTAAAAGTTAAATTACAACTATGAATGTGAGATTACCTTCAGCGTTACCAAGCAACAACACAAAGCAGACTGCGCTGACAATATACTTGTATTTCTCTTTCATTCAGTTCCGTAACAAGTTATTTATATTTCTAGATTATTCTTCAAGCAATACTAAATAAATATGTTGTTAAGTGGTTTGTTAAATAGTAAAATATACTTAAATCAATAGAAGACTGACAGTTTTTGACACTAGCAAAGTAAAACAGTTCATTGTAAGCTGCCAAGTTTTGTGCCACTATGGTGTAACCCCCATGTGAGACTGTAAATGTGTAATACAATGTAATAGGAATCTAAAACAGGGACGATTCCCAAACTTTCAAGACTTGAACTCATAAGTCTGCACAGCTGTACCCTGTTAACAACTTCAGATACTTCAGATACTTCAAATCAAATCAAATCGAATAAAATCAAACAGCAATGACACAAACATCATTACACGTCATTGTATGTATTTCTACATAAAAATTTATAAATTAAAACAAAATGCTAGGATAAGACAAAATCTAACAAATTATGCTTTCCACTACAGCTATATAACTAAATAAACGTTTTTAGCAACGTAAAATGTTTTTTAGCAACATGGGGATTAAACCTAAGATGTTCATTATTCTTTTCTTTATAATTAGTTGAACGTAGTTGGTTCCTTAATTCTTCCTAACACTTAATTCGAAACATTCCAAAAATAACAATCTGCTCACTCATACCCAGGTCAAACACTCATTGTGCAAGTGTTGGAAAGCTGTTTACCTGCCTGATCCCACCCCATATTACCTGATCGGTAACAAATCAGCACCTAGCACCAGTGATAAATTGAAAAATAATGTTCCTAGAAGGGCCGGGTATCAGCACGAACAAGACGGAATATCAAGTTTAACCCATTAGGGACGATAGGGTCGTTTTTATGATCCACCTTTTCTAGAGGACAAGCCAAATTACTAAACGCTATAACGAATCTATAGCATATATACTCAACATTTATTGGGCTACAGAATAGGTAGCCCAATAAATTTTGAGCAGATATGCTATAGATTCGTTATAGCGTTTAGAAATTTGGTTTGTCCTCTAGAAAAGGTGGATCATAAAAACGACCCTATCGTCCCTAATGGGTTAATCACGTCAAGAACAACGCAATTAAGACATTGAGGACTTATTATTATTATTATTAAATCTTAGATAGCTAATAATTTAATTAATTATTAACAGGCCCCTTAACCTGGGCAATAACATACGCTTTATAAATTATATAAACAAATTCAAGTCTAAATTCCGATTTTGCTAACTGTTTCTTAAGATCTGTTTCGGTCTTTAGTGGGAGTTCCCACATTTGCTGGTTGAGGACTAACACAGTTATGAGTGCAGAATCTACATCGAGGAAGAATGGGGTTATAGGTTTAAAAGGAAGAAGGCAACCGTTTGATCAACTGGTTCTATGATAACTGTTTCATCTCACCCAACATCAAGAGCACGAAAACAATCCTCAAACCCTGAGAATGATGAGATGGAATGTAATCAACCAGAAACCTGACGCAGAATCTGTCTACCAAAAAGGACACGATAGCGGACAATGCTTTTGAGTCCTGGGAGGAAAAAAGCTTTTGATGATATCGTGAACAAGCTTTGAACATGTTATCTCACAAGTCGAAATAAAAATGCTCACTGGTACATTTGGGTGAAATAATATTTGGACGAGTATCATCACTATCAGTCAAATAATGGATAATGATTAATTCACTTCTGTAGTACACTCAGATCAACATCAAGCAATGGTTCGGTTTTGGAACTGACCGGATATCCGGCTGCATCCAGTTGCATATTCAACCAGAAATTTATTTTTAAATGTTCCTGAAATGCATATTTTTGTATAACTTCTTGCTAAGGGGCATCCAGTCAGTGCTCTCAGTGAACAGTGAATTTATGGTAGCTGTTTCACATAGCCATGTGTCTACGCGTACTGCCTTCGGCGGTCGCGCGCTACTGCAAGCGAGAGGGCTTTGGTTAGAGCAAGGTAGCTGTCAACGAATATTAAAGACCCGTTTATATAAGATTTTGGGTAACACAAAGAAAAGAGTCAAAGCAGGTACTCACACCAATGATAAAACAATAATTTACTCATGAGCATTGCTAGCAGAGGGTTTTTACTTTATTGTGGTAAGCAAACCTGTTGATCATTGTTAATGATTTGGCCCGGCGCGCGCTACTTCGTAGCACTTGCCAATAATAACGGGAGCTAAAGCGGAATCACTGAATAATTAGCCTGCAACTTTTGATAACAATGAGTTCAATGTTGGTCTTTGCCTGATCTTGTATAGGTTTTGGATCTTTATTTTTTATTCCCAGCATGCAGCAAAAGTTACTGGCTGGTGGTGGTACTAGAGTTGGTTTAATTTAAACAGACGGCTTGACCTCGCACACGACAATTTGTAGGTTTACAACCTGAGAGGACGCGCGCCGAGTTGGACTCGTCGACGGTCAATATATGGAACATATATTTTACGAGTATCACCCGTTAAGCGACATTAAGCATGATTTTTACTTAATTGACAATTCATCGCAGCTCGGCGAGGCACAGTAGCGCATTTCGCCGATCTAGTCTCATTGAGTGAGCGGCGCGGCACAGTAACGCATTGCGCTACAAGATTTTCACGCGTGGCGCATTCCAATGTCCAATGTTCAACCAGCTAGCACGTGCAACGTAACACAATTCAGCCAATCAGAGTACAGGAATCCGCAAAGTTAAAGTTGCAAACTTTTGATCGGCCCAAAATGGGACTTTTCTGGAGATTTTGAGATAACTCAACATGCAACAACGACGTTGTTTTATATTTTTCTCATGGGGCACAGGGGGAGCTGAAACCAGGTTTTCGATCAAACGCTGCCATGTGTAGTCAAACGTCGCCAAAAGTTGCTCTCGTGATCCAATGAGATCGCTGCATTATGTAAGCCAAGCTCCGCATATGAATATATATAATTCAATTATGCATACTAACTTGCAAAATGCAGCGATTTCATTGGACGAGAGCAACTGTTGGCGACGCTTTACTACAAATGGCAGCATTTGATTGAAAACCTGGTTTCAGACCCCCCTGTGGAGGAGGTAACGTTACTTTTACAAAACGAACATGTTACAAAAAATCGGAAGTCTCTAACTCTTTTACTTTCAAATTTGGCTTTTACTAATTCGCTCGCCCAAAAATTTCACGTGATTTTGGTTTTTATGGTTTTGCAGCCGTACAAAACGGTTTTACATAAACCCTTATCCCAAACCTAACCCTAACCATAACCCCGAAGCTAACCATAACCCTTACCACAACCCTAACCCTAACACGAGCCCTAAACAATCGAATTTGTATTTTACTAGCCTGTCACGTGACCAAAACGGGTTTTTGCCCATAACTCTCCAGGGAAGCATTTTAACCCTATGTCATGGGGGGTGATTCGGAATCAGCGTCCAAAAATACACCGATTCCGATCACTTTCATGCCCAAAGGGCCTTTTCACAAGAATTTTCTTAAAATTTGGGCGAGCGATTTAGTAGGAGCGTTCAAAGTTAAGCCCCATCCAGCAGCTCGGTGAGGCCTTGGAGGACTTCGCCGCTTCGACGCGCCGCGCAAACTAGCATTCTTGCTTCGTCGATCGTTGCTCTGCTTCGTTGACCATAGTTAATGATCAAGCCCGGCACGCGCTACTTCGTAGCACTTGCCATTTCGAGAATTGAAAGCGGCGCGCGCTACTTCGAAGAAATTTAGACGAGTAACATCCGTCAATTTGCTTCGCATAGCAACGATCTCGATAGATTGACATCGTCAATCAAGGTGAGGCCCAGTGCAGTACATCTTGCCGACCTACCGAAGTGGTTGCGAGGAGAATTATTTGATGCGCGGCGCGGCCCAGTAGTGCATCGCGCTACAAATTGATTACCTGAGGACCCCAGGCTATTATGTTCATTAACATAAAATAAAGATTTGGCGGAATGACAGGCTGAGCGCGGCCCAGTAACAAATTGACAAATGTTACTCGTCTAAATTTATTCGAAGTAGCGCGCGCCGCTTTCTTCTCGAAATATTGCCCGATGGAAAGTGCTACGAAGTAGCGCGTGCCGGCCAGACCATTATAAACAATGGTCAACAACTGACAACGCATCTGAGAAGTGTTCATAAACAGTATAAGCGTAATCCTGAAGTTATAAAGTAAGTAAGCAAGTAAGTAAAGATTATTATTAAGCCAGTCCTTGACAAACTTCCGATAGCAAAGATCAACTAGTCATTTACAAATTGAGCACTATACAATTTTAATTGTTTTAAATATTTGACTTTGTAAAATGAGCTAAAACATTGATTTATTAGTTTCATTGATTTATTAGTTTCATTATGACATAACATCATCACAAGTGTCTACAAAATATCATTGCACTAACAACTAAATAGAAAAATAATTTAAATAAATATATTTTACCATTAACATTAATAATTTATCAAATTCAACTTTATTGATTAATAAAATTTAATACATTATATATAAATAATTCATTAAAACATGCAAAACATAAAACTTCCAAGTGGAATTAAGATTTACAAAACGCCTCTTTGCCACAAAAGGATGAAACCAAAAATATCCATTATGTCTCTCTTGATTGCTTAAATAACTGGGTCCTTCAATTTTCCCTATAACTTCATTTGAAACATTCCAAAAATAAAAATAATTTGCACTGTTTTTAGAAATCATTTCTTTCTTAAATCCTTCCAATCTAACTTTAACATTTAAAACTTAAAACTGTCGATCATATGGAGGGCAATTGTTCCAATAAGGAATGACTCGCTCCGGAAGAAAAGAAGACTGGAGATTCATCACTTTAGTTACACTCTTACTACATCTATTGGTTGAAACAAGATTTTGTAGGTTTATAACCTACCTTAACGGGTGATACTCGTAAAATATCTGTTCCAACTCGGCGCGAGTCCAACTCGGCGCGCGTCCTGGTAGGTTGTAAACCTACAAAACCTACCAGGACGGGCGCCGAGTTGGACTCGTCGACGGTCCTAATATATGGAACAAATATTTTACGAGTATCACCCATTAAACATTAAAACAAGATTAAGACCAGATCTGCTCATTCTGAACAAACCCGATCCATATATTCAGTCAAACCACTAGTTACTTTAAAAGCTTCAATAAGGTCCCCACGTATTCGCCGCTCTGCCAGCATTGTCAAATTGAGGAGATCCAGTCTACGGCTGTATGGAAGAGTACCCACCTCATCAATAAGACAGGTAAACCGCCTCTGGATGCTCTACAGCTCCAAAACATTCCCCCAACTTCCATGAGCCGCAACTGGATTCCACAATTGGACACAATACTCAAGATGAGGTCTTATCAAAGTTTTATAAATAGCTATCATTACAACCTGTTCTAGATTTAATAATAATAATAATGTTCTCTGATAACTAAATTCCTTACAATCCAGCAGATTATACGATTTGCTTTAGAAATACATGCTTTTATCTGTTCATTCCAAAGCAAGGAGCTATGGGTAATAACCCCTGAAGATATGGCTTAATAACAGGCTGAGCGCCTCCCGGTAATTTTTATGTTAGCAGTTTAGCTAAGTTATAATACGGAGTGGCTTTTACTAATTCGCTCGCCCAAAAATTTCACGTGCCTTTGGTTTTTATGGTTTTGCAGCCGTACAAAACGGTTTTACATAAACCCTAATCCCAACCCTAACCCTAACCATAACCCAAAAGCTATCCATTACCCTTACCACAACCCTAACCCTAACCCGAGCCTTAAACAATCGAATTCATGTTTTACTAGCCTGTCACGTGACCAAAACGGTTTTTTGCCCATAACTCTCCTAATGTCATGAGGGGTTATTCGGAATCAGCGTCCAAAAATACACTGAATGAGATCATTATTATTAAATCTAAAATAGCTAATAATTTAATAAATTATTAACAGGCTCCTTAACGTGGGCAATAATATAC